AACCGCGGGGTCATTTAATTTAAGACACGTGTTCTCCCGTGTGGTACCACGTGTACCCCCGTGTGGTACCACGTGTTCCCCCGTGTGGTACCACGTGTACCCCATGTCGTACCACGTGTTCTCCCGTGTGGTACCACGTGTACCCCATGTCGTACCACGTGTACCCCCGTGTGGTACCACGTGTACCCCCATGTCGTACCACGTGTTCCCCCGTGTGGTACCACGTGTACCCCCATGTCGTACCACGTGTTCTCCCGTGTGGTACCACGTGTACCCCATGTCGTACCACGTGTACCCCCGTGTGGTACCACGTGTACCCCCATGTCGTACCACGTGTTCTCCCGTGTGGTACCACGTGTACCCCCATGTCGTACCACGTGTTCTCCCGTGTGGTACCACGTGTACCCCCGTGTGATACCACGTGTACCCCGCGTCTTACCGCGTGTATCCCGTCTCATACATTAAATTCAATCGCCAACACACACCGCACGGTACAAAGATGTATTACCAACACAGCCATTATATTATCAAACGGGGAGTATCAACACCGCATGCTCAAGAGGGTACCCTCCCCCCCACACCACCACCCCTGGTTTTTAAATCCTTTATATTAAGTTCGCTTGCTTGCTTGCGTGCTTGCTTGCGACCGTGCAAATCTTTCGGTCGTTTTTTAACACACTTCCCGTGATCCAATCGAGCTGACATTTGCCACACAGACTCGTTGTGCGAGACAATTAATGTTCGTGAAATTTTTTTTCCAAAATTTTACACTTTTTAGGGGAAATTTTTTAAATATTTAATTACCAATTGCTTAATGCTGGCAGACAATCATCTGACCCATAGGTGGCAGCCATCTCAAGCCAGAGGACGAGAGGACTCGATCCGCCACGCATATAAAGGATTTAGAGTGAAAAACTTAGTTTTTACGGGTTAATTTTTTGCTTGCTCGGTCGAGTCCTCCTTGAAGTAGTTTGAGGTGCACGCGTGGGGAAAATAAAGGGCCTAGTGGCCCAAGGAAAAATCCTAGAAGCCCACGAGAGGAACACCACTGCTCTCGGGCCACAGGAACGTGGAATTTCCACCATTGGTTCGCGGCCACCAAGGGGAGATTAACGCTGCCCCGTTGTTTGCTGGCTAGGCTAGTGGAATGGCGCAAGGTGTGAATATTTTTTCACAGACTCCCCTTTTTGATTCCACCGTTTTTTATTAAACTGAACTACAGTAAAACCTTGGATTGCGAGTAACTTGGTCTGCGAGTGTTTTGCAAGACGAGCAAAAATTTAAAATATTAATTTGATAAACGAGCGAGGTCTTGCAATACGAGTAGTACGTGTGTACACGCTTTGTCTGCCGAGCGTCACGTGATCACAACTGATATAGGAATGCTTTGATATACGAGTGCTTTGGATTACAAACACGTTTCCGGAGCGAGTTATGCTCGCAATCCAAGGTTTTGCTGTATACATTTTAAACAATTGTTTTACCAGGTAAGGCCACGCTGAGCAATGTACTGCAGCTCTTTTTCAGAAGCGACTTGGCCATCACAAGTGATAGCCCGACGAAGTGGCTCGTTATCATCACGTGCACATTTATTGCAGCCAAACACAGAGACCCCTCTACTTACGAACAAGTTAAGATTCAAGAGGACTGTACGCAAGTCGATTTTGTTCGCAAGTCGATTTGTTCATAAGTCCAACTTTACTCCTGTCGTTTACGAGCGTGTTGTACGAAACACGGGGGAATGGCTTTAAAAGTTGTATAATCTCCTGCAGATGTAGATGCCACTGGTTCTTCACGTTCTGCAGATGCAGATGCCACTGGTTCTTCACGTTCTGCAGATGTAGATGCCACTGGTTCTTCACGTTCTGTAGATGTAGATGCCACTGGTTCTTCACGTTCTGCAGATGTAGATGCCACTGGTTCTTCACGTTCTGCAGATGTAGATGCCACTGGTTCTTCACGTTCTGCAGATGTAGATGCCACTGGTGTCTTCACGTTCTGCAGATGTAGATGCCACTGGTGTCTTCACGTTCTGCAGATGCAGATGCCACCACCGCCGTCTTGTGCGCAGCGGTTGAACTTAGGACTCGGGTCCGAACAGGCAACTGGACATACATCCGGGTTTGTTCGTATCTCTGAAAGTTCGTAAGTCGAATGTGCGTAAGTGGGGGAGTGCTTGTATGTTGCAGCGTACATTGCCAAACATGCTAATATGCTGCCCGCTTGCCTCCACAACGACAATAACCCGTAAAAACAAAGTTTTTCACTATAAATCCTTTATATGCGTGGCGGCTCGAGTCCTCTCGTCCTCTGGCTTGAGATGGCTGCCACCTATGGGTCAGATGAATGCATGCCGCCATTAAGCAATTGGTAATTAAATATCATTTATTTTTCCCTAAAAAGTGTAAAATTTTGGAATTTTTTTTCACGAAAATACATTGTCATGCACAACGAGTCTGTGTGCAAAATGTCAACTCGATTGGATCACGGGAAGTGGGTTAAAAAAAGACCGAAAGATTTGCACGGTCGTAAGCGTGCAAGCAAGCAAGCAAGTGAACTTAATATAAAGGATTAAAAAATAACTTACTCTTTATGTTTTTTATTATTATTGTTGTTGTTTACCCAGAAAACAAGCGTCGCCGAGTCTCGAAGACCTCTTTCAGGAGGCTCACTGCCAAGTATTCACGGGAAGGGGAGATGGCGATTGCCGCAGCTGTTTCGCGATTCCCAACGGGTTCATCAGCGGAGACACTTTTCAACGCCTCCTCTGCCCTATCACGCAGCTGCTGCTGCTGCTGCATAGCCGAGGCACGCAGCGAGCGCCAAGATCTGGCCTCAGTCCCAAATCCTCAATTCGAATAGAGACCCACAGACTCACTCATTCAGACCCAGACTCACTCATTCAGACTCATAGACTCACTCATTCAGACCCATAGACTCACTCATTCAGACACATAGACTCACTCATTCAGACACATAGACTCACTCATTCAGACTCACAGACTCACTCATTCAGTCCCATAGACTCACTCATTCAGACACATAGACTCACTCATTCAGACCCATATACTCATTCATTCAGACGCATAGACTCACTCATTCAGACGCAGACTCACTCATTCAGACCCATAGACTCACTCATTCAGACTCATAGACTCACTCATTCAGACCCATAGACTCACTCATTCAGACCCAGACTCACTCATTCCGACTCAAAGACTCACTCATTCAGACCCATCGACTCACTCATTCAGACACATAGACTCACTCATTCAGACGCATCGACTCACTCATTCAGACACATAGACTCACTCATTCAGACACATAGACTCACTCATTCAGAGACATAGACTCACTCATTCAGACACATAGACTCACTCATTCAGACGCACAGACTCATTCAGACGCATAGACTCACTCATTCAGACGCACAGACTCACTCATTCAGTCCCATAGACTCACTCATTCAGACCCATAGACTCACTCATTCAGACCCATAGACTCACTCATTCAGACCCATAGACTCACTCATTCAGACGCATAGACTCACTCATTCAGACCCACAGACTCACTCATTCAGACCCATAGACTCACTCATTCAGACCCATAGACTCACTCATTCAGACTCACAGACTCACTCATTCAGTCCCATAGACTCACTCATTCAGACCCACAGACTCACTCATTCAGACCCATAGACTCACTCATTCAGACCCATAGACTCACTCATTCAGACCCAGACTCACTCATTCAGACCCATAGACTCACTCATTCAGACGCATAGACTCACTCATTCAGACACATAGACTCACTCATTCAGACCCAGACTCACTCATTCAGACCCACAGACCCACTCATTCAGACCCACAGACTCACTCATTCATATCCATAGACTCACTCATTTAGACCCATAGACTCACTCATTCAGACCCATAGACTCACTCATTCAGACGCATAGACTCACTCATTCAGACCCAGACTCACTCATTCAGACACAGACTCACTCATTCAGACCCATAGACTCACTCATTCAGACCCATAGACTCACTCATTCAGACACATAGACTCACTCATTCAGACACAGACTCACTCATTCAGACCCATAGACTCACTCATTCAGACACAGACTCACTCATTCAGACCCATAGACTCACTCATTCAGACCCAGACTCACGCATTCAGTCCCATAGACTCACTCATTCAGACTCACAGACTCACTCATTCAGTCCCATAGACTCACTCATTCAGACGCATAGACTCACTCATTCAGACCCATAGACTCACTCATTCAGACACATAGACTCACTCATTCAGACCCATAGACTCACTCATTCAGACCCATAGACTCACTCATTCAGACACATAGACTCACTCATTCAGACCAATAGACTCACTCATTCAGACGCACAGACTCACTCATTCAGACCCATAGACTCACTCATTCAGACCCATAAACTCACTCATTCAGACTCATAGACTCACTCATTCAGACCAATAGACTCACTCATTCAGACACATAGACTCACTCATTCAGACACATAGACTCACGCATTCAAACCGATAGACTCATTCATTCAGACCCAGACTCACTCATTCAGACGCATAGACTCACTCATTCAGACCCAGACTCACTCATTCAGACGCATAGACTCACTCATTCAGACCCATAGACTCATTCATTCAGACCCAGACTCACTCATTCAGACGCATAGACTCACTCATTCAGACCCAGACTCACTCATTCAGACGCATAGACTCACTCATTCAGACCCACAGACTCACTCATTCAGACCCACAGACTCACTAATTCAGACCCATAGACTCACTCATTCAGACACATAGACTCACTCATTCAGACGCATAGACTTACTCATTCAGACCCATAGGACTCACTCATTCAGACGCATCGACTCCCTCATTCAGACACATAAGACTCACTCATTCAGACACATAGACTCACTCATTCAGACCCATAGACTCACTCCACAGACTCACTCATTCAGACCCACAGACTCACTAATTCAGACCCATAGACTCACTCATTCAGACACATAGACTCACTCATTCAGACGCATAGACTTACTCATTCAGACCCATAGACTCACTCATTCAGACGCATCGACTCCCTCATTCAGACACATAGACTCACTCATTCAGACACATAGACTCACTCATTCAGACCCATAGACTCACTCATTCAGACGCATCGACTCCCTCATTCAGACACATAGACTCACTCATTCAGACACATAGACTCACTCATTTAGACCCATAGACTCACTCATTCAGACCCATAGACTCACTCATTCAGACCCACAGACTCACTCATTCAGACCCATAGACTCACTCATTCAGACGCATAGACTCACTCATTCAGACCCACAGACTCACTCATTCAGACCCACAGACTCACTCATTCAGACCCATAGACTCACTCATTCAGACACATAGACTCACTCATTCAGACGCATAGACTTACTCATTCAGACCCATAGACTCACTCATTCAGACGCATCGACTCCCTCATTCAGACACATAGACTCACTCATTCAGACACATAGACTCACTCATTTAGACCCATAGACTCACTCATTCAGACCCATAGACTCACTCATTCAGACCCACAGACTCACTCATTCAGACCCATAGACTCACTCATTCAGACCCATAGTCTCACTCATTCAGACTCAAAGACTCACTCATTCAGACCCATAGACTCACTCATTCAGACTCATAGACTCACTAATTCAGACCCACAGACTCACTCATTCAGACCCATAGTCTCACTCATTCAGACTCAAAGACTCACTCATTCAGACCCATAGACTCACTCATTCAGACTCATAGACTCACTAATTCAGACCCACAGACTCACTCATTCAGACTCACAGACTCACTCATTCAGACTCACAGACTCACTCAATTCACACCCACAGACTCACTCATTCACACCCACAGACTCACTCATTCAGACCCACAGACTCACTCATTCAGACCCACAATCTCACTCATTCAGACCCATAGACTCACTCATTCAGACCCATAGACTCATTCAGATGCATAGACTCACTCATTCAGACCAATAGACTCACTCATTCAGACGCACAGACTCACTCATTCAGACTCACAGACTCACTCATTCAGACCAATAGACTCACTCATTCAGATGCATAGACTCACTCATTCAGACCAATAGACTCACTCATTCACACCCACAGACTCACTCATTCAGACTCACAGACTCACTCATTCAGACCAATAGACTCACTCATTCAGACGCACAGACTCACTCATTCAGACCCATAGACTCACTCATTCAGACCCATAAACTCACTCATTCAGACTCATAGACTCACTCATTCAGACCAATAGACTTACTCATTCAGACCAATAGACTCACTCATTCAGACGCACAGACTCACTCCTTCAGACCCATAGACTCACTCATTCAGACCCATAGACTCACTCATTCAGACCCATAGACTCACTCATTCAGATGCATAGACTCACTCATTCAGACCCATAGACTCACTCATTCAGACTCATAGACTCACTCATTCAGACCCATACTCACTCATTCAGACCCATAGACTCACTCATTCAGACTCATAGACTCACTCATTCAGACGCATAGACTCACTCATTCAGACCCATAGACTCACTCATTCAGACCCATAGACTCACTCATTCAGACCCATAGACTCACTCATTCAGACTCATAGACTCACTCATTCAGATGCATAGACTCACTCATTCAAACCGATAGACTCATTCATTCAGACCCAGACTCATATTCTTAGGTTTTTTCGGTTAAGTCACGTAAGTAAAACATCCAAAATAAAAATAAAATAAAAATAACGACGTTTCGGAGGCAACACAAGTCTCCGTCATCAGGTGGGACCGTCACAGCCGAATTAGCTGCATCAAGTGAAGCAATTATTCAAGATGTAATCCCTTATAAGCAAGTTGAAGGGAGGTGGAGAGGGGGGGGGTTGGAGAGCTTATCAGACTGTGGTAGCCAATGAATGGAAACGTATCGGGGGGGAGGAGGAGCGGTGATCAAAGACTGCACGCAGTGCTCAACACAATGAATGGAAACGTATCGGGAGGGAGGAGGAGCGGCGATCAAAGACTGCACGCAGTGCTCAACACAATGAGTGGAAACGTGTCGGGACGGAGGGTGTGCGGCGATCAAAGACTGCACGCAGCACTCAACACAATGAATGGAGACGTGTCGGGACGGAGGGTGAGCGGTGATCAAAGACATCACGCAGTGCTCAACACAATGAATGGAAACGTGTCGGGGCGGAGGTTGAGCGGTGATAAAAGACTGCACGTGGAGATGTTAACACTCGGTGAAGTAAATTAATTAAAATAGTGCCTGTCAGATAAGATGGTCCAAAAAAGTGTAATTAAGTCTTTTTTGCGTGGTTAATAACATCTTTCCAATGATTACTGAGTTTGTACCCATCATCACGGTTGAAATTATGTCTGTGTTTGTATATTTGTATGGCTTCGTGTACAAACCTTTGATGGTAGCCAGGAGGTTTGCAGAGAACCTTGGTCTCGGAAAAGACAATTTCATGAGAGCCCGCCGAGTTGTAGCAATGATCGGCAACGGCCGAAGAATCAGTTCTGCCGTGTTTCAGATCTGACTTGTGCTCGCGGACACGATCAGCCACATGACGTTTTGTTTCACCAATGTAGCAATCACCACAAATGCAACTCAATTTGTAGACTCCAGGATACTGTAAGTCAGGAACGACATCCTTCACAGATGGAATCAGATCACGGATTTTATGCACTGTACTGAATCGGACTTGGATCTTATGTTTGTTAAGAATTTTGGAGATCTTTTTGGTCACGCCTGCTATGTATGGTAACGTGATAGTTTTGGTCGGAGTTTCATGTGGCTGTTTCTTCTGTGTAGTGGGAGAAACCGCTTGGCGGATAGTACGGTCAGACTCACTCATTCAGACGCATAGACTCACTCATTCAGACCCAGACTCACTCATTCAGACGCATAGACTCACTCATTCAGACCCACAGACTCACTCATTCAGACCCATAGACTCACTCATTCAGACGCATCGACTCCCTCATTCAGACACATAGACTCACTCATTTAGACGCATAGACTCACTCATTCAGATGCATAGACTCACTCATTCAAACCGATAGACTTATTCATTCAGACGCACAGACTCACTCATTCAGACCCATAGACTCACTCATTCAGACCGATAGACTCACTCATTCAGACGCACAGACTCACTCATTCAGACCCACAGACTCACTCATTCAGTCCCATAGACTCACTCATTCAGATTCACAGACTCACTCATTCAGACTCACAGACTCACTCATTCAGACCCATAATCACAGAGCCCTATAGACTCAGTCATAGACCCATAGACTCATTCATTCACACCCATAGACTCACTCATTCAGATGCAGACTCACTCATTCAGACGCACAGACTCACTCATTCAGACTCAAACTCACTCATTCACACCCATAGACTCACTCATTCAGACTCATAGACTCACTCAGACTCGACCTGACAGTCCCCACCACCATCTCGCCTCGTGACCCATAGACTCACTCAGAGACCCATCCTCACACAGAACCCTATACTCAGATTCATAGGCTCACACAAGATACCCAGACTCCCTCACCCTGCCCAATCACAGCTGCAGCACCAACCTCATAACCAAGCCCCCCCACCCTCCGCTCCCTCCAGGGCTACTTGTGCTGCGAGTTGAGCCACGCGAACGAGAAAACGAACGTCGAGTTCCCGTCCGACGACTCGGGGTCTTCTTCCGCCCACCAAGAACCGATCCCGGCACCGGCCCCTGCTCCGTTCGTGGTTCCCGCGTCTTTCCGTTCCTCCCGGAGGGACTCGCGACCTCCTTCCGACAATCGAGAAGCGGCGCCGGTACCAGCGGAGGTGGCGGTCGCGGTCCCGGTCCCTCCTCCTCCTCCTACTCCTCCATTCATTGTCCCGGCATCGTTCCGTTCCTCCTGGAGAGACACGAAGATAAAGATGCCGCACCCCAACGCCGTGTAGCCTACACAAGCTGTCGAGGCAAGTGCTGTTAGCGAGCGCCTATTAAGGCTGGCCATGGTGCACGAATGATGGCGGTAGGGTGGCCAGCATCGCGCCTGGCCGCCTTTGTCTCCCTCGTGGAGATGTTTACGGATCGCACCGGGCCATGGTCACACGATGAATCAGGTACTCATTTAAGGCTAAGCCGACCTAGGGGAGGGGCCCAGGACCAGTTCAGATATTAACCACCGATGTTGCTGGCCACGAGGAGGGATCGAACACAGGCCGGCAAGTTTGCAGCGTGAGTGCACTAACCGCTCACCACAGACACAAACGCATGCACGTGTGGGCACAACAACACTCACAGCACACAACAAAGATCCCCCAGGTAGCCCACAGAGACTGTTGGGGGCACGTGCTGTTAAACGAGCACCGTGTACACTCTTAAGCACCTCCAACTAGCGCGGTTAACTGCGTAAGGCGCCAAAAGTAGTTGAACATGCATACACATACAAGCAGGGGAGAATTAACATAGATTGTTCAAATGCAGAGGAGCTGCGTGATGAACAGAGTGCGTATGGACACCGTGTGCATTTAGGCGGCTGGTATTGGCTGAGATTGTGCGCATGCTCTTGGCCAAAAAACGTCCCATTGGCTAAAATAATCACGAGCAAACCAGAGGAGTAACACCGGCATCCCCCGACTGCGAAAACTTGGCAGGACCCTCCCGAAACGAGTCTTGGGGCTCGGTGAGGCTATCCTGGGTTAACGAGCAGAGTGATGATGATGATGACGGTGGTGGTCGGGGTGGTGGTGGTCGGGGAATGTGTCGAATGCAGGGCGGGGGAGGTTGTGTTCAGGTGCAGCAACCCAGGAAGTGTTTTCATTCATCCAGCACACCACACCAGAGGTCGCAATCGGGTACCCGATACCCGTACCCTACCCGATACCCGGCTACCCGTACCCGGCCAGGTACGGGTACGGGTACCCGTTTGCGACCCTGGTGCGGCCGGGTACGGGTAGCCGCACGTGACTCACCCCAACCAATGAGTGAGAAGGCCGTGAGTCACTGGTGAGTAACCGTTTGTCACTCATTTCCCCACGTCTTGTCTCTTCTCACAATTCAAGTTCCTAGAATCAACCCACCCGCGCCTGCAACATGGCTTCATCCAAGAGGTCGCAATCGGGTACCCGATACCCGTACCCTACCCGATACCCGTCTACCCGTATCCGGCCGGGTATCGGGTAGGGTACGGGTAACCCGTACCTGTACCCGGCCGGGTACAGGTACCCGTTTGCGACCCTAGTGCGGCCGGGTACGGGTACGAGTAAGGAATCAAAACCCGTTTGCGACCTTTGCACCACACCCAGTACACGCCTATCTCACCATCGCTGTGGCTACTAATGAGGAGGCGCGTGCCACCTACTCCAGGCTGCCTACACAGCGGCCCAGCACACACCACATCCTCTGTACCTGTGTGTGCTTACTCGCTATACAGCGTCCTGGCGAGATGTCCAATATTCATTGCAGCCTTGCCCAAGCTTGCTAAATCGCACCTATGTAATTAGTGAATGGATTACTAACACTGGTCAACACACTTTTTCTGGCATAAGGTATTCCAACGGTTTTACGGTAATTTTGGGGTGCTGATTCCAAATCTGCGAAAATAATAGTCGGTGTTTTACACCTTTCTGGCAATAACAACAACGTGTTAAGATGTCCAAACACCACGTAGATACGTTTTGCAACCCGAGCTGTAAGTGCTCTGATCCGTGCGTCGTCTTTGTTACTGTGCCCCTGACATTGGTGTTGAGGCGAGGCCATAGAGAAGGCAGCTGTCACTGGTGCAGGCCAATCCGTTTCAAAGACAACTTCATCTGTTAATTACACTGGTCAACACACTGTTTCTGGCATAAGGTATTCCAACGGTTTTACGGTAATTTTGGGGTGCTGATTCCAAATCTGGCATCAGTTTTTGTCTATCACATCAGGTTTTTGAGATATCAAAAATTGCATTTTCAATAAAAACTGCAGAAGAAAAATATTAAATAAATGTGGATATCTACATAAAATGATATTATAAACACACTATCCTAAAAATACAGCACCATATTTTAACACTAAAGCAGTCACTGACTCGCAACAACTTGCAATCGTAAGTGACAGAGTTAAGTTCGGGTAAAATCAATGAAAATGTGGTATGCCGATAGCATAAAAACAAGATGTGATAGAGCAAATCTGAGATCAGATTTGGAATCAGCACCCTGAAATTAGTCTAGAACAGCTGCAAAAGTCCAGGCCAGAATTTTTTTGTTTTTTTGTTGTTGACCAGTGTTATTAATCTTCTTGGTTCTTTCGGTAAAGTCACGTAGAATAGAAATAATAAAATAATAAAAATAAAACATAATAAAATAATTCTGACGACGTTTCGGCCACAACGCAAGCAGCCGTCCTCAGATAAAGAACAGGTCTGTCAGAAAGACAGCGTCTGAATGACGCTGTCTTTCTGACCGACCTGTTCTTCAAAGACAGCGTCTGAATTCAGACGCTGTTTTTCTGACAGACCTGTTCTTCACCTGAGGACGGCTGCTTGCGTTGTGGCCGAAACGTCGTGAGAATTATTTTATTATGTTTTATTTTTATTATTTTATTATTTCCATTCTACGTGACTTTACCGAAAGAACCAAGAAGATGAATCCCTGCAGTCACGAAAGCTTTAAATCGAAACAGTGTTATTTATATTTAGTGGCTTGCTTACCCCTTGTTTTCTCTACTTTGCTACTCCCATTGTGTTACTGTAGTTTTGCTGTTGTAACGCTCTGACGCGCCCCTGCTGATACATCTGTGAGAAGAAGAGCTTTACAACTCATCGGATTCCTCCAATACGAATAAACATTCTGATTCTGAACAACACGAGCAGATGTGACCGCGGTTAACATGCCGCACAGACGTTGGTTGGGATTGTTGGAGCATCTTGCGGTGAAATTGCAACATTCATACTTCTGGTCCAAATAAATATTCTGACGATAAAGCGGCATTAGCGGGGGGGGGGGCAAGAGCCCCCCTTCGCCCCCCCCCCAACTCTACCACCACCACCACACCCCTCGCCCCTCCCATTACCTGTGCGAGTCTCCTCTGGGGGGAAGGGGGGTGGTGGAGGAAGGGGGTTGGTGGGGGGTGTTGGTGGGTTGGGGTCGCCCCCCCCCCACACCCCATCTATCCCCCCACCCCCCCCCATCAGGGGCAGGCCCCCCCCCCCTGCAGGCGGGTGAGGGCGAGGTATTCGTAGCACCCCCACATCTCCCAGAGCGCCGCCGCACAGAGCAGGAGGGGCACGCGCACGGCCAGGGCCTGACACACACGTGACACACACGTGACACACACGTGTGTGTTAGGGGTGCAAGATGTTAACTACCTCGCCTGGCATGGAGGAGGTCGTGGGTTCGATCCCGACCCCGACCTCGACACGCCTGACTATTTGGAGTTTTCGTCTTTCTCGCTCTCTCTCTCCCCGTGGTCGCGTGGATTTTTCTCCGGGTCCTCCGGATTTCCCAACCTCCGCATTTAGAATCAACATCGCACATTTAGAGTATTTGGCTGTTATAAATCTCCACGTGATAAGCCACTTCGTTGAGCTATCATTTGTGATAGCCAGTGGGCCTTACCTGGTAGACACGCGTGTTCGCACCCACACGCGTGTTCGCACTCACACACGCGTGATCAGAACAGTCAGGATAATCACGATAATCGTTGTCACGATCATCGCAGATTTTCCGCTGGTCAACTCGAGGTTTGGCGGTGGTGGTTATGCGCGTGGCTGCCCGTGATCCAGCCCTGTGTAGAGACAGCAGTGAGCAGAGGTCGCAAACGGGTTTTGATTCCTTACCCGTACCCGTACCCGGCCGCAACAAAGTCGCAAATGGGTACCCGTACCCTTACCCTACCCGATACCCGGCTACCCGTACCCGGCCGGGTATCGGGCAGGGTACGGGTACGGGTACCCGTTTGCGACCTCTGAGATGAAGCCATGTTGCAGGCGCGGGTGGGTTGATTCTAGCAACTTGAATTGTGAGAAGAGACAAGACGTTGGGAAATGAGTGACAGTTACTCACCAGTGACTCACGGCCTACCCGTACCCGTACCCGGCCACACCAGGGTCACAAACGGGTACGGGTAGCCGGGTATCGGGTAGGGTACGGGTATCGGGTAGGGTACGGGTATCGGGTACCCGATTGCGACCTCTGGCAGTGAGGCAGGGTTGTGGATCACCGCACTAATGCTGTCAAACCTCCCTTCTTGCCCGAGGGTGGGCGCCTTGGAGGTGTAATACTCGTGGCTCGCCGGGAGAGGGCGGCACAGAAAAAACGAAGACTCCACACCTGCCTGCAAGTGCGGTTATTCTACGGGTGCTCTCCGGTTTAAACTATTAACTATTTTATTTTTATTTTACCAGGTAAGGCCCACTGAGTTGTGTAGCTTTTTTTCTTAAGCGACCACAAATCATAGCTCAACGAAGTGGCTTATCATGTGGGAATTTATAGCAGCCAAATACTCAAAACTTACGTGTTGATTCTAAATGTGGAGGGAATAACCGGCGGAGCCAGAGACAAGCAAACTCCAAATATACAGCAGCAGGCATCAGGGTCGGGATCGAACCCACGACCTCCTGTATGCCAGGCGAGGTAGTTAACATCTCCTAGCCACCATGGCGCTCCTTTCCTCCCACATGCATCATAAACGCCCGTTAAATGCCCGATAACGCCTTAGTATATGGAGGATTCCAGATCTTGGGCAACTGTTGGTCAGCGCCGGCTCCCCACCGCACGGTTGCTGCCTTCCCTGCTCGTCTGTGACGACTCCTCATCGCATCTCCGCGTCATCACCCCTCCTCGCTCTCTCTCTACGAGAGCGAGGAGCGGATACGAGGGGCGCGCAGCGTGACACGAGTTGAATTCATTATTATAATCGTCGATCGCAATTATATTACGTGATTAACGGAAGCGACCCCCCTTTGCAACGCAAAACACCCGTTTCCGCTCAGGATCCTCTGGGCCCCCCCCCCAACTCACCTTCATCGACAGGCCGCCTCGGGGTGGGGGGCCCCCCCCGCCTCCTGGCCACAAAGAGGGTGACGTCGGCGGCCCCCGTGCCGCGCTCCGCACGACCCCGGGTCCCCTTGGTACCCCACCGGGGGTGGCGGCGGGCTGAGGGGGGTCCTGCCGTGGACCTGCCCCCGCCGAGGGGATCTTGTACGACCGCAGCTGTACACAAAGGCAAAGATCACCCGTGTAGCCTTAACAGACCGTCGGGGCAAGTGCTGTTAAGTGAGCACCTATGAATGCCGGCACGGCACACGAGGGGGGTGGGTGGCCAGCACCACGCTCGGCCGCCTTTGTCTCCATAGTGCTGATGTCTGCACACTGCACCAGGAACTAATTTTAAGGCCGAGTCTACCTAGCGGAGGACCAGGACCGGTTCAGATAAATGTCACCGGTGTTGGTGACCTGCCCACCTACTCACTCGCTCACCTACAACTATCTCAACAGGAGGACGACGGACAGTCCTGGGGAAACCAGGGACAGGTGGCAGCCGGAGCTGGTGGCACCAAATGTCGATGAATCTTGCTCAAATCCCTGCGTCAAGTAGGCTCACAATTGGCACCCTGGCACCCCGCCCTCACCTCCGGCTCCCTGCTCCGCTCCCCCCGCGCCGACTCGATGGCCGTGGAGTCCGCGGCGTTAGGGTTCGAGCCCGGGTCGGGGTCGGTGCCCCTGGGTCCCGGCTGTGGAGGCCCCTCCTCGGGCCCCAACGTTGTCGGGGGCTCCCCCGGCCCAACGGAGGCCTCGCCTTGAGCCCCCGCCGCCGCCGCCGCCGCCACCGCCACCGTCGCCGCTGTCGTCGTCGTCGTCGCCGCCGCCACCGTCGCCGCTGTCGTCGTCGTCGCCGCCGCCGCCGCCACCGCTGCTGCTGTTGCCGTCGCCGCCACCGCCGCCGCCGACGCTACTTCTGCCGTCTCCTTGACCTCACCACTCGGCTCCTCCACTTTCTCCTCCACCGCCGTCACCTCGTCTGCATCGTCACACAGAAAGGGAAGGTGGAGTGGCCGGGGCGTTGCCCACGAGTCCCGTAAGAAGGGGGCTCATGAAGGGAAGGAGAGGGACCCCACTCTGGTAGGAACCCCAATGGGATGAGATGACGACGTCACGTACTGATGAACCCCGAACATTGTGTCTAACCTTGACACTGTGATCCTCCGACTGTAGAAACCACCCCCCCCCCTGCCCAAAACCCCGACCTGCCCCCCCTCCCCTACCCCCCGCCCTTCTCCCACCGGGCCTCACCCGGCACGAAGTCGAGTCTCCGCAGGATGTCGGCCTCGCGGGAGAAGTCGACGCGGAACTTGCCGAGGTCATCGACCCCCGACCCCGCGGGGAGGGCGTCCACGGCGGTGGCCACTTCGGACATCCTGCGCCCGCCACACGCCACAGCGCGCCGGTGCCCGTCAAGGCCGCCAAGGAGCACGAGTGGGGCCCACGGCCCTCCAACACGCCCGCCCGCCCACCCGCATTCACACCGCACCGAACTGAAGAGGGAGTCCAGCAACGGATTGGATGGCGCTGATATTAGGTGTGGCCAGGAATCGAACTCAGGTGATCACATTCGGAGCGCAGCGCGCTAACCGTTGCACAACAGTTGCACGCACAGTCACAAGCAACACACAACCGCCGTATACTCCTTCACAGACTTTTAGGGCGAGTGCTGTGAGCGAGCACCTATGAAGGCCGGCACACATAAGGGGGTGAGGTGGCCATCACCATGCACAGCGCCCATTGTCTCCCGAGTGGCGATGTTAACTACACACCGCACCAGGTACTAATTTGAGGCCGAGTCGACCTAGGGGAGGCCCAGGAGCAGTTCAGATAATAGTGATCACCAGGTGTTGGTGGCCGTGAGTGGGAATCAAACTCGGATTCGTAGCGCAGTGCGTATACCACTACGCTACCGCTCCCCACAACAGTCACAAGCAACAACAACCGCCATTCGCCACTAAGTGGCGGTGACGTCACCACGACGCTTGTGCCAGGCCATGTGCACCTTGAGGCCACGTGAAGTGTCGAACGCCCGCTGGCAGGAGGTCACGGGGCAGACCCAGTTGCCACGGGTCGACTGACTGAGATGACTGGCTGAGGCACCACCTGTGCCCCCTACTGTGCCAACTTGCTGTGCTTTAGCCACCCGGCGCTCCGCTCGTTGTTGTGATCGTCGCTCCTCCGCCCTCCGTTGTTGCTGGAGGGCGACTGCCTCCAACTGCCCAGTAGCGTCCTACACGAGCCTCCTCCACAGAGGCCGATCTTGACACAGCTGGTACCAGTCATCGGCAAGTCCATTCAGCTCCACGTCCTCCTGTACCACATCACTCCATCTCTTCTCTAGCCCATGCCGCGCCCGTTTAGCCCCCTCGATCCGGCTGAACAAAAGCTGTTTCGGAATGCGGTGGCTGGGCATGCGGGCTACATGACCCAGCCAACGCAGCCTTGCCTGCCGGAGGAGCTCACCGATGGGACTTTGCCCAGATCTTTCAAGGATTTGTGAGCTCCTCACACAATCCAGCCTGGTTAAACCCAGGATGGATCGTAGGCAGGCCAGCCTAAATGTTTCCCACCGGCGAAGATGCTCCATTAGGGGGGTCCACGTTTCGCAAGCGTAGAGAAGGGAGGGAATGACTGTGGCCGAGAAAACTTGAAGCGTCGTGCGGAGCGACAGACCAGGTAGCTTCCACACAGCGTTACGCAACCGATGAAAAGATATTGCCGCTCGACTGATTCGGAGTGAGACCTCTGCTGTTAAACTGGAGCCGGTCATAAGCACACTGCCCAGGTATGGGAAACTCTCTACTCTCTCCACTACTGCCCCATCACCGATTGGGAGTTGTGGGGGTGGAGTGTCCAATGGTACAAAATACCCAGGCAGGTGCTTAGTTTTGGTGGGGCTGATGGTAAGGCCCCACCTCTTAGTGGCACGCTCCAGTCTCAGCAGCAGCGTCTCCAACTCCTCCTCTGAATGAGCAGCTATTACCAAATCATCGGCATACATAACGTGGTTGACCAATAGGGAGCCATCCCTTGATTGCACCCGGGCATCGATCAGCCTCCCATTATATTTGTACCAAATGGAGATTCCCCCGGTACAGCTATTGAAGGCTTCACGAACTACGTGGTCAAAATAGATGTTAAATAATGTGGGAGCCAGAGGACATCCCTGTCGCACCCCAAGGTGTACAGGGAAAGGCTCTGACTCCCGGCCACGTAGTTTAACCCGGGCCCGCTCACCATCATGAAGGTCCTTAATGATCGTGAGCAGAGGGTCAGGGACTCCGAAAGCACGAAGAACAACCCAGAGCCCAGGCCTACTGATGGTATCATAGGCCTTGACCGGATCAATAAAGCAGAAATGTAGGTCTAACAGTCACAAGCACACACAGTCACACGTACATTCACAGAAACAGTCACACAAAAACACAAGTCACAGAGAGTCACACACACAAACCAGTCAGTCGCAGTTAACGCCAGTCACGCACACACACAGTCACACACGGTGGGGGTCATGACCCCAGTCCATGAGGTCATGACCCTCTGACCACGTACACACACAGAGCTGACCCACTTCCCTCGACTGACCTTACGATGAGGCCCGTGGCACTCTGCGGGAAATATGGAGAGGGCAGGGAAATGAGTCAACCATCGGCAAAGGTAAACAACACAAACGACGGACGGATTCCACGGGTCCCATGGGTCCCACGGGCTTCCGTAAGTACCACCACCTCTGCATGCCAGACCCTCCTCACCCAAGGGCTTCACCACCACCTCCACCACCCCACGCACCCCCAACATCATCACCAGCCTCCCCCCAAACGTAACCGCGTATCACCTTCCCATCTGCGGTCTCTGAGAATCTTAATATTATAATCAGCTAATTTAGCTTCTAATGCGCTGCTGCTGCTGCGGCTGCTGCTGCTGCTCCCACAGTGTTCATTCGCTGTCGGAGAGAGGACGAATCGGAGGTACGAGCTGGAGCCGCAGAAGAGCAGGCAGGCAGACACTGGCGCTACCAACAGTTGCCCAAGCTCTGCCCATCCATATGAAGGTGTTTGCATGTTTGCATGTGGGAGGAAACCGAAGCAACTGGAGAAAACCGACGTGCGCGAGGGGCAGAGGTCGCAAACGGGTTTTGATTCCTTACCCGTACCCGTACCCGGCCGCACCAGGGTCGCAAACGGGTACCCGTACCCGTACCCGGCCGTACCCGTACCCTACCCGTACCCGGCTGGGTACGGGTAGGGTACGGGTATCGGGTACCTGATTGCGACCTCTGGGATGAAGCCATGTTGCAGGCGCGGGTGGGTTGATTCTAAGAACTTGAATTGTGAGAAGAGACAAGACGTTGGGAAATGAGTGACAAACAGTTACACACCAGTGACTCACGGCCTACCCGTACCCGTACCCGGCCGCACCAGGGCCGCACCAGGGCCGCAAACGGGTACCCGTACCCGTACCCGGCTGGGTACGGGTAGCCGGGTATCGGGTAGGGTACGGGTATCGGGTACCCGGTTGCGACCTCTGGCGAGGGGACAACACTCGATCCCAGACAGACGGTAGCAGGTGGAGTCCACATTTCTGCTGTGCTGCCAGGGTACGGGCTCCGAACCAACGCCCACGGCAGGGGAGTTTCACAGCATCTGCGTGCGATCCCTCCCCCACATCTCCTCTTCACATCACTTCCAGCATATTTTATACTCTTATCTATTTCCACAACTAGGAGTTCCTTTAATTACTATCATTAACATTCATAATCTATACAAGCAGACCGACGCACTCCCTTCACATCTCCATCCCTCAAAGTGAACAAATACATCTCTCACACAGACCATTGGCACTCCCCCCCCCCGCCCCCGCCAAGGCCTTCCGGGAGTGCGTGACATTCACGTAATCCCAGAATGCACCGCGCGCGTAGTCGTGGCATTATCCAGGCCCGGCCCCCGCCGGGGGGGGTTCGAACCGCGGCCACACCTGGAGGAACTTGGCGGCGCCCGGCTCTTCGAGCAGCTGCAGCGCCGCCTCCACCAGCTTGGAGGCGTCGTCGACGCGCTGGGTGAGCCGCGCCACCCGCGCACGGATGGCGCGCGCCCGCACCTCCTGCTGGGCCTGCACGGCGGCCGTCAGGGCCCGCTTGCGGCCCTCCAGCACCTGGGACAGCGCCTCGAAGGCCTCCCCGATCATGCGCTGCTGAAGCTTCGAGCTCTCCTGGGTGGCAGCGGGGAGGGGGGGGGAAGAGAAGGGGCATGAAGGGGGAGGGGCATTGGGGTATGGGAAGGTGCAGAGGTGGGGGGGGGGGCAGTGGAGGAGGAAGGCCATTTGTGGGATGGGCGGGGCACGGTGGGATAAAGGGGGAGGGGCAGGGGGAGGTGGGAGGGGCATTGGGAGATAAATGGGGAGGGGCAGGGGGGGTGGGAGGGGCATGGGGAGATAAAGGGGGAGGGGCAGGGGGGGTGGGAGGGGCATGGGGAGATAAAGGGGGAGGGGCAGGGGGGGTGGGAGGGGCATGGGGAGATAAAGGGGGAGGGGCAGGGGGAGGTGGGAGGGGCATGGGGAGATAAAGGGGGAGGGGCATTGGAGGATGGGAGGGGCATGGGGAGATTAAGGGGGAGGGGCAGGGGGGGGTGGGAGGGGCATGGGGAGATAAAGGGGGAGGGGCAGGGGGGGGTGGGAGGGGCATGGGGAGATAAAGGGGGAGGGGCAGGGGGAGATAAAGGGGGAGGGGTATGGGGGGGTGGGAGGGGGGTGGGGGATGGAGGGGGAGGGGGATGGGAGGGGGGGTCGAGGAGGAGGGGCAGGGGGAGATGGGAAGGAAAGGGGGCAAATGGAGAAGGGGGGGGGGGGAATGGGAGGGGGATGTGTGGTGGAGGGGTCAAGGGGGAGGGGTAATGGGGGGGGGGGAGTGTTGTGATTCAAGTTCCGATTGGGACTGTGGCAGTCACAGCCAACACCAGTGACGAATATCCGAATCGATCCTGGGCCTCTCCTAGGTCGACTCAGCCTTAAAATCATTACATGGTGCGGTTTGTAAACATCACCACTGGGGAGGCAAAGGCGGCCGGGAATGGTTCTGGCTTACACCACCCCTCTCGCGAACAGCACTTGTCGCAACAGTCTGTCATATGCTATATGGCGGATCTTTGGACGTGGCTGTGGTTGTGGTAGTTGTGGTTGTGGCTGTGGTAGTGCTTGTTGTGATTGTAGTTGTAGTGGTTGTTGTAATGGTTGTAGTGCTTGTGGTTGTGGTTGTAGTGGTTGTTGTGCTTGTAGTGGTTGTAGTTGTTGTGCTTGTGGTTGTAGTTAGTTGTAGTGGTTGTAGTTGCGGCTGTAGTTTAGTTGTAGTGGTTGTAGTGCTTGTTGTGATTGTAGTTGTAGTGGTTGTTGTAGTGGTTGTAGTTGTGGCTATAGTTAGTTGTAGTGGTTGTAGTGCTTGTAGTTGTAATGGTCCTAGGTGTTGTGCTTGTGGCTGTAGGTGTTGTGGTGCTTGTTGTGATTGTAGTTGTAGTGGTTGTTGAAGTGGTTTTTGTACTTGTGGTTGTAGTTGTTGTAGTGGTTGTAGTTGTAGTGCTTGTAGTTGTAGTGGTTGTTGTGCTTGTAGTTGTAATGGTTCTAGGTGCTGTGCTTGTGGCTGTAGGTGTTGTGGTATTGTGGCTGCGGTGGTTGTGGCTGTGGTAGTGCTTGTTGTGATTGTAGTTGTAGTGGTTGTTGTAGTGGTTGTTGTTGTTGTGGTTGTAGTGGTTGTTGTGCTTGTAGTTGTAATGGTTCTAGGTGCTGTGCTTGTGGCTGTAGGTGTTGTAGTGCTTGTTGTGATTGTAGTTGTAGTGGTTGTTGTAGTGGTTGTTGTTGTTGTGGTTGTAGTGGTTGTAGTTGTAATGGTTCGAGGTGCTGTGCTTGTGGCTGTAGATGTTGTAGTGGTTGTAGTGGTTGTAGTTGTAATGGTTCTAGGTGCTGTGCTTGTGGCTGTAGATGTTGTGGCTGCGGTTGTTGCGGTGGTTGCCGTGGCGGGCTCCCTCACGTCGAGAGAGAGCAGCGTTCCCTCCAGCTCCATGAGCCTTCCTGCAGTCGCTCGCTACTCCCCACCACCTCCGCCAGCCCATCACTCAGCTCACCCTGCACGGGACGGGGGGGGGGCATGGGGGGGGGGGCAGAGGGGGAATTACTGACATCACCAACAACATCACCATCAGTACAATCATCAACATAACTAACAGGAACACCACCAACACCAAGACCAGCCGGACGCGATGGGCCATCGTTACCATCACCATCACTGCCATCACTACCATCAACATCGCCGGCATCATTAAAAAGACTGTCATCATCATTATCATCACTGCCATTGCCGTCATCACCAACATAATTAACGACATCAGCGACAGAAGCAGCATCACCATCATCATTATAATTACCACTAACATCATCATTATAATTATCACTAACATCATTATAATTACCACTAACATTATCATTATAATTACCACTAACATCATCATTATAATTACCACTACCATCATCATTATCATTACCACTAACATCATTATAATTACCACTAACATCATCATTATAATTACCACTAACATCATCATAATTACCACTAACATCATTATAATTACCACTAACATCATCATTATAATTACCACTAACATCATCATTATAATAATAATTGGTTTTTTACCCTTCTATCTGGCAACAAAACTGACACCTTTTTTGTCAGTTTTGTTGCCAGATAGAAGGGTAAAAAACCAATTATCATATTTTTACTGGCAAATGAGGTCCCCATAGTGTATCATCATTATAATTACCACGAACATCATCATTACTCAGCTCACCCTACTGGGAGGGATGTACCAGTTCCAATGTCACGTGGCGGTGTGAGGAGGGGGGGGGGGAGTGAGCGGTGGGATGGTGTGTGGAGGCTGTCGAGATATGTGGAAGTGTGTGATGGAATCAAAAGATGTGTGGATGTGTGTGGATGTGCATGGAAGTGTGATGGAATCAGGAGTGTGTGGATGTGCGTGGAGGTGCGCGATGGAATCAGCAGATGTGTGGATGTGTGTGGAGGTGCGTGGAAGTGTGATGGAATCAGGAGTGTGTGGAGGTGCATGATGGAATCAGGAGGAGTGTTGATGTGTGCAATGGAATCAGCAGATGTGTGCATGTGTGTGGAGGTCCGTGATGGAATCAGGAGTGTGTGGATGTGTTCGGAGGTGCATGGAGGTGTGTGGAGGTGAGTGGATTTGTGCGATGGAATCAGGAGGAGGTGTGTGGGTGAGCGAGGAGGATGTGTGTGGGTGAGCGAGGAGGAGGTGCGTGGGTGGGTGGGTGAGCGAGGAGGAGGAGGTGTGTGGGTGAGCGAGGAGGAGGGGTGTGTGGGTGAGCGAGGAGGAGGAGGAGGTGCGTGGGTGGGTGAGCGAGGAGGAGGAGGTGTGTGGGTGAGCGAGGAGGAGGAGGTGTGTGGGTGAGCGAGGAGGAGGAGGTGCGTGCGTGGGTGAGCGAGGAGGTGTGTGGGTGAACGAGGAGGAGGTGTGTGGGTGAGCGAGAAGGAGGAGGTGTGTGGGTGAGCGAGGAGGAGGAGGTGTGTGGGTGAGCGAGGAGGAGGAGGAGGTGTGTGGGTGAGCGAGGAGGAGGAGGAGGAGTGTGGGTGAGCGAGGAGGAGGAGGTGTGTGGGTGAGCGAGGAGGAGGAGGTGCGTGGGTGGGTGAGCGAGGATGAGGAGGTGTGTGGGTGAGCGAGGAGGAGGAGGTGTGTGGGTGAGCGAGGAGGAGGAGGAGGTGTGTGGGTGAGCGAGGAGGAGGAGGTGTGTGGGTGAGCGAGGAGGAGGAGGTGTGTGGGTGAGTGAGGAGGAGGTGTGTGGGTGAGCGAGGAGGAGGTGTGTGGGTGAGCGAGGAGGAGGATGTGTGTGTGGGTGAGCGAGGAGGAGGAGGTGTGTGGGTGAGCGAGGAGGAGGTGTGTGGGTGAGCGAGGAGGAGGAGGTGTGTGGGTGAGCGAGGAGGAGGAGGTGCGTGGGTGAGCGAGGAAGAGGAGGTGTGTGGGTGAGCGAGGAGGAGGAGGTGTGTGGGAGAGCGTGGAGGAGGAGGTGTGTGGGTGAGCGAGGAAGAGGAGGTGCGTGGGTGAGCGAGGAAGAGGAGGTGTGTGGGTGAGCGTGGAGGAGGAGGTGTGTGGGTGAGCGAGGAGGAGGAGGTGTGTGGGTGAGCGAGGAGGAGGAGGTGTGTGGGTGAGCGAGGAGGAGGAGGTGCGTGGGTGAGCGAGGAAGAGGAGGTGTGTGGGTGAGCGAGGAGGAGGAGGTGTGTGGGTGAGCAAGGAGGAGGAGGTGTGTGGGTGAGCGAGGAGGAGGAGGTGTGTGGGTGAGCGAGGAGGAGGAGGTGCGTGGGTGGGTGAGCGAGGAAGAGGAGGTGTGTGGGGGAGCGAGGAGGAGGAGGTGTGTGGGTGAGCGAGGAGGAGGAGGAGGTGTGTGGGTGAGCGAGGAGGAGGAGGTGTGTGGGTGAGCGAGGAGGAGGAGGTGTGTGGGTGAGGGAGGAGGAGGTGTGTGGGTGAGTGAGGAGGAGGTGTGTGGGTGAGCGAGGAGGAGGATGTGTGTGGGTGAGCGAGGAGGAGGAGGTGTGTGGGTTAGCGAGGAGGAGGTGTGTGGGTGAGCGAGGAGGAGGAGGTGTGTGGGTGAGCGAGGAGGAGGAGGTGCGTGGGTTGAGCGAGGAAGAGGAGGTGTGTGGGTGAGCGAGCGAGGAGGAGGAGGTGTGTGGGTGAGCGAGGAGGAGGAGGTGTGTGGGTGAGCGAGGAGGAGGAGGTGTGTGGGTGAGCGAGGAGGAGGAGGTGCGTGGGTGAGCGAGGAAGAGGAGGTGTGTGGGTGAGCGAGCGAGGAGGAGGAGGTGCATGGGTGAGCGAGGAAGAGGAGGTGTGTGGGTGAGCGAGCGAGGAGGAGGAGGTGCGTGGGTGAGCGAGGAGGAGGAGGTGTGTGGGTGGGTGAGCGAGGAGGAGGAGGTGTGTGGGTAAGCGAGGGGGATGAGGTGTGTGGGTGAGCGAGGAGGAGGAGGGAGTGTGGGTGAGCGAGGAGGAGGAGGAGTGTGGGTGAGCGAGGAGGAGGTGTGTGGTTGTGAGCGAGGAGGAGGAGGGTGTGGGTGAGCGAGGGGATGAGGTGTGTGGGTGAGCGAGGAGGAGGAGGTGTGTGGGTGAGTGAGGAGGAGGAGGAGCAAGGGTGAGTGAGGAGGAGGGAGGTGTGTGGGTGAGCAAGGAGAGGAGGAGGTGTGTGGGTGAGCGAGGAGGAGGAGGAGGAGCGTGGTGTGAACGAGGAGGAGGAGGTGTGTGGGTGAGCGAGGAGGAGGAGGTGTGTGGGTGAGCGATGAGAGGGGATGGTGAGCTGTGGGTGATGCGAGGAGGAGGAGGTGTGTGGGTGAGCGAGGAGGAGGTGTGTGGTGTGAGCGAGGAGGAGGTGCGTGGGTGAGCGAGGAGGAGGAGGAGGTGTGTGGGTGAGCGAGGAGGAGGAGGAGGTGTGTGGGTGAGCGAGGAGGAGGAGGTGTGTGGGTGAGCGAGGAGGAGGAGGTGTTGTGGGTGAGCGAGGAGGAGGAGGTGTGTGGGTGAGCGAGGAGGAGGTGTGTGGCCGTGAGCGAGGAGGAGGAGGTGTGTGGGTGAGCGAGGAGGAGGAGGTTGTGTGGGTGAGCGAGGAGGAGGAGGTGTGTGTGGTGTGAGCGGAGGAGGAGGAGGTGTGTGGGTGAGCGAGGGGGATGAGGTGTGTGGGTGATGCGAGGGAGGAGGAGGAGTGTGGGTGAGCGAGGAGGAGGTGTGGTGGGTGAGCGAGGAGGAGGAGGTGTGTGTGGGTGAGCCGAGGAGGAGGAGGTGTGTGGGTAAGCGAGGGGGATGAGGTGTGTGGGTGAGCGAGGAGGAGGAGGAGTGTGGGTGAGCGAGGAGGAGGTGTGTGGGTGAGCGAGGAGGAGGTGTGTGGGTGAGCGAGGAGGAGGAGGTGCGTGGGTGAGCGAGGAGGAGGTGTGTGGGGTGAGCGAGGAGGAGGAGGAGGGTGTGTGGGTGAGCGAGGAGGAGGAGGTGTGTGGGTGAGCGAGGAGGAGGAGGTGTGTGGGTGAGCGAGGAGGTGTTGTGGGTGAACGAGGAGGAGGAGGTGTGTGGGTGGAGCGAGGATGAGGAGGTGTGTGGGTGAGCGAGGAGGTGTGTGGGTGAGCGAGGAGGAGGAGGTGTGTGGGTGAGCGAGGATGAGGAGGTGTGTGGGTGAGCGAGGAGGAGGAGGAGGGTGTGGGTGAGCGAGGAGGAGGAGGAGGTGTGTGGGAGAGCGAGGAGGAGGAGGTGTGTGGGTGAGCGAGGAGGAGGAGGTGCGTGGGTGGGTGAGCGAGGAAGAGGAGGTGTGTGGGTGAGCGAGGAGGAGGAGGTGTGTGGGTGAGCGAGGAGGAGGAGGTGTGTGGGTGAGTGAGGAGGAGGTGTGTGGGTGAGTGAGGAGGAGGTGTGTGGGTGAGCGAGGAGGAGGAGGTGTGTGGGTGAGCGAGGAGGAGGAGGTGTGTGGGTGAGCGAGGAGGAGCGTGGGGTGAGCGAGGAGGAGGAGGAGGTGTGTGGGTGAGCGAGGAGGAGGAGGTGTGTGGGTGAGCGAGGAGAAGGAGGTGTGTGGGTGAGCGAGGAGGAGGTGTGTGGGTGAACGAGGAGGAGGTGTGTGTGGGTGAGCGAGGAGGAGGAGGTGTGTGGGTGAGCGAGGAGGAGGAGGTGTGTGGGTGAGCGAGGAGGAGGTGTGTGGGTGAACGAGGAGGAGGATGTGTGTGGGTGAGCGAGGAGGAGGAGGTGTGTGGGTGAGCGAAGAGGAGGAGGTGTGTGGGTGAGCGAGGAGGAGGAGGAGGTGTGTGGGAGAGCGTGGAGGAGGAGGTGTGTGGGTGAGCGAGGAGGAGGAGGAGGTGCGTGGTGAGCGAGGAGGAGGAGGTGCGTTGGGTGAGCCGAGGAGAGGAGGTGTGTGGGTTGAGCGAGGAGGAGGAGGTGTGTGGGAGAGCGTGGCGGAGGAGGGGTGTGGGAGAGCGTGGAGGGAGGAGGGGTGTGTGGGTGAGCGAGGAGGAGGAGGAGGTGTGGTGGGTGAACGAGGGAGAGGGGTTGTGGGTTGAGCGAGAAGGAGGAGGTGTGGGGGTGAGCGAGGAGGAGGAGGAGGTTGTGTGGCGTGAGCGAGGAGGAGGAGGAGGTGTGTGGCGTGAGCGAGGAGGAGGAGGAGGTGTGTGGGTGAGCAAGGAGGAGGAGGAGGTGTGTGGGTGAGCAAGGAGGAGGAGGAGGTGCTGTGGGTGAGCGAGGAGGAGGAGGAGGTGTGGTGTGTGAGCGAGGAGGAGGAGGTTGTGGGTGTGAGCGAGGAGGAGGAGGTGCGTGGGTGGGTGAGCGAGGAAGAGGAGGTTGTGTGGGTGAGGCGAGGAGGAGGAGGAGGTGTGTGGGTGAGCGAGGAGGAGGAGGTGTGTGGGTGAGGAGAGGAGGAGGGTGTGGTGAGTGAGGAGGAGGTGTGTGGTGAGCGAGGAGGTTGTGGGTGAACGAGGAGGAGGTTGTGTGGGTGAGCGAGAAGGAGGAGGTGTGGTGGGTGAGCGAGGAGGAGGAGGTGTGTGGGTGAGCGAGGAGGAGGAGGAGGTGTGTGGGTGAGCGAGGAGGAGGAGGTGTGTGGGTGAGCGAGGAGGAGGAGGTGTGTGGGTGAGTGAGGAGGAGGTGTGGTGGAGTGAGTGAGGAGAGGTGTGTGGGTGAGCGAGGAGGAGGAGGTGTGTGGGTGAGCGAGGAAGAGGAGGTGTGTGGGTGAGCGTGGAGGAGGAGGTGTGTGGGGTGATGCGAGGAGGAGGAGGTGTGTGGGTGAGCGAGGAGGAGGAGGTGTGTGGGTGAGCGAGGAGGAGGAGGTGCGTGGAGTGAGCGAGGAAGAGGAGGTGTGTGGCGTGAGCGAGGAGGAGGAGGTGTGTGGGTGAGCAAGGAGGGAGGAGGTGTGTGGGTGGAGCGAGGAGGAGGAGGTGTGTGGGTGAGCGAGGAGGAGGAGATGTGTGGGTGAGCGAGGAGGTGTGTGGGTGAGCGAGGAGGAGGAGGTGTGTGGTGGGTGAGCGAGGAGGAGGAGGTGTGTGGGTGAGCGAGGAGGAGGAGGAGTGTGGGTGAGCGAGGAGGAGGAGGAGGTGTGGGTGAGCGAGGAGGAGGTGTGTGGGTGAGCGAGGAGGAGGAGGAGGTGTGTGTGGGTGGTGTGAGCGAGGGGGATGAGGTGTGTGGGTTGAGCGAGGAGGAGGAGGAGTGTGGGTGAGCGAGGAGGAGGAGGAGTGTGGGTGAGCGAGGAGGAGGTGTGTGGGTGAGCGAGGAGGAGGAGGTGTGTGGGTGAGCGAGGGGGAGGAGGTGTGTGGGTGAGCGAGGAGGAGGAGGTGTGTGGGTGAGCGAGGAGGAGGAGCGTGGGTGAGCGAGGAGGAGGAGGTGTGTGGGTGAGTGAGGAGGAGGAGGAGCAAGGGTGAGTGAGGAGGAGGAGGTGTGGGGTGAGCAGGAGGAGGAGGAGGTGTGTTTGGGTGAGCCCTGGAGGATGGAGGAGGAGCGTGGCGTGAGCGAGGAGGAGGAGGTGTGTGGGTGAGCGAGGAGGAGGGAGGGTGTGTGGGTGAGCTATGAGGAGGAGGAGGGTGGGTGGGGTGAGCTGAGGAGGAGAGGAAGAGGAGAGCGTGGCGGGTGAGGAGAGGAGGAGGAGGTGCAGTGGGTGACAGGAGGAGGAGGTGGTGGTTTGTGAGCGATGAGGAGGAGGAGGTGTGTGGTTCGAGCGAGTGAGGAGGAGGTGTGTGGGGTGAGCGAGGAGGAGGAGGTGTGGGGTGAGCGAGGAGGAGGAGGGTGTGTGGGTAATGGAGGGGGAGAGGGGTGTGGGAAGTGAGCGAGGAGGAGGAATGATGTGGCGTGAGGAGGAGGAGGTGTGTGGGTGAGCGAGGGGGAGGGTGTGCGGGTGAGCGAGGGGAGGAGGTGCTGGTTGTGAGCGAGGGAGGAAGGAGGAGGTGTGTGGGTGACGAAGGAGCGAGGAGGAGGTGGTGGGTGAGCGAGGAGGAGGAGGTGTGTGGGTGAGCGAGGAGGAGGAGGTGTGTGGGTGAGCGAGGAGGGGTGTGGGTGACGAGGAGGAGGTGTGTGGGTGAGCGAGAAGGAGGAGGTGTGTGGGTGAGCGAGGATGAGGAGGAGTGTGTGTGGGTGAGCGAGAGGAGGAGGAGGTGTGTGGGTGAGCGAGGAGGAGGAGGTGTGTGGGAGAGCGAGGAGGAGGAGGTGTGGGGTGAGCGAGGAGGAGGAGGTGCGTGGGTGGGTGAGCGAGGAAGAGGAGGTGTGGGTGAGCGAGGAGGAGGAGGGTGTGGGTGAGCGAGGAGGAGGAGTGTGGGGGTGAGGAGGAGGGGTGTGTGGGTGAGTGAGGAGGAGGTGTGTGGGTGGCGAGGAGGAGGATGTGTGTGGGTGAGCGAGGAGGAGGAGGTGTGTGGGTGAGCGAGGAGGAGGAGGTGTGTGGGTGAGCGAGGAGGAGCGTGGGGTGAGCGAGGAGGAGGAGGTGTGTGGGTGAGTGAGGAGGTGTGTGTGTGGGTGAGCGAGGAGGAGGAGGTGTGTGGGTGAGTGAGGAGGAGGAGGTGTGTGGGTGAGCGAGGAGGAGGAGGTGTGTGGGTGAGCGAGGAGGAGGAGGTGTGTGGGTGAGCAAGGAGGAGGAGGTGTGTGGGTGAGCGAGGAGGAGGTGTGTGGGTGAGCGAGGAGGAGGAGGTGCGTGGGTGAGCGAGGAGGTGTGTGGGTGAGCGAGGAGGAGGAGGTGTGTGGGTGAGCGAGGAGGAAAAGGAGGTGTGTGGGTGAGCGAGGAGGAGGTGTGTGGGTGAGCGAGGAGGAGGAGGTGCGTGGGTGAGCGAGGAGGTGTGTGAATGAGCGAGGAGGAGGAGGTGCGTGGGTGAGCGAGGAGGAGGAGGTGCGTGGGTGAGCGAGGAGGAGGAGGTGCGTGGGTGAGCGAGGAGGAGGAGGTGCGTGGGTGAGCGAGGAGGAGGAGGTGTCCACCTTGTGCTGTTCGTAGACGACGCCGAGTGGCGCCACCTGGCAGTGCTGGTGGGAGCCGAACACCTTGCACAGGGAGCAGGTGGGCGTGCGGCACGAGGAGCAGTAGATGTTCACGCGCTCCTCCTCGTGCTCCGTGCAGTGCGGCTCATCGACCTTGCGGCCGCCGGGACCCCTGTGGGGCACCGCCACCACCACCACCACAACAACGACGACGATGATGATGAAGGTTCAAACTACTCAAAGTGCTACGACCCGATGTGCAAATGCCGACCCCCCCCTACCCGCGATCGTGTTGGTCGCTGGTTGCAACGCCTCGGGGCATGGCTGTGCCGGAGATCTGGGTCGGCTCGTCTTCCGCCCCAACACGCGCACGATCACGGAAGGGCAACTTCATCGCCGTACCGCTGCTGATGTCGGCTATCGAGCCATAACGCCGGACCAGGGGGCTCCTCAGCTTCGGAGTGATCAACGGCACGAGGTCAACGCGACGGCGCTGGATCCAGGATCTTGGTCAACGATTGTGGACTCGACTCGTTGCCGAGACCTGGGCGTATGACGGACTATCCCGGATGGGCGTTAGTTAAGCGTGAGGCTTCAGCCGACGTGTACGCTACTGTGTGGTGGGATCAGAGGCGTAGCTGGGGGGGGGCAGGAGGGTACATGTGTCCCCGGGCGCCAAGGTAAAGGGGCACCAAAATGAGGCTCACAACGTTACATTAGAACTTATTGCGGCGGGCGCGGCAGCCTGAAACTACTGCACAAATCTACACCTCAACCTAAAAGTTTACATATCAAAATATCCTAGCTAGGCCTTTGGGTGGGATCGTACCGATTCACCGTGGAGACATCTGCGTGAAAGTCGCGAGCGACTCGTTGACAATCACCGTGGTTCGAGCTGCTGCTTGGGAAAACAACGAACGTCTGTTGAACGCCGTTCCTCACCACTGTCGGAATTCTTTTCCGAGCTTTCCAGCCTGCTAGACTGTGGCTCACCGTGCTCTAGCTAAATCATCTGTGTTGACCTGAACTGTCCCGGACCGACTGGTTCTTGTGGTAAAATCAACGGTGACCTGCCGCTCGGGAAATACGCCGGATCGCACCTTCACGTCCGCCGATGCCGTAGCCACGTGATCGACGTTGTTATCGAAGGCGCGGGCATTTCAGATCACGGTCTCGTGACGTGCAAGGCGGCATTACCGATCATTCGCCCACCCCATCACAACGATATCATACAGAGACTGGAAACGACTGGACCACGATGCCATCTGTCTGAACCAGGGGGAAGGGGCCCCTCTTTCCCAGTGCCCTGCCCCATGCCCCCCTGCCCTCACGCTGCTGCTGCTGCTCCCCGCGAGGGCTGCTGCTGCTGTTGCTGCTGCTTGTAGATGTCGATGATGTTCTCGACGAGGAGGTTCCGCTGGAGGCCGTAGACGCCGTGGCGGTCCAGCAACACCTCGTGGCGGCACGACGGGCAGCGGAAGCGGCCCCCCCCGCCGATTGAGGGCCCCCCCCCACGAGACTGGAGGGTGGAGGGACAGTGAGGGGGGGGCGAGGGGACCGGGGGAAGACAAGAGAGGCATTGCCACGAATGTTGTAACTTTGTGACCCACCCCTACTGGACATCTGTGACATTGCCCATGAGTGTACAGGTGAGCGTGCACGCGGGACACTGCACAGGTGAGTATACAGGTGAGTGAGCATGCAGCTGTGTGTACAGGTCAGAGTGCAGTGCGGGCGAGTGTACAGGTGAGTGTACAGGTGAGTGTACAGGTGAGTGTACAGCTGCGTGTCCAGGTCAGAGTGCAGTGCGGGCGAGTGTACAGGGAAGTGTACAGGCGAGTGTACAGGTGAGTGTATAGGCGAGTGTACAGGCGAGTGTATAGGTGAGCGTGCAGGTGAGTGTACAGGTGAGTGTACAGCTGCGTGTACAGCTGCGTGTACAGGTCAGAGTGCAGTGCGGGCGAGTGTACAGGTGAGTGTACAGGTGAGTGTGCAGGTGAGTGTACAGGTGAGTGTGCAGGTGAGTGTACAGGTGAGTGTGCAGGCGAGTGTACAGCTGCGTGTACAGGTCAGAGTGCAGTGCGGGCGAGTGTACAGGTGAGTGTACAGGTCAGAGTGTAGTGCGGGCGAGTGTACAGGTGAGTGTACAGGCGAGTGTACAGGTGAGTGTACAGGTGAGTGTACAGCTGCGTGTACAGGTCAGAATGCAGTGCGGGCGAGTGTACAGGTGAGTGTACAGGTGAGTGTACAGGTGAGTGTATAGGTGAGCGTACAGGTGAGCGTACAGGCGAGTGTGCAGGCGAGTGCACAGGCGAGTGCACAGGTGAGTGTACAGGCGAGTGCACAGGCGAGTGCACAGGTGAGTGTACAGGTGAGCGTACAGGCGAGTGTGCAGGCGAGTGCACAGGCGAGTGCACAGGTGAGTGTACAGGCGAGTGCACAGGCGAGTGCACAGGTGAGTGTACAGGTGAGCGTGCGGGGCAAGCACCTGGAACACGTCGTTGGCGCACTTGCGGCACAGGTTGTGCTGGCAGGGCAGGATGACCACAGGCTTGGAGAACATCTCCAGGCAGATGGGGCACAGCAGCTGGCGCTCCAGGTCGTCGCGCGCTTGGGACTCGCGCAGCAGCAGCGACGCCGTCGAGTCCGGCCCCGCGCCGTCCCTCCGCACGCTCATCGCTACGGCTGTTACGCACAGGCGGACAGCCTCGTTGCTACGGCTTTCACGCACAGGCGGACAGCCTCGTCGCTACACCTGTCACGCACAGGCGGACAGCTTCGTCACTACAGCTGTCACACACAGGCGGACAGCCTCGTCGCTGCTGCAGCTGTCACGCACAGGCGGACAGCCTCGTCACTACGGCTGTCACACACAGGCGGACAGCCTCGTCGCTGCTACAGCTGTCACACACAGGCGGACAGCCTCGTCACTACAGCTGTCACACACAGGCAGACAACCTCGTCACTACAGCTGTCACACACAGGCGGACAGCCTCGTCACTACAGCTGTCACGCACAGGCGGACAGCCTCGTCACTACAGCTGTCACACACAGGCGGACAGCCTCGTCACTACAGCTGTCACGCACAGGCGGACAGCCTCGTCACTACAGCTGCTACACACAGGCGGACAGCCTCGTCACTACAGCTGTCACGCACAGGCGGACAACCTCGTCACTACAGCTGCTACACACAGGCGGACAGCCTCGTCACTACAGCTGTCACGCACAAGCGGACAGCCTAGTCGCCACGGCTGTCACACACAGGCGGACAGCCTCGTCACTACAGCTGTCACGCACAGGCGGACAGCCTCGTCACTACAGCTGTCACGCACAGGCAGACAGCCTCGTTGCCACGGCTGTCACGTACAGGCGGACAGCCTCGTCACTACGGCTGTCACGCACAGGCGGACAGCCTCGTCACTACAGCTGTCACGCACAGGCGGACAGCCTCGTCACCACAGCTGTCACACACAGGCGGACAGCCTCGTCACTGCTGTCACGCACAGGCGGACAGCCTCGTCACTACAGCTGTCACGCACAGGCGGACAGCCTCGTCACTACAGCTGTCACGCACAGGCGGACAGCCTCGTCGCTCCAGCTGTCACGCACAGGCGAACAGCCTCGTCACTACAGCTGTAACACACAGGCGGACAGTCTCGTCACTACAGCTGTCACACACAGGCGGACAGTCTCGTCACTACAGCTGTCACGCACAGGCGGACAGCCTCGTCACTCCAGCTGTCACGCACAGGCGAACAGCCTCGTCACTACAGCTGTAACACACAGGCGGACAGTCTCGTCACTACAGCTGTCACACACAGGCGAACAGCCTCGTCACTACAGCTGTAACACACAGGCGAACAGTCTCGTCACTACAGCTGTCACACACAGGCGAACAGCCTCGTCACTACAGCTGTAACACACAGGCGGACAGCCTCGTCGCTCCAGCTGTCACGCACAGGCGGACAGTCTCGTCACTACAGCTGTAACACACAGGCGGACAGTCTCGTCACTACAGCTGTCACACACAGGCGGACAGTCTCGTCACTACAGCTGTCACGCACAGGCGGACAGCCTCGTCACCATTGCTGTCACGGACAGGCGGACAGCCTCGTCGCTAATACAGCTGCTAAACACAGGCTGACAGCCTCGTCACCACTGCTGTCACACACAGGCGGACAGCCTCGTTACCATGGCTGTCACGCACAGGCGGACAGCCTCGTCACCACTGCTGTCACACACAGGCGGACAGCCTCGTTACCATGGCTGTCACGCACAGGCGGACAGCCTCGTCACCACGGCTGTCGCAGCACAGGCGGACAGTGGCTACAGCTGCAAAACAGGCGGACAACCTCGTCGCTACGGCCTCCCCTAGGTGGCCTCAGCCTTAAATTAGTACCTGGTGCGGTGTGTAAACACACCAGCCCTGGGGATATGAAGGGGCAGGACATCATGCTTGTCACACCACCCCCTCGTAAGTGCAACGCGCCGGCATCCATAGGTGCTGCTCGCTCACAGCACTTGCCCCAACAGTCTGTGGAGGCTACACAGGGGAGCTGTGTGTATGTTCTTGTCTGCCTGTGCATGTCGGTGTGTGGGGAGCGGTGGTGCACCGGTTAGAGCGCTGCGCTATAAATCGGCATATTTATTTGCACCGGAGGAATCCGATGATCTATAAAGCTCTTTTTCACACATGTCCAACGGTTCGATTCCCACTCACGGTCAACACCAGTGACGATTATCTGAACCGGTCCTGGGCCTCCCCTAGGTCGACTCGGCCTCAAATGAGTACCCGTTGCGGTGTGTAGTAAACATCGCCACTGAGGGAGACAAAGGCGGCCGGGCGTGGTTGCTGCTCACTAACAGCACTTGTCCCAACAGTCTGTGAAGGCTACACGGGGGAGCTGTGTGTGTGTGTGTCGGCGAGTGCCTCTCCCTCCTCCACCTTCCTCAAGCCGTCCACCATCGGCTCCCTCCTCACTCCGTCCGTCAGGTTCAACGTTGGTCCACCTCGCTCAAAACCCTCCTCACCTCGTCCTCTCTCCTTTCGTTCCCTCGTCCACCCAGAGGGCTGATGGTCGACCTCGTTCGTGGTCGTCGTCGTCCCCCCGTGAGTCTCCCCGTCCGTTCGTCGTGTAGCGAGACTGACCACGACGAGGTAGAAGGATGAGCAGGAGGAGGAGAATGTTCCACGCTTTCCCTGTAACGAGAGACGCACGCGTCGAGAGAGAGGCCATTTATAGACCACGAGGTCACGTGGCCCAGGGGAGAACAGACCCCCCCAACCCCCCCCCCCCCAACTCGCTCCCAACATGGACTGGTCTGTCCAAGTCAGGCCCCCCGGTCCATCACCCCCCCCCCCTATCAAACATCTACTATGAACTCTTCCAACACTGGTCTCCCCCCCCCCACACAAAAAATCATTGGATTCAACTTCCAGCAGAACAAGCAGCCACCATTCACCACGGCGCTTGTGCCAGGCTAGGTGCACTCTGTCGATGGCTCGCTGGCAGGAGGTCACGGGGCAGGCGCTGCAGGTGCCATGGGTTGACTGCCTCGTGCCCACCGACTGCGTGAAACCAGAGGTCGCAACCGGGTACCCGATACCTGTACCCTACCCGGCTTACCCGTACCCGGCCGGGTACGGGTAGCCGGTTGCGACCCTGGTGCGGCCGGGTACGGGTAGGCCGTGAGTCACTGGTGAGTCACCGTTTGTCACTCATTTCCCAACGTCTTGTCTCTTCTCACAATTCAAGTTCCTAGAATCAACCCACCCGCGCCTGCAACATGGCTTCATCCCAGAGGTTGCAATCAGGTACCCGATACCCTACCCGTACCCGGCCGGGTACGGGTACCCGGCGGGTACGGGTACGGGTACCCGGCCGGGTACGGGTACCCGGCGGGTACGGGTACGGGTACCCGGCCGGGTACGGGTAAGGAATCAAAACCCGTTTGCGACCTCTGCACATAACATTGTGTAACACATTTTTGGGGGGTTTCTGGGTAGTGTTATTTTCTAATTGCTTATGCCTCAAAGTACAGAAGATGTCTATTATTCCGCACAAACTTTGGATTTGTGACCAGGACTCAAAAGCAAAGTTAATAACCCACTCCATTACGAACACTGTGTAACAACTTTATTTATTTGTTGTCCTTGGGTAGTCAGTGTTATTTCCTAATTGCCTATGCCTCAAAGGAACAGAAAACGGCTATTATTCCACACAAGCTTTGCTTTTGTGACCAGGACAATGCTATTTTGAAATTTACCTATTTTCAATGAGAACACGTGGTGTGCATTTGCGTCATCCCTTCACGTAAAGTCTCGGTCACAAAAGCAAAGTTTGTGGGGGAATAATAGCAATTTTCTACATTTTTGAAGCATAAGCAATTAGAAAAGAACACTTACTACCCAGAGACACAAATTGTGTTACATCGTGAATCATCGATGTCACCCTCGCCAGACGGTGGTGAGGCTGGAGTGAGGCACAAAGTTGGTGGCTGTGGAGACCAACCGCACGAACACGGTGGAGGTGAGGTGGACTGGTGGTGGACTGGTGGTGGAGTGGAGGTGGTTGTCTGGTGGTGGTTACATCGTGCATAATCTATGGGTGGAAAAAACCCGATTTTTCCAGCGGCAGGCATCTGTTTTTTTTCTTTAATACAATTAAACCCGATTTCGGGGAATTAAAACCTGGTTTCATGAATACGAAACTCTGATCCAAGGCTTCGGCTGCTTCCTCGTCGGTGCTGCTATCGTACTCGGGGGGGCCGTCGGGCACGAGGTAGTCGTAGAATGCGGCGGGCAGGTTGGTCTTGATGAACATGAGCTTCTCCTCCACAATCGTGGGCGCCAGTGAGTTCCTTAGCTTGGGCAATGGATGAAGCCCATCGTTGAGAAGTGCGGTTCTGCAATTAGAACCAATTAAACCGGATTTCTCCCAATCTCAGATGTTCGGGTTTAATATAATAAATTAACCCGTAAAAACAAGGTTTTTCACTCTAAATCCTTTATATGCGTGGCAGCGAGAGTCCTCTCGTCCTCTGGCTTGAGATGGCTGCCACCTATGGGTCAGATGATTATCTGCCAGCATTAAGCAATTGGTAATTAAATATTTAATTTGTTTTCCCTAAACAGTGTAAAATTTTGGAAAAACATTTTCACGAAAATTAATTGTCACGCACAACGAGTCTGTGTGGAAAATGTCAGCTCGATTGGATCACGGGAAGTGGGTTAAAAAACGACCGAAAGATTTGCACGGTCGTAAGCAAGCAAGCAAGCAAGCACGCAAGCAAGCAAGATAACTTAATATAAAGGATTTAAAATGACAATTAAACCCGATTGTAAAAAACCCGACAGTGCCACCCCCTTGGCATCATAATCAACATCGCAACACTGAAGATATATCTTCTTGGTTCTTTCGGTAAAGTCACGTAGAAGGAAAATAATAAAATAATAAAAATTAAACATAATAAAATACAATTCTCACGACGTTTCGGCCACAACGCAAGCAGCCGTCTTCAGGTGGAGCACAGGTCTGTCGAGAAGGCAGAGTCTGAATAAATTTCAGACAGATAATTATTTTATAATGTTTTAGTTTTATTATTTTATTATTTCCCTTCTACGTGACTTTACCGAAAGAACCAAGAAGATGAATCCCTGCAGTCACGAAAGCTTTAAATCGAAACTGAAGATATATAAAGAGTCACGTAGGTAAAACATTAAAATTAATAAAAGTAAAATAAAATATTTTACTTTGATTAATTTGTGTGTGCCTCTTTCTATATTCTAGATTTGAAGCTTTCGTGACTGCAAGGATTCATATTCTTAGTTTTTTCGGTAAAGTCACGTAGGTAAAACATTAAAATTAATAAAAGTAAAATAAATATTTTACTTTTATTAATTTTAAAAGTAAAATAAAATATTTTACTTTTATTAATTTTAAAAGTAAAATAAAATATTTTACTTTTATTAATTTTAATGTTTTACCTACGTGACTTTCCGGAAAAAACCTAAGAATATGAATCCTTGCAGTCACGAAAGCTTCAAATCTAGAATATAGAAAGAGGCACAACACTGCCCCCTGATGGCCACAACTCACGCTTGGAGGTGGTGGACCCCCCACCACCATCCCCCTCCCCACCACCCCCACCCCCCCACCACCCCCCCCCCACCACCACCCCCCCACCACCCCCCACCACCACCACCCCCCCCACCACCACCGCCCCCCCACCACCCCCACCCCCCCACCACCACCCCCACCACCCCCCACCACCCCCACCCCCCCCACCACCCCCCCACCACCCCCCCCCCACTCCCCCCCCACCACCCCCCACCACCCCCCCACCACTACCACACCACCCCCCCACCACACCACCCCCCACCGCTTGCCCAGCCCCGCCCCCCCCCCACCCCTAGCCCCGCCCCCCGGGCCCGCTCGACGATTCACGCGCCGCCGATTGAGAGCCACGCTCATGGCCTCGTCGCTCCGCACGCGAACCGCCTGGTCGGCGTCACGGGTAAGGGGCTACTCGCGAAACGTCGATGGGGCTGTGTGTGTGTGTGTGTGGTGGGTAGGGGGGGGGGGAAGGGGCTCAGCCCCCCGCCTGCCTCACGGCCAGAACGCGGCGCTCTCTGTGTCATTTTTGTTTGTGATCGGCGAGGCCCGAAGCGCGAATCAAGGGGGCTCGGATAGATGCCCTACCGGCGGAGGCGCGAGGTGCCCGGTAGGGGCGTCAACACTCGCCGAGGCCTGCTGCTCGCACCCCCCACCCCCCTCACCCCTCTACCCGACCCCACTCTTTGTTGTCACTTGTCTCGGTGGGTGTTTGTTGTTGAAATGACAGTGGCGATTAATTCGTAACGGTCTTTGTTGGTGGTGGTGTTATAGTATTTGTGGCGGTGCTGGTTTTGTTGTTGATGCCCTGGTGGTGGTTGGGTTTGTTGTTGTTGGGGGAGGGTTGCGTAACACGCGGAGTCACAGCTGATGCTGATGTCACCGGGGCCTTTGAGGCCGGGAGTTGTTGTTGTTGTCTTTCAATTTGGTACCTGGGAAACAACGGGGCACCAGGCAAATCAAGACCTGGGGGGGGGTACCAGGTCTTTGGGTCAGGGGACCCAGTGACCAGAGAGTGTTTGGGGTGAGATGGAACCAGGGATCGGGTACTGTGAACGTGGAGAAATGAGGCTTTGAAGACGGAGGACTACTTGTGGTTCTGGAATCTAGGACTAGGAATCAGGGGGGTGGATCCTGTGGAATTCTAGATTTGGGGTCAGCGACTTGGGAAAGTGGAAATTGTGGATCTGGGACCAGTAAGTAATATGGAGCTTGGGTAACCGAGACTTGGAAAACTAGGAGCAGGGCTCCGGAAAACTGAGACCTGGAGAAACTGGGGAACCTAAGCTTGGATCTGGAACCAAGATCTTGGAAAGCCGGCACCAGTATTGTTTTTTTTTTACTCCGGAACATATACTCAGTACCGGATTATCCTACTAGCACAAGTAGCTACACATGTAGTAGCTACGTGCTCCGCACTTTCAAGGGCCCCGCGCTAAATGCTTTCAAGCTATCAATTCCGGTTCAGTGATTCTGCACTTGCTCTATTACTCTAGTACTATACCGCCTTCAACTGTTACGAATAACTAGGTGTTTAAGGTTAGCGATTTGTCGTATTATCTGGCTGTATAGAAAATGAAAAAAATACAATTACTTTACTATGCAAGTAAAACATTTGTGTTTTAATATTGATGTGTTTTTTTTTATATTTAAGGCCCCTTTATAACATATGCTACAGGTCCCGCGATAGCTTAATCCGGCACTGCCTGGACTAGGCTCTTGGGACCTGGAATGCTCGTACCCATTAAGGTGCTGGAATCTCCGAAGAGGAACTCTCGTCTCGGGAGCTGGAATGGAACCTCGGAGCTGTGAATAGCGAGGGTCCTTGTGATCAGTGCCTGATAACTCTTCATAAGAGACCAATATGACAGAGTATGGAGATTCGAGAGAGACCTTGTACTCTATCTTGATTTGAAGCTTTCGTCACTGCAGGAATCTATACTCTTTGGTTCTTTCGGTAAAGTCACGTTGTTAGAAATAAAATGTAATAAAAAAATCACGACGTTTCAGCAAAAGCCTTTAGAGGCGACCGCTTGTGTTGCAATCGAAACGTCGTGATTTGTTTTATTTTATTTCTAACTACGTGACTTTGTACTCTCTTTGACATTATTCATCATAAAGTTTTTTTTGGGTTTGATCACGTAAGTATAAATGTGGTGTTAACCCACCACCACCCGACACAGCCAATTCGTGAGTTTTGTAACCTAAACAAAACCTTTGCAATTAGTTACTACTTCAGCCCACAGGTGTGTTGACAGAGTAAATCCATAACATTTACTGTGACGTTTTGCTGGTACAGTAACTACGTCCCGCGTCATCAAGACCTCGTACTCCTGAATTAGGGTTCTAGGACCTGGTGCTTGGGTAGGGCAGGGGGAGTTGAGATCTGGGACCTGGATCCTGGAATCAAGGATTCAGAACAAGGTACCCTGTATTTGTTTGGGATCTGGGAACCCAGGAATTTGGGGCAAAGAATGCTAGGCTTTGGAGCCGAGGGACGTGGGGGCTTAGCTGTACAGAAACCCGTGTTCGCTGTAACCCTGTGCATGTGATTGTCTATGTGTGAATTGTAGATGATAAGGACCCATTATGGACAACCCGGAGAGAGACGCCCAACCCCAGGATTTGAACCCAGTTTCTCTGCTGTGCTTGCTGAGTGGCTGTGCCACGGCCATAATGCGCCACCTGAAAGAGGGAGACCGAGTAACGAGGCTCGATCTCCATTGTACCAGCTCGGTGGTTCTAACATTGGCCATTATGAATCCTTTGTCCCACGCGACCCAGGTACTGGCGGAGGAAGTGACGCGATCGTGAGCGGCTGTGTTTGGACTCACGGACGGGACTCACGGCTGTAGGAACCGAACATGAAGCTGTTTGTGTTCCTGGTGAACACGGGTGCCACCCTCACCTTCGACACCGAGCTGGCACTCCAAACGTACTGCCCCGCACACTCGCTCGCGCAAAGACATGGACCCCCCCCCCCACTCCACCGTATATCCTCGAACAAACTTTCGGGTCGAGCATTGCTAGTGAGCACCTATGAAGATCGGTACACCACACAAGGAGGAGGTGGGAGACCAGCACCACACCCGGCTTGCCTTTGCCTTTCCAGTGGTGATGTTTTTGCACAATGCTGCTGGGAAATCATTTGAGGCTGAGTCGATCTAGTGGAGGCCCATGACCGGTTCAGATAATCGTCACTGGTGTTGGCCGTGAGAAGGAATCAAACTCGGGTCACTGGCTTCGTATTGCAGTGCGCTAGCCTCCACACTACCGCTCCCCCACACATAGACACACAGACACGGTCACACACGCGCTTTTCACACATAGTCACAACATGCACACGCGCTTAAGATGGAAATTAAGCGATGCAGTGCAACGTGATGTTTTAGAACACAATTGGTGGCAATGTTGCTTTGTTCAGTAACGTGGGTTGCTACACAGAGTATGAAGATGGGCAATACAGAGCAACTTTTATCCAAAAGTCTTCAAAACATTTTCTTTCACAAGCCAAGTGTGTTCTGATTGGTTGAACGGGGTCACATGGTCCTCATGGCAAACCGGTTCACCGTGGCTGTATTTCTTCCGCTCGTGATGGAAATGAGGCGCTTCATCATAAAACCGAACGGGTCTTTCGTAGGTAGGGAAATTAAACATTTCACCTTTGTAATATTTTGTTATTTTCTTCTCTTTTCTGGAATGCTCCCGTGGTGTAATGGTCAGCGAGACTGGACTTGCGATCCAGAGGTTGCCGGATCGATTCCGTCTCCCGGAGCGGCAGTTGAACCAACGGTCCACGCCTCTTAGATCCCCCCCCTCCCCACCTCTGGCAGGTCGCGTGCGGTGGAGTCAAGTGTGGGTACACCCACTGCTTACCGAACATGCCAAAATTATTTTTGATTCATAGGCCGAGCAGGTGCCTCTCCTTGCCTAAATCCTCCTGGCTTGACTCTCTGGGCTAAACCGGCCAGGATAGAGGGGAGGGCAGGGGTCGGTGCTTCCGGCCTCTACTTCATTAATGATTCAGGACCTGGGGCCGCGATTTAGCTTAATGGCTGAGTAATTTGAAACTGTGCTGCAAAACGGAAGCGAAGAAGTCATATTGCTTACCCTGAGAGACGTTGCCTAACGTGAAAAAATTGCACTCAGCTTTGTACACGCAGAAGTGTAACACACTCGCGAATAAGCGCTCGCAAAATCGTGTACGCTCAAATTCTTACATGAAGACAAAGGTTACCCCGTATAGCCTGTAACAGACTGTTGGGGCAAGTGCTGTTAGCGAGCACCTATGAAGGCCGACACGGCGCACGAGGCGTTGGGTGGCCAGCGCCATGCCCGGCGGCCTTTGTCTCCCTAGTGGCGAAGTTTACACACCACACTAGGTACTCATTTGAGGCTGAGTAGATCTAGGGGAGGCCCAAGGACTGTTTCAGATAATCGTCACTAGTGTTGGCTGTGTGCGGGAATCAAACTCGTGTTGCTGGGTTCATAGTGCAGCGCGCTAACCGCTACACTACACACGCAAACTCTTACACACTTATATTTAAACGATCGCACACACACACGCTAACACGCTAACACGCCAATCCAAGCTTGATCCAAATTTGTTCTTGGGTTTCACCACCAAATGTTAACGTTAATAATTTACTTATTTATCCTGAAAAGTCACACTGACTCCCGAATGCTCTTTATCAGGAGAGTGTGTAGCATTGCTGTTTTATTTTAAGATGTTTTCAGCCACTTTATGACGAGTAATTATTCTCTCAGCCTGGAAGTGCAACGCAAGTGTGTGGGATGAAATCGGAGCACGGGGAGAAAACCCACACGTCCGAGGGGGGGGGGGGGGGGGGGGAAACACTCCATCCCCGTACAGATGGGAACAGATGGAGATTAGTCCACTCCCTCTACCGTCTTCTGGCGAGACAGGGGAATGGCACCTCCTCGACGCTCCTGGGAAGGGAGTTCCACAACATCTGTGTGGTGATCCGCCGACCCTCCCTGTTGCCTCCACAGTGCTGGGCTACAGGCCACGTGCATAGTCATCTCCACGGCCCAGTATTACGTATGTTATGTATTATTAGTCAGTTGCCAAAGTTCTTCTTGCCAATTCCTCAACACAGCTTGTTGCGCACTCACTTCGGATTCTGTTCTGCCCATGTTGCAGAAAACTTCGAACCCGTGACGGGCAGCCGGTCCGACACAAGGCAAATGCCTTTAAAAAAAAGGGGGGCATCATAGAGAAACTCAGCGGAGCGGGGGGGGGGGGGCACGACACAGCCAATGTTAAATTATAAACACATGTTAAATGCAAAACAGAATGGGGGGGGGCACGAGGGGCTGGTCACTCCTTGCGATCTCCTAGCTCTTCCCTCTCATCTCACTCTACTCCCCTCCACACACTTTCCTACCTCTCCCCTCTAATCTCACTCTACTCCCATCCGCATACTCTCCTACCTCTCATCTCTCTCTACTCCCCTCCACACACTTTCCTACCTCTCCCCTCTAATCTCACTCTACTCCCATCCGCATACTCTCCTACCTCTCATCTCTCTCTACTCCCTCCACACACTTTCTACCTCTCCCCTCTAATCTCACTCTACTCCCATCCGCATACTCTCCTACCTCTCATCTCTCTCTACTCCCCTCCACACACTTTCCTACCTCTCCCCTCTAATCTCACTCTACTCCCATCCGCATACTCTCCTACCTCTCATCTCTCTCTACTCCCCTCCACACACTTTTCTACCTCTCCCCTCTAATCTCACTCTACTCCCATCCGCATACTCTCCTACCTCTCATCTCTCTCTACTCCCTTCCACACACTTTCCTACCTCTCCCCTCAAATCTCACTCTACTACCATCCGCATACTCTCCTACCTCTCATCTCTCTCTACTCCCCTCCACACACTCTCCTACCTCTCATCTCACTCCACTCCCCTCCACACACTCTCCTACCTCTCATCTCTCTACTCCCCCCCACACTCCCTCCTAACTCTCCCCTCTCATCTCACGCTATTCTTCTGGACGTCATCTCCGTTCCAGCAGCATTGGAGGCCGCCTCCTACTCGCAAAGCCGCCCACAGCCATCAATCTTCGTTCCATGGGATGAGGTCGCTCCTTCTCGGCTGCTGCTCCTGTAGTCTGGAATTAATTAGCTCTTGAACTGTGTGCGGTTGAGACTCTGCTGCCATCTCTTGTTCAAGTCGAGACCTAAAACGTAATTTTAAGTTTTGTTGTTTGGTCACCCCCACCCCCCCCACACCCCCAGTGTAGTCTCTGGAGATGCAGTTGCGTCTAGACGTTATTATACAAAATGTACTAGCAGCCTGCACGCACGTCCCTTGGACGTAACGTGACCCTCCCCTCCCTCCGCTCCTCCCCCCTCCCTCCCCACTTCACCCACCCAGCTACCGAGCAAAACTGTTTTTTAAATGTAGTATATGATATGATTCGCGGCCGGGGTGGAGGGTAGATGGGGGGTGTTGAGGGTGAAGTCATCGTGCAGACGTGCTAATTGATGTTACCACCGAGCACTCGCACTTGGCCGTGCGACAGACAGCCAGCCAGGAATCCAGGTTTGAATCCAGCCAGAAAAAAATTAACCCGTAAAAACAAAGTTTTTCACTATAAATCCTTTATATGCGTGGCATCGGGGCGGCTAGAGTCCTCTCGTCCTCTGGCTTGAGATGGCTGCCACCTATGGGTCAGATGATTGTGTGCCAGCATTAACCAATTGGAAAATAAATAATTAAACAATTTTCCCTAAACAGTGTAAAATTTTGGAAATTTTTTTCACGAAAATTCATTGTCACGCACAACGAGTCTGTGTGCAAAATGTCAGCTCGATTGGATCACGGGAAGTGGGTTAAAAAACGACCGAAAGATGTGCACCGTCCTAAGCAAGCAAGCAAGCGAACTTAATATAAGTATAACCCGTAAAAACAAAGTTTTTCACTATAAATCCTTTATAATGCGTGGCGGCTAGAGTCCTCTCGTCCTCTGGCTTGTGATGGCTGCCACCTATGGGTCAGATGATTGTCTGGCAGAATTAAGCAATTGGTAATTAAATATAATTTTTTTGTCCTAAAAAAAAAATTTTGGAAAAAAATTTTCACGAACATTAATTGTCACGCACAACGAGTCTGTGTGGGAAATGTCAGCTCGATTGGATCACGGGAAGTGGGTTAAAAAACGACCGAAAGATTTGCACGGTCCTAAGCAAGCAAGCAAGTGAACTTAATATAAAGGATTTAATAAAGGATTTAAAAAAAACGGTTTTGTTCTAATCTGGTACAACATTTGCATTGCATTGCAGCGTGGCGGAGTTGAGGCACGCCATCCACACCAAGTATCGCATCGGAGTTCAGCACCAGGTGCTGGTGGTCAGCGGCGGCGAGTGCCTGGCGGGCGAGCGGAGGGTGTGCAGCTACAGCGCCGGCACGGTACGCAAGAGCAGCACCTCCACGCCCCGGCGGGTCGGCTGCACGCAACCGACTCGCTCGCACGAGCCATCGGTTTGCGAGCCGTTGAGCAACCGGTTTGCTCGAAGGCGTTGGACAACAAACTCTGCCCCTCAAGCAAATTGTATTCTCCGCTCGGTCTCCCTGGCGCCTCTCACTCTCTACGCGCCGTGAAAAGGGCCACTTGCCCGAAGCGTCGCCCGTCACGGACAAGTCCTCGCAAGGCCGCGGTGTTATTGACGAGCGTGTTGAGTTTATTTGCCGCGACTGCTTTCGAGCGTCGATCCGCCCGCCGGCGATTTGTAGCGTCGTGTTTTGTCTTAATGATGACAATGATTGGTGACTCGCAAATATGTGATGATAATAATAACAACAATTCTTGAGCTTTATACATCGCGCCGTTGTCGTTCGTGCAAGTTGCATCTGTCACAATTGCCGAGGATGCACAGACCGACGCGGAACGGCAGCAGTCACCACCGGGCGGCGGTGAGCCGGTGCCGCCAGCGGTCGCCCAAACTCTGTTGTCCTCTACGTATTAGGATGTTTTCAGCCAAGTGATGAGTGGATGTATGTGAACTCTTGACTGGTCGTTACAATCAACGAAATGCGCCACCTTAATTCCTTGTTGCGCAACCGCTCACTCAGGTGCGGAGGTGGGGAGTAAAGCAGCTTCAGGCGATGATAACTCCGTGCGGTCATTTCGAGAGGAGCCGATGGTTTGGTTGCACAACTGATGGCTCAGGTGTTGGCGCCAGCTCTCCGGCTGTTGCTGCCGATGTTGACATCAAATCCGCTCCCCTGTGGCACAACCATATTCCAGTTGTGGGCGTGGAGCGGTGGCGTTGTGGTTTGTGCGCTGCCCGGTGAACCTGGAAACCCGGTGAACCTGGAAACCTCAGTTCGACCTATTGTTATTATTGTTATCGTGAGACCAGTGTGTATTTCTATTTGGGGAGTTGACCGGGGTGGCTTGGAGGTTCAGAGCTGCTGACTATTGAACACTTTGCTGCTGCAGCCTGTGGAGGCTACCACGGGGATCTTTGTCTTTGTAAGGTCACGTTGGGGGGGGGGGGGGATGGGGTCGTGCACCGTGTCGTTTTTTTACGAAGAAATGTGGAAGGAATCTCAGACATCTGACCAGAAGCTTGGGGGCAAGGGATGGCGGAGGTGGGGGCGGCGGGGGGGGGGGGGGCGGAGGGGGGACGGGGGGGGGCCATGAGGGGACGACGATGGCCGGTGGGGCGAGACTTGACGACGGAGCGACAGGTCACACGACAGGGGTCACCAGAGGGCGCCCGATAGAGGACGTCCACCAGCTATGAAATCTGCTCGTACGCAGAACCGAGTTGGATTGTTGCATCGCGGAGTCGTGGGAGGTGGCAGCAAGGCTGTGAGAGGAGGTCCCCAGCCAGCAGTGGATTTGTTGAAGACGTTGACATGAGCGATGGTTTTCTTACAGCCATAGTGGTCCCCGTCAGAGGAATATGGAATTTCCGCCAACAGATAAGGAGTCCTGCCCTATGCAATTTTTGAGGTGTGGGAGACACTGGATTATGGAAGGCCCTTTAGTGATCCACTGCTGGATGAAGGCCTCCCCTGCCCCCCTCCTCCCCCGCCGTGTCGGTCGTGGGAGTTGTTTGACCGTACTTCACCATGGAAGGAGTACTGCATGGAAGTGCTTTCATCTTGCGACTTGGTGTAGGCCAGACTCTGCAGTGCAAACCGCGATCAATCCAGGGTTCGGTCTGTGTCTGCGCTTTATCTGAACGACGCATTTGACATCGTTTGCACCAGAGTCACCACCGCCACCATCACCACCACCGCCACCATTACTACCGCCGCCGCCGCCACCATCACCGCCACTGTCGCCACCGCCACCGTCATCACTACTATCACCGTTGCCACCCCCGTTACCACCACCGCCACCATTACTACCACCACCGCCGCCGCCACCATCACCGCCACTGTCACCACCGCCACCGTCATCACTACTGTCACCGTTGCCACCCCCGTTACCACCACCGTCACCATCAACGCCACCATCGTCACCGTCACTGTCACCATCAACGCCAACCATCCTCACCGTCACTGTCACCGCCATCATCACCTCCCCCGGTTCCTGTGCGACTGCTGCTGCGTTTTTGTTTACAGGTCGGGCAATGCGAGCCTCCGCACTGCGCGGTTGTTTATTTAAAAAGTTGCCACTTATAGACGCCACCTGCTCATTGACACTTTGCACCGAGCGTCCGAGCGAGTGAGGAGGGGCAGCGGAGGCTGCTGCTGTGTGGAGGAGCAGTCGACTTTACTCGTGCGAGCGCGGTTGTGCCGTCGCACGATCGGTTTGCTTTCGGAGAGGGGGGCGGGGGGGGGGGGAAACGTGAAGCGAATAGTTAGAAGGTGTAGAGAGAGGGAATGGAGTAGAGGAGCACGTGGATTCGAGAGCGTCATGTTGATTTTTTTTTCCAGCTTTAATAGACTCTCCAAGCCTGGGGTGTGTCATTCAGACTCTGTCTTCTCGACAGACCTGTTCTTCACCTGAGGACGGCTGCTTGCGTTGTGGCCGAAACGTCTTGAGAATTATTTAATTATGTTTTATTATTACTATTTTATTATTTCCATTCTACGTGACTTTACCGAAAGGAACCAAGAAGGTCATGTTGATTGTCCGAGAAGCGTAGGTGGTGCTTGAGCAGGACGGGTCGCTAATTGGGACGATGGTCAGTGGGCGAGGCTAACGGTGGAGAGTGGCAGCCAAAGGGGTGAATCTCGCCCTGTAAGAAGACGTCCCCTGCGGAGATGGAGTGATGGAAATCGGCGTGTTTTGCCTGGGCGGGGTGGAGGGTTGCATCTCCAGACCGCGAGAGATGGCGACTGGTTTAGGGAGGCCTTTATCCAGCAGTGGATTGAACATGGCTCATAACGCTGATGAAGCTGACGATCTTCTTGTCGTGCTGTTTGACCAGCTTGTATGTGTCATTGGTTTAGCGGGCGCCATGTCAACATAACCTACCGCCCTTAGTCGATCCACTGCAGGTCACAACAATACACTCGCTCACCTTCTCGCCCACCCGTTCACTTATACACTCACTCGTTCCCTCACCCGCTCACGCTATCACCCACTCTTTTATTTTCGCTCGCGCACTCACTCGCGCACTCACCCGCTCGCTCGCTCACCCGCTCACTCACTCGCCATACTGCAGGTTACAGCACTTTTCTGTGCTTGGAGAGTGCATGGAAGGGAGTAGACTGAGATGAGAGGGGAGAGGTAGGAGAGCACGTGGATGCGAGTAGCGTGAGATGAGTGACGAGAGGTAGGAGGGTGTATGGAAGGGGAGTAGAGTGAGATGAGGGGGGAGGAGGGTGAGGTTAGAGGGGAGTGGGGTTAGATGAGAGGGGAGTGGGGTGAGATGAGAGGGGAGTGGATGCAATGAGAGGGGAGTGGGGTGAGGTGAGAGGGGAGTGGGGTGAGATGAGAGGGGAGTGGATGCAATGAGAGGGGAGTGGGGTGAGATGAGAGGGGAGTGGGTGACATGAGAGGGGAGTGGGGTGAGGTGAGAGGTGAGTGGGGTGAGATGAGAGGGGAGGAAGGTGAGATGAGAGGGGAGTGGATGCAATGAGAGGGGAGTGGGGTGAGGTGAGAGGGGAGTGGGGTGAGATGAGAGGGGAGTGGGGTGAGATGAGAGGGGAGTGGGGTGAGGTTAGAGGGGAGTGGGGTTAGATGAGAGGGGAGTGGGGTGAGATGAGAGGGGAGTGGATGCAATGAGAGGGGAGTGGGGTGAGGTGAGAGGGGAGTGGGGTGAGATGAGAGGGGAGTGGATGCAATGAGAGGGGAGTGGGGTGAGATGAGAGGGGAGTGGGTGACATGAGAGGGGAGTGGGGTGAGGTGAGAGGTGAGTGGGGTGAGATGAGAGGGGAGGAAGGTGAGATGAGAGGGGAGTGGATGCAATGAGAGGGGAGTGGGGTGAGGTGAGAGGGGAGTGGGGTGAGATGAGAGGGGAGTGGGGTGAGATGAGAGGGGAGTGGGGGGAGATGAGAGGGGAGTGGGTGAGATGAGAGGGGAGTGGGTGACATGAGAGGGGAGTGGGGTAAGGTGAGAGGTGAGTGGGGTGAGATGAGAGGGGAGGAAGGTGAGATGAGAGGGGAGTGGGGTGAGGTGAGAGGGGAGTGGGGTGAGATGAGGGGGGAGTGGGGTGAGATGAGAGGGGAGTGGAGTGAGATGAGAGGGGAGTGGGGTGAGATGAGAGGGGAGTGGAGTGAGATGAGAGGGGAGTGGAGTGAGATGAGAGGGGAGTGGAGTGAGATGAGAGGGGAGTGGGGTGAGATGAGAGGGGAGTGGGGTGAGATGAGAGGGGAGTGGGGTGAGATGAGAGGGGAGTGGGGTGAGATGAGAGGGGAGTGGGGTGAGATGAGAGGGGAGTGGGGTGAGATGAGAGGGGAGTGGGGTGAGATGAGAGGGGAGTGGGGTGAGATGAGAGGGGAGTGGGGTGAGGTGAGAGGGGAGTGGGGTTAGATGAGAAGGGAGTGGAGTGAGATGAGAGGGGAGTGGAGTGAGATGAGAGGGGAGTACGGTGAGATGAGGGGAGTGGAGTGAGATGAGATGAGAGGGGAGTGGGGTGAGGTGAGAGGGGAGTGGGGTGAGGTGAGAGGGGAGTGGGGTGAGATGAGGGGAGTGGAGTGAGATGAGAGGGGAGTGGGGTTAGATGAGAGGGGAGTGGGGTTAGATGAGAGGGGAGTGGAGTGAGATGAGAGGGGAGTGGGGTGAGGTGAGAGGGGAGTGGGGTGAGGTGAGAGGGGAGTGGGGTGAGGTGAGAGGGGAGTGGGGTGAGGTGAGAGGGGAGTGGGGTGAGGTGAGAGGGGAGTGGGGTGAGATGAGAGGGGAGTGGGGTTAGATGAGAGGGGAGTGGGGTGAGATGAGAGGGGAGTGGGGTGAGGTGAGAGGGGAGTGGGTGACATGAGAGGGGAGTGGGGTGAGGTGAGAGGGGAGTGGGGTGAGGTGAGAGGGGAGTGGGGTGAGGTGAGAGGGGAGTGGGGTGAGATGAGAGGGGAGTGGGGTTAGATGAGAGGGGAGTGGGGTGAGATGAGAGTGGGGTTAGATGAGAGGGGAGTAGGGTGAGATGAGAGGGGAGTGGGGTGAGATGAGAGGGGAGTGGAGTGAGATGAGAGGGGAGTGGAGTGAGATGAGAGGGGAGTGGGGTGAGGTGAGTGGGGTGAGGTGAGAGGGGAGTGGGGTGAGGTGAGAGCGGAGTGGGGTGAGATGAGAGGGGAGTGGGGTGAGATGAGAGGGGAGTGGGGTTAGATGAGAGGGGAGTGGGGTGAGGTGAGAGGGGAGTGGGGTGAGGTGAGAGGGGAGTGGGATGAGGTGAGAGGGGAGTGGGATGAGATGAGAGGGGAGTGGGGTGAGATGAGAGGGGAGTGGGGTGAGGTGAGAGGGGAGTGGAGTGAGATGAGAGGGGAGTGGGGTGAGATGAGAGGGGAGTGGAGTGAGATGAGAGGGGAGTGGGGTGAGATGAGAGGGGAGTGGGGTGAGATGAGAGGGGAGTGGGGTGAGGTGAGAGGGGAGTGGGGTGAGATGAGAGGGGAGTGGGGTGAGATGAGAGGGGAGTGGGGTGAGGTGAGAGGGGAGTGAGGTGAGGTGAGAGGGGAGTGGGGTGAGGTGAGAGGGGAGTGGGGTGAGGTGAGAGGGGAGTGGGGTTAGATGAGAGGGGAGTGGGGTGAGGTGAGAGGGGAGTGGGGTGAGGTGAGAGGGGAGTGGGGTGAGGTGAGAGGGAAGTGGGGTTAGATGAGAGGGCAGTGGGGTGAGGTGAGAGGGGAGTGGGGTTAGATGAGAGGGGAGTGGGGTGAGGTGAGAGGGGAGTGGGGTGAGATGAGAGGGGAGTGGGGTGAGATGAGAGGGGAGTGGGGTGAGGTGAGAGGGGAGTGGGGTGAGGTGAGGGGGGAGGAGGGTGAGGTGAGGGGGGAGGAGGGTGAGGTGAGGGGGGAGGAGGGTGAGGTGAGAGGGGAGTGGGGTTAGATGAGAGGGGAGTGGGGTGAGGTGAGAGGGGAGTGGAATGAGGTGAGAGGGGAGTGGGGTGAGGTGAGAGGGGAGTGGGGTGAGATGAGAGGGGAGTGGGGTGAGGTGAGAGGGGAGTGGGGTGAGGTGAGAGGGGGGTGAGATGAGATGGGAGTGGGGTGAGATGAGAGGGGAGTGGGGTGAGATGAGAGGGGAGTGGGGGGAGATGAGAGGGGAGTGGGGTGAGATGAGAGGGGAGTGGGGTGAGGTGAGAGGGGAGTGGAGTGAGATGAGAGAGGAGTGGAGTGAGATGAGAGGGGAGTGGGGTGAGATGATAGGTGAGTGGGGTGAGATGAGAGGTGAGTGGGGTGAGATGAGAGGTGAGTGGGGTGAGATGAGAGGGGAGTGGGGTGAGATGAGAGGGGAGTGGGGTTAGGTGAGAGGGGAGTGGGGTGAGATGAGAGGGGAGTGGGGTGAGGTGAGAGGGGAGTGGGGTGAGATGAGAGGGGAGTGGGGTGAGGTGAGAGGGGAGTGGGGTGAGATGAGAGGGGAGTGGGGTGAGATGAGGGGAGTGGAGTGAGATGAGAGGTGAATGGGGTTAGATGAGAGGGGAGTGGGGTGAGATGAGAGGAGTGGGGTGAGGTGAGAGGGGAGTGGGGTGAGATGAGAGGGGAGTGGAGTGAGATGAGAGGAGTGGGGTGAGGTGGGAGTGGGGTGAGATGAGAGGGGAGTGGGGTGAGATGAGAGGGGAGTGGGGTTAGATGAGAGGGGAGTGGAGTGAGATGAGAGGGGAGTGGGGTGAGATGAGAGGGGAGTGGGGTGAGATGAGAGGGGAGTGGGGTTAGATGAGAGGGGAGTGGAGTGAGATGAGAGGGGAGTGGGGTGAGATGAGAGGGGAGTGGGGTGAGATGAGAGGGGAGTGGGGTGAGATGAGAGGGGAGTGGGGTGAGATGAGAGGGGAGTGGGGTGAGATGAGAGGGGAGTGGGGTTAGATGAGAGGGGAGTGGGGTGAGGTGAGAGGGGAGTAGGGTGAGATGAGAGGTGAGTGGGTTTGGATGAGAGGGGAGTGGAGTGAGATGAGAGGGGAGTGGGGTGAGATGAGAGGGGAGTGGGGTGAGATGAGAGGGGAGTGGGGTGAGATGAGAGGGGAGTGGGGTGAGATGAGAGGGGAGTAGGGTGAGATGAGAGGGGAGTGGGGTGAGATGAGAGGGGAGTGGGGTTAGATGAGAGGGGAGTGGGGTGAGGTGAGAGGGGAGTAGGGTGAGATGAGAGGTGAGTGGGTTTGGATGAGAGGGGAGTGGAGTGAGATGAGAGGTGAGTGGGTTTGGATGAGAGGGGAGTGTATTGAGATGAGAGGGGAGAGGCACCCGCGTAGCGACTGTAATGCCCTGGCACGCTGGCCGCTGGTGGAGAACGTTTTCCTCCACTTGGCAGCTGCTGAAGCCTGACCTGGACAGTCTGGGTGGAGGGTGGCGCAAATTAAGAACCCAGGTCGCTGGGTTGGCTGCGTTTTGGCCGATATCATTTGTATAGCGTGGCCTGCACGTGAGGTTTCCCGACCATCCGTGTATGTCTGTGAGTGCGAGTACGTGTGCGTGTGTGATGGGGTAGCGGTTCGTGCGCTGCGCAATTAATCCAGCGGCCCGCGTTCGATTCCCGCTCACGGCCAACACCATTGACGATGATCTAAACCGTTACTGGGCCTCCCCTTAGGTCGACTCTGTGTAAACATCGTCACTGGGGAGACAAAGGCGGCCGGGCGTGGTGCTGGCCACCCACGACCTCATGTGCCGTGCCGGCTTTCATAGGTGCTACTCGCTAACAGCACTTGCCCCTACAGTCTGTTAAGGCTATACAGAGGATCTTTGTATTTGTCTTTTGTGTGTGTGTGTGTGGTAGGCGTGTGCATCTGCCACCTAGCCTGGCACGGGTGCTGTGGTGACTTCACGATCACTCAGCGGTGTGTGGCGGCCGTTGTCGTAAGAATTGTTGTTCTGCCCCTGGTGATATAATTATCGTGATGGTATTTATTACCACGTTGATAATGATTAATTTCATCATTGTATAAGTGTTATTGTTGTTATCTTTATGATAGAATTATTATCGTCATGATATAATCATTATTGTCATGATAAAACAACTCCAGGGGCGCTGTGAGCTTGAATCACTGTTGGCTCGTAGCTCCAACATGGCCATTACAAACCCTCTTGAGAAAGCGACAGGGAGAGAGGCGCCACACTTCTCTATTCTCCGTAGCCTCTCGCCGAAGGCACCAATTCGATCGTCCTGTTGTTAGTATCGACCACGGGACATCGTCCCTCCCAGCAGCGTGCACCACTGTGTTGGGGAACTCCCCGTGGGCGGGCGTCAAGGAGGAGGAGGAGGAGCCGTACCGCGGATCTGCCAGTAGAGGGCAGCACAGCAGAAATGTGGACTCCCACCTGTCCAGTCTGTATCAGAGGTCGCAACCGGGTACCCGATACCCGTACCCTACCCGATACCCGGCTACCCGTACCCGGCCAGGGTACGGGTACGGGTAGCCGTTTGCGACCCTGGTGCGGCCGGGTACGGGTACGGGTAGGCCGTGAGTCACTGGTGAGTCACCGTTTGTCACTCATTTCGGGTAGGGTACGGGTACGGGTAGGGAACGGCTACCCGTACCCGGCCGGGTGCGGCTGGGTACGGGTAAGGAATCAAAACCCGTTTGCGACCTCTGGTCTGTATGGGGGTTAGAGCGTTTCCCCCTCGCTCGAACGCGTGGGTTTTTCTCCGGGTGCTCCAGTTTCCTCCCACACGTGTAATAAACACCCCTCGTTAATTGGCCTATAACACCTTAACAAAGAGAGGAACCGCGGAGTTTCGGGCAATCGTTGGTAGCGCCGGCTAAATCGCGTGACTGCCTTCCCGCTTCGTCTGTGGTTCCTCTGCGTCGTCCTCTCTGTCTACGAGGGCGAGGAACGGATGCTGTGAAGTGGCAGTGGCAGCGGCGGCGGCGCATCGTTACGAGTTAACGTGATTGTTTTAAAATGACCAACCAGGGAAAAAGAGATGGGTTTGAACTGAGAACCTCTGACCTTGCTGGCTCGGTGACTCCGACATGGCCATTATGAACCCCCGGAGGGAGACGGAGAGTCACGCGTCTTCTCCGTGCGTCTCTCGCCTAGGACACGAACCCGATCTTCTTGTTCAGCAAGGAGCTGATCCTGCACGACCGGGCGCCGTGCGTGAGCCGTGTGGTGCTGCCCGGCGAGGCGCAGATGGAGCCCAAGGTGGAGGAGTCGGTGATCATGCCGGCGGTGTTCCACACCGTGACGCTGCGCACGCAGCTCGCGCTGGTAACGCATCGCCGCCACCGCCATCACCACCACCACCAGCAGCAATGCTCGCACCATGTGCTTGTCCCCTGTGCGTGTGTTTGTGTCTGTGCGTGCGTGCGTGTGTGCGTGTGGGGAGTGTTGGTGCAGCGGCTTGCGTGTAGTGCTATGAACCTGGTGATCCGAGTTCGATTCCCACATCTGTGTGGTGCCTGCGCGTGTGTCCCTGCGTACGATCGTCCGTGTGTACGTACCTGTGTACGTACCTGCGTCATGTCTCACCGCTTGGATTCCTGCTCCTCCCCATCCTCCTCCCAACCTCATTCACCTCCCTCTTTCACACACTCACTCCACCTTTTCCTCACCACCTCCTACCCTCTCCTCCTGCTCCCCCGCCACGTCCCCGACCACCTCTTCCCCCTCCTCCTCCCCCCCCACCACCTCCACCTTTTTCCCCCACCTCCCCCCCTCCTCCTCCCCCTCCCAGCGCCACCTCCTCCTCCACCTCTTCCTTCGCCCACCTTTCCCCCCCCCCACGTCCTCGCGGCGCTGCCCGTGCACAGGAGATGCAGGAGCTGGCGCAGCGGCTGTGCATGGTGTGCGAGTCGCTGGTGCACGACGAGCACATGCAGCACCAGGGCTGGGCGGCCGTCACCGCCAACCTCGACGACTGCAGCTCGGCCTTCGCGGGCCTCCTGACGGCCTTCACGCGCGCCTACGCAGCCTTCCTGGAGTCACGCCGCGACATCCTCGCCCAGCTCTCCGAGTGCGTGGATCATTCACTCATTCGTTCACTCATTCGTTCACTCATTCGTTCACTCATGCACTCATTCATTCACTCACTCGGCCGCACCCGCACGACCTTCCTGGATTCGTGCCAAGTTGTGAATCTCTCCCATCCCTCTCTCCCCGTCCCTCTCACCCCGTCCCTCTCTCCCCGCCCCTCTCTCCCCGTCCCTCTCTCCCCGCCCTTCTCTCCCGCGTGCGTGTGCGCTAGGCTGGGCGACGCCGTCACCGTCATGGCTCAGATCCCGCTGCTCCAGTGCCTCACCGCCTCCGCCTCCTCCGTCCCCTCCGTCTCCCGCCGGCGCGACAGCCTGTGCCGGCTCGCCGACCACTCCGACCCCGGCCGCCTCTCCGCCGACCTCTCCTCCTCCGCCAGCTCGCGGCCAGCGGGGCGGCCGCGCGCTCGGGCCGGCCCGGCCTCTCCCGAAGGCCCCGGGACGCCGCCTCCGAAATGTCCAAGCGGCGGCGCTGACGACGGCCGACTTTCACCGGGCCCCGAGGGCGACGGTGGAGACGATGGCGGTGGCCGGATAAAGGGCAGCTTCAATGTGTCGTTGCTCGACTGGGTGAACGTTCAAGATCGACCCAACGACGTGGAGACGCTCGTCCGAAAGTGCTTCGAGTCGATGAGCAGGGTGCGTGCTTGTGTGTGCGTGTGTGCGTGCGTGTGTAAGGGTTTGTGTGTGCGGGGTTTTGTGTGTGTGTTTGTGTGCGTGGGGAAGGGTTTCTGTGTGCGTTTGGAAAGGTGCGTGCGTGCGTGTTGCGTGCGTGTTGCGTGCGTGTTGTGTGCGTGTTGTGTGCGTGTTGTGTGCGTTTGTGTGCGTACGTGTGGAATGATTTGTGCATGTGGGTTTTTGTGTGTGTGTCTGTGCGTTTTTTAAGGGTTTGTGTACGTGTATGTGTTGTGTGTGTGCGTGCGTGCGTGTAACGGTTAGAGCACTGAGCTGGTCCTGGGCCTTCCCTAGGTCAAATGAGTACCTGGTGCAGTGTGTAAACATCGCCACTGGGGAGACAAAGGCGGCCTGGAGTGGTGATGGCCACCCACCCCCTCGTGTGCCATGCCAGCCATTATAGGTGCTCGCTAACAGCACCTTGCCCTAACAGTCTGTTCAAGGCTATATGGGGGCTCTTTGTGTTTTTTTGCGTGTGCATGCGGGGTTTGTGTGTGCTTGCGTGTGTTCGATGTTCGAGCGCGCGTGCATGTGCATGCACGGCCTGATTTGCCCATCCGTTGCTGGTTGAGGCTCTCAAATACAAGCTTCATGCGCGGAGAGTAGGAGAGTGCGTGGAGGGGAGTAGAGTGAGATGAGAGAGTAGGAGAGTGCGTGGTGATGAGGATGATGATAGCGACGACGACGACGGTGATGACCGCGGGGTTTAACGATTGGCGTCTGCGGTCACCGCTGCCCGACAGCTGGAGCCCGGCATCGTGCAGCCCTTCCTGGGCGACTGCCAGGAAACTCTGGCCAAGATGGACAATCCGAGCATGAAGTCAATCCGCGGGCTGGAGGACCGGCTCTTCGTGCTCGACCAGCTGCTCGCCTCCTGCCAGCGCCTCGTCACCGAGCAGAAGGAGCTGGCGCAGGTAACCGCGGCGACCGGTCCCTCTCCCACGGCGACCGGGCCATCGTCACGGCGACTGGTTTACCCACAATCCCCCGTGTAATTTTTTTTTGGCTCCTATTTAAAATTTTATTTCGAGCTTGCGATGGGCGTCGTGCCAGGAAGAGAACGAGGCTTTCAATTCCCAACTACTGCAGGGCCCACTGGGAGGAAGGGAGGGGTGGTGGCGGGGGTGGTGGCGGTGGTTAGAGGGTAGGGGGGGGGGCAGTGTTTGACCTTCGGGGTGCCCATCAGCAGCTTGCTCAACAAACTCTCTTTGCGCTGCTTGCGGCGCAGGGCTTCCTGGCGAATCAAAAGCGCGCGGAGAACCTCAAGGACCCGTCGGTCCTGCCAGACCTGTGCCGCAGCCACGCCAACCAGCTGGTGATCATGCTGAGCAACCACAAGAAGCTGCTGGACGTCAAGCACCGCTGCGCCACCGCCAAGCAGGAGCTCACCGACAACCTGCACGTGCGCCTGCGGTGAGTGACGGTGGTGGCGCCACCACCACGGCCTTGAAACGGCGGCAATGATGGCGCCACCTCAACTGTGGTGGCAGCCTTGGCGGCGCCACCACGGCCGTGGCCGTGGCAACGCCTGCGGTGAGTGGAGGCGGCAGTGGTGGGCGCTGCCTGCGCTTCCGACCGTGTGAGCCGCTCGTGAGATGCGGTTTCCCCGACCCTGCTGGCTACTTGACCAAATTTCGATTTAAAGCTTTCGTGACTGCAGGGATTCATCTTCTGGGTTCTTTCGGTAAAGTCACGTAGAAGGGAAATAATAAAATAATAAAAAGCAAACATAATAACATAATTCTCACGACGTTTCGGCCACAACGCAAGTAGCCGTCCTCAGGTGTTTCATTCTTCACCTGAGGACGGCTGCTTGCGTTGTGGCCGAAACGTCGTGAGAATTATTTTATTATGTTTTATTTTTATTATTTTATTACTTCCCTTCTACGTGACTTTACTTTACCAAAGCCGAGACGTTCACGACGGGGACCTCGGCTCGGCCCCTCGTTGGTCCGTTGTCCATTCTGAACTTCGGAACTGAAAATGGCTCGGCGCCTACAGTCCTGCAGTGAATTGGTCACGCTTCTCAATATTCACACCCTCCCATCTGGAGTGGGTGAGTGGGTGAGAGAGTGAGCGCGTGGGTGAGTAAGTGGGTGGGTGGGTGAGTGTATGGGCTTGCCAGCTGAAACAATAATGTCTTGAGTCTGTGTGTCTTCATGTAATCCTTATAGGTCTCTATGAAGCACACTATGGATCTCTATGTTACTCTGTGGATCTCTACGTAACTTTGGCTCTCTAATTCATTGCAAAGGTCTCAAAGTAACTATGGATCTCTATGTTAATCTGTGGATCTCTACGTAGCTCTATGGCTCTCTAAGTCATTCTAAAGGCCTCAAAGTAACTATGGATCTCTATGTTACTCTGTGGATCTCTACGTAACTATGGCTCTCTAATTCATTCTCAAGATCTCAAAGTAACTATGGATCTCTATGTAACTCTGTGGCTCTCTACGTAGCTCTATGGCTCTCTAAGTCATTCTCAAGGTCTCAAAGTAACTATGGATCTCTATGTAACTCTGTGGCTCTTTACGTAGCTCAATGGCCCTCTGTGTAGCTCTGTGGGTAATGGAGCTGCTCGGCTCAACGGGGCCTTGCCAGCTGAGACAACAAAGCCTGAGCACGAGCGTTTCAACGTCGCAGCCTACCCCCCGGGCGTAACGTGGCGTCTTTGGTGGCGTCTGCAGGTGGTGCTACTACGTGATGCACCACGCCGACCTGGGCCGCGAGAAGCTGCAGGCGCTGTGCCACGTGCTGCGCGAGCTCACGGGCCGCGTGGGCGCCGCGCGCGAGGTGGCGCTTGCCCCGCGCCTCTACTGCCTGGCCGCCACCGAGACGCTGCGGCGGCGCGCCTTCTCCACGCACTACCGGCGGGTGAGTAGGCGGGTGTGTGGACAGGTGGGTGAGCGAGTGAGCGGGTGAGTGGTTTGGTGGTTGAGTGGGTAGGTGAGCGGGTGGACGGGTGGGTGTGGGGACGAGTGAGTGGACGGGTGGGTGAGAGAATGAGTGGACGGGTGGGTGAGCGAGTGAGCGGGTGAGTGGGTTGGTGGGTGGGTGAGTGGGTTTGTGGATGAGTGGGCGGGTGAGCGGGTGGGTGGGCGGGCGGACAGGCGGGTGGGTGGGTGGGCGATTGGACGGGTGTGTGGACGAGTGAGTGGACGGGTGGGTGAGCGAGTGAGCGGGTGATTGGGTTGGTGGTTGGGTGAGTGGGTGGGTGAGCGATTGAGCGAGTAGGGTAGGTGGGTGGGTGGATGGGTGATCGGGTGGGTGGGTGGCTTAACGGCTGGGTGGGTAAGCGCGTGGGTGGGCGGGTGGGCGGGTGACTAGGTGAGTGAGTTGGTGGGTGGGTGAATGGGTAGGTGGGCGAGTGAGTGGGTTGGCGGGTGGGCGGGTAAATGAGTGAGTGAGTTGGTTGGTCAGTGTGGTTGGGTGGGTTAGTGGTTGAGTGTGTTGGCGGGTGAGCGGTTTTGGCAGGTGACTGGGTAAGTGACTGAGTCGGTGTGCGAGTCGTTAGGTCGGGGAGTGGGTGAGTGAGTTTGTGAGTGGGTGAATGAGTGAGTGGGTGGTTGCCCGCGTGCCTGCCAATTATTTTAATTATAGTTGTTATGATCGTTATTACGCTCGTTTTAATCGCTTTGCACATTTTTCATTGCCCTAAATTGTCGCCCAATTACATATTTATTTCTTTATTTGTTCCATTTCAAGGCTGTGGTGTTGTTTGACTTACTCTTGTGCACCACTGCCGCAGCAGCAGCATCTGATGATTTATAAACACAATAGCTTTCTCGTTGTTGTGATTACTCGGCTTGTTTACCAATGGAAAGCCTTTTCTGAGTCTCATGACAGTTTTATTTCAGGAGGGTCCTGCCATGTTTGTCGCAGTCGGGACGAGGGGTGGGTGGGGGAGCGTGACGATTGCTGTCTTTCATTACAAATGTAAATTATTATTTTTTCCCGTTTCCTCATTAACTGGCCGATAACATCTTAATGCTGTGGTTCTCAACCTTAACGACAGCCTTGCACCCCTTAGGTCAGGGGTCGGGAACCTTTTTGACTGGGAGAGCCATAAAAGCCAAATATTTCTAAATATATTTCATTGAGAGCCATATAGTATTTTTTACGTTTAATAAATTAAATATGTCTTACTTTTAATGCGACTTCTGGTGCTGCATGGTTTTGCTGATGGACTTGTAGTCTGGTTCATACGTGGTGAGGTTGAGCTTCGTGCAGGCGTGACTCGTGAAATTTATCTTCAAAACTAATTTCTGTTTACTTTAAAATGACACAGTATTATTAAACAATATCAAAAGTATTTTAAAATCAGTTCCAAACTGATTTTTAGTTTTTTCATTATTATTATTTTTTTCAACTCAAAATTGTCTGGGAGCCATATGCCGTCACTGGAAGAGCCATATATGGCTCGCGAGCCATAGGTTCCCGACCGCTGCCTTAGGTTCTCAATCGTACAGTGTTAATACATACGTAGGGTTCTATGAAACAAAGTCGTTGTACTTACATGCCCGCGTTTAATTTGTGTTTCGATGATTTACCTTCGAAAAAAACTTGGCCGTGTCTCGCACCCCCCCAGAAAGGGCATCTCGCACCCCCAGGTGGTGCGTGTACCCCAGGTTAAGAAGAACCACTGCCTTAATGCACTGAGGAGCGCAGAGCTCGGGCAATTGTTAGTAGCGCCGGCTCCACCACGCCGTGTGGCTGCTGCTGCCTTCCCCGCTCACCCGTGGTTCCTCCTGCTCATGCTAGCACATGTGAGCCAAGGATGTCGTCCGGTGCCGTTCTGAAGGGATCTTTTACCTTCCTCGGTCACCCAGATCGATTGCGATCAATGAACTCCTTGTAATACTCTTTCCGGTAAAGTCACGTAGGTAGTAAAACATTTTTTTTTTAATAAAAGTTTAATAAAAATCATCTCGTTTCGGAGGCAACACAAGCTTGCGTCTTCAGGTGGAACCGTCACAGCACGATTGCTGTATCAAGTAAATGAGAAATTACCTGGTAAATTGCAAACGTTTGGCTCGCGGCGTTCAGTCGGTGCTCGGTGTGTCTTGAATGAAATAATAAAAATAATCGCAGACTGGTTGGGCACTGTCCCGGATAGCATGAGAACCATTGATGATATTTTTATTATTCTTCTTTTTCTTTTCAGAGTATATCTGTTCTTATACTTTTTGGTTCTTTCGGTAAAGTCACGTAGGTAGAAAATAAAATAAAATTTAAAATAATATATCACGACGTTTCGATCGCAACACAAGCGGTCGGGCGGAGGACAACCGCTTGTGCTGTGATTGAAACGGTGTGATATATTATTTTTTATATTTTATTTGATTTCTCTACCTGCGTGACTTTACCGAAAGAACCAAAGAGTATGGATTCCTGCAGTCACGAAAGCTTCAAATCAAGATTACTATATCTGTTGTGCGTCTCTTGACTCTGATTCTTAAATATGTTTACTGTTGGATTTTAATGTTGGTTTAGAAACTCTCAGTCTGTGCTGCTTTCCAGTTGCCTCCGTGAAAAGTTTCGCCCATTCTTGGCCACCTGCCTCAAACACGTAATAAACTAACTAACTCTGTCTCGCTCTCTCTACGAGAGGCGAGCAGATAATCTGCGGTGAAATTATGTTTAATTATCCCGTGTAAATTGTGGTCTGGGATGTGTCGACCGAATGGACTAATTTATTTGTTCGTGATAATTTTTGTTGTTGTTTGTGCCTTTTGTTTTGGTGCCATTTTTTTTATTTGTTTATTCATTTTAGATTTAGCTTGGTAGTAAGTTTTAATTTGCTCAGTAGTGGCTGTAAATGGAGTTTAGCGCTTATATATAATTAATGTACAGCATTATGGGATGCTAGTAACACGAATGACGCTATATATAATGAAAGTATTAAATCCTAATCGAGTATGTATGTTGAACTTTGCACCGTACGTAGCCAACCGTGCTCATCGGAGGACAACAAACTACACAGAATTAGCAGTTTTAAATAAATTAGCTTTCAATTTATATTTAAAAGTGCATAGCTCCCAGCGGCTTCCTGATATCGGAGAGGAAGAGCGTTCCAGACGGCCGCAGAAGCGCATCTGAAAGTGCGCGATGCGGTGACCGTCTTTGTTCGATGGCTAGCCCCCAAAAGCTGCTGCCGCTGCTGCTGCGAGGATAATTGGAGTTCGCGTGATGATGGTTTAATTGCAGCGTAGTGTTTGCTGGTCATCGGGCCACACCACCCCTTCATGAGCTGTGCCCATGTGACGTGCTCACAGCTCTTGCCCCGATGGACTGTGAGGATCAATGTGGCGATCTTCGTGCGACCATGTCTGCCTGCGTGTGTGCGCGCGCGCCCGTGTCACTCTGTGTGCGTCTATGTTGAGCGGTGGCGCAGCGGTTCGCGCGCTGAACTACGGACCTCGGCCGCCCCGAGTTTGATTCCCGCTCACGGCCAACACCAGTGACGATTATTTTAACTGGTCCTGGAGCCACCCTTTGGTCGACTCAGTCTCAATTGAGTACCTGGTTCGATGTCTGAACATTGCCAATCGGGAGACAAAGGCAGCCGGGCGTGGTGCTGGCCACCGCCGCCCTCGTGTGCTGTGCCGGCCTTCATAGGTGCTCGCAAACAGCACTTGCCCCAACAGTCTGGGGAAGGCTACATGGGGGATCTTTGTCTTTGTCTGGACGGAGCAGTGGGCGAGTTTGCTGGTGCGTGATGGGAAAGAGCTCTACCAGGCTGAGAGAGAGAGGAGAGAGGCGTTCAGACAGATCTTCGGTGAGCGATGGATCCGATACAGAACCCTCATCTCATTCGACACGGAACTATCGTCTCATCCCCTACAGAACTCTTCTCTCCTCCCAGACATAACCGTTCTCTAATCCAATACAGAACCCTTGCTAATCCCATACAAGAACCTGCATCCGAGCCCTAGTTTCACACCACAGTCACTCAATGTGTAACCATATTGTGTGTGCATCTGTCTCCAATGCTGTCTTCATGTCTCCCCGTGGTGTCTCCCCGTGGTGTCTCCCCGTGGTGTCTCCCCGTGGTGTCTCCCCGTGGTGTCTTCCCCTGGTGTCTCCCCCTGGTGTCTCCCCGTGGTGTCTCCCCTTGTCTCCCCATGCTGTCTTTCCTTGTCTCCCCCTGGTGTCTCCCCGTGGTGTCTCCCCCTGGTGTCTCCCCGTGGTGTCTCCCCGTGGTATCTCCCCGTGATGTCTCCCCTTGGTGTCTCCCCGTGGTGTCTCCCCGTGATGTCTCCCCTTGGTGTCTCCCCGTGGTGTCTCCCCGTGATGTCTCCCCTTGGTGTCTCCCCGTGGTGTCTCCCCCTGGTGTCTCCCCGTGGTGTCTCCCCCTGGTGTCTCCCCGCGGTGTCTCCCCGCGGTGTCTCCCCCTGGTGTCTCCCCCTGGTGTCTCCCCCTGGTGTCTCCCCCTGGTGTCTCCCCCCGGTGTCTCCCCGTGGTGTCTCCCCGTGGTGTCTCCCCGTGGTGTCTCCCCGTGGTGTCTCCCCATGGTGTCTCCCCCTGGTGTCTCCCCGTGGTGTCTCCCCGTGGTGTCTCCCCCTGGTGTCTCCTCGTGGTGTCTCCCCCTGGTGTCTCCCCGTGGTGTCTCCCCCTGGTGTCTCCCCCTGGTGTCTCCCCGTGGTGTCTCCCCGTGGTGTCTCCCCGTGGTGTCTCCCCCTGTGTCTCCCCTTGGTGTCTCCCCCTGGTTGTCTCCCCGTGGGGTCTCCCCGTGGTGTCCTCCCCCTGGTGTCTCCCCGTGGTGTCTCCCCGTGGTGGTCTCCCCTGGTGTCTCCCCGTGGTGTCTCCCCGTGTGTCTCCCCGTGGTGCTCCCCCTGGTGTCCGTCCCCGTTGTGTCTCCCCGTGGTGTCTCCTCGTGTGGTCTCCCCCTGGTGTCTCCCCGTGGTGTCTCCCCCGGGTCTACCCCTGGTGTCTCCCCCTGGTGTCTCCCCCGTGGTGGCCTCCCCGTGGTGTCTCCCCCTGGTGTCTCCCCCTGGTGTCTCCCCGTGGTGGTCCTCCCCGTGGTGGTCTCCCCCTGGTGTCTCCCCTGGTGTCTCCCCGTGGTGTCCCCCCGTGGTGTCTTCCCTGGTGTCCTCCTCTCCCCTGGTGTCTCCCCCTGGTGTCTCCCCCTGGTGTCTCCCCGTGGTGTCTCCCCGTGGTGTCTCCCCTGGTGTCTCCCCCTGGGTGTCTCCCCTGGTGTCTCCCCCTGGTGTCTCCCGTGGTGTCTCCCCGTGGTGTCTCCGTCTCCCCGTGGTGTCTCCCCCTGGTGTCTCCCCGTGGTGTCTCCCCCTGGTGTCTCCCCCTGGTGTCTCCCCGTGTGTCTCCCCGTGGTGTCTCCCCGTGGTGTCGCCCCTGGTGTCTCCCCCGTGGTGTCTCCCCCTGGTGTCTCCCCAGTGGTGTCCCCCGTGGTGTCTCCCCCTGGTGTCTCCCGTGTGTCTCCCCGTGGTGTCTCCCAGTGGTGTCTCCCCGTGGTGTCTCCCCGTGGTGTCTCCCCGTGTGTCTCCCCCTGGTGTCTCCCCTGGTGTCTCCCCCGTGGTGTCTCCTCGTGGTGTCTCCCCCTGGTGTCTCCCCGTGGTGTCTCCCCCTGGTGTCTACCCCTGGTGTCTCCCCCTGGTGTCTCCCCGTGGTGTCTCCCCGTGGTGTCTCCCCCTGGTGTCTCCCCCTGGTGTCTCCCCGTGGTGTCTCCCCGTGGTGTCTCCCCCTGGTGTCTCCCCCTGGTGTCTCCCCCTGGTGTCTCCCCCTGGTGTCTTCCCCTGGTGTCTCCCCGTGGTGTCTCCCCCTGGTGTCTCCCCCTGGTGTCTCCCCGTGGTGTCTCCCCGTGGTGTCTTCCCTTGGTGTCTCCCCCTGGTGTCTCCCCCTGGTGTCTCCCCCTGGTGTCTCCCCCTGGTGTCTCCCCGTGGTGTCTCCCCCTGGTGTCTCCCCCTGGTGTCTCCCCCTGGTGTCTCCCCCTGGTGTCTCCCCCTGGTGTCTCCCCCTGGTGTCTCCCCCTGGTGTCTCCCCGTGGTGTCTCCCCCTGGTGTCTCCCCCTGGTGTTTCCCCCTGGTGTCTCCCCTGGTGTCTCCCCCTGGTGTCTCCCCGTGGTGTCTCCCCGTGGTGTCTCCCCCTGGTGTCTCCCCGTGGTGTCTCCCCCTGGTGTCTCCCCCTGGTGTCTCCCCCTGGTGTCTCTCCGTGGTGTCTCCCCGTGGTGTCTCCCCGTGGTGTCTCCCCGTGGTGTCTCCCCCTGGTGTCTCCCCGTGGTGTCTCCCCCTGGTGTCTCCCCGTGGTGTCTCCCCCTGGTGTCTCCCCGTGGTGTCTCTCCGTGGTGTCTCCCCGTGGTGTCTCCCCCTGGTGTCTCCCCGTGGTGTCTCCCCGTGGTGTCTCCCCGTGGTGTCTCCCCCTTGTGTCTCCCTGTGACGTCTCCCCCTGGTGTCTCCCCGTGGTGTCTCCCCGTGGTGTCTCCCCGTGGTGTCTCCCCCTGGTGTCTCCCCGTGGTGTCTCCCCGTGGTGTCTCCCCGTGGTGTCTCCCCCTGGTGTCTCCCCCTGGTGTCTCCCCGTGGTGTCTCCCCGTGGTGTCTCCCCGTGGTGTCTCCCCTTGGTGTCTCCCCCTGGTGTCTCCCCGTGGTGTCTCCCCCTGGTGTCTCCCCGTGGTGTCTACCCGTGGTGTCTCCCCCTGGTGTCTCCCCCTGGTGTCTCCCCCTGGTGTCTCCCCCTGGTGTCTCCCCGTGGTGTCTCCCCCTGGTGTCTCCCCCTAGGGTCTCCCCCTGGTGTCTCCCCCTGGTGTCTCCCCGTGGTGTCTCCCCCTGGTGTCTCCCCCTGGTGTCTCCCCGTGGTGTCTCCCCCTGGTGTCTCCCCCTGGTGTCTCCCCGTGGTGTCTCCCCCTGGTGTCTCCCCCTGGTGTCTCCCCCTGGTGTCTCCCCCTGGTGTCTCCCCGTGGTGTCTCCCCGTGGTGTCTCCCCGTGGTGTCTCCCCCTGGTGTCTCCCCCTGGTGTCTCCCCGTGGTGTCTCCCCGTGGTGTCTCTCCGTGGTGTCTCCCCCTGGTGTCTCCCCCTGGTGTCTCCCCGTGGTGTCTCCCCGTGGTGTCTCTCCGTGGTGTCTCCCCCTGGTGTCTCCCCCTGGTGTCTCCCCGTGGTGTCTCCCCCTGGTGTCTCCCCGTGGTGTCTCCCCGTGGTGTCTCCCCGTGGTGTCTCCCCGTGGTGTCTCCCCCTGGTGTCTCCCCGTGGTGTCTCCCCGTGGTGTCTCTCCGTGGTGTCTCCCCCTGGTGTCTCCCCGTGGTGTCTCCCCCTGGTGTCTCCCCGTGGTGTCTCCCCGTGGTGTCTCCCCCTGGTGTCTCCCCGTGGTGTCTCCCCCTGGTGTCTCCCCGTGGTGTCTCCCCGTGGTGTCTCCCCGTGGTGTCTCCCCGTGGTGTCTCCCCGTGGTGTCTCCCCCTGGTGTCTCCCCATGACGTCTCCCCCTGGTGTCTCCCCGTGGTGTCTCCCCGTGGTGTCTCCCCGTGGTGTCTCTCCGTGGTGTCTCCCCGTGGTGTCTCCCCGTGGTGTCTCCCCGTGGTGTCTCTCCGTGGTGTCTCCCCCTGGTGTCTCCCCCTGGTGTCTCCCCGTGGTGTCTCCCCGTGGTGTCTCCCCATGACGTCTCCCCCTGGTGTCTCCCCGTGGTGTCTCCCCGTGGTGTCTCCCTGTGGTGTCTCCCCGTGGTGTCTCTCCCTGGTGTCTCCCCCTGGAGTCTCCCCCTGGTGTCTCCCCCTGGTGTCTCCCCGTGGTGTCTCCCCGTGGTGTCTCCCCGTGGTGTCTCCCAGTGGTGTCTCCCCGTGGTGTCTCCCCGTGGTGTCTCTCCGTGGTGTCTCCCCGTGGTGTCTCCCCCTGGTGTCTCCCCTTGTCTCCCCGTGGTGTATCTCCGTGGTGTCTCCCCCTGGTGTCTCCCCGTGGTGTCTCCCTGTGACGTCTCCCCCTGGTGTCTCCCCGTGGTGTCTCCCCTTGTCTTCCCCTGGTGTCTCCCCCGTGGTGTCTCCCCGTGGTGTCTCCCCGTGGTGTCTCCCCGTGGTGTCTCCCCGTGGTGTCTCCCCGTGGTGTCTCCCCGTGGTGTCTCCCCGTGGTGTCTCCCCGTGGTGTCTCCTCGTGGTGTCTCCCCCTGGTGTCTCCCCGTGGTGTCTCCCCGTGGTGTCTCCCCCTGGTGTCTCCTCGTGGTGTCTCCCCGTGGTGTCTCCCCGTGGTGTCTCCCCGTGGTGTCTCCCCGTGGTGTCTCCCCGTGGTGTCTCCCCGTGGTGTCTCCCCGTGGTGTCTCCTCGTGGTGTCTCCCCGTGGTGTCTCCCCGTGGTGTCTTTCCTTGTCTCCCCCTGGTGTCTCCCCGTGGTGTCTCCCCCTGGTGTCTCCCCTTGTCTCCCCGTGGTGTCTCTCCTTGGTGTCGTCTCCCCTCATGGTTTTCTCTCCCCAGGCCACAGCTTCCTCAAAGGGCGGCTCTTCCAGGGGCTCGAGTCGTGGCCTCCGTCGACATTTTGCGTGAGTTCCACACCCACGCTCGGCCCACGGCCACCATCAGTGGCACGCGGCATCAGAGCCGCGTTGCCTGCTAAACGAGCGCCTGGTGCGCTGTGTAAACGTTGGCACTTGTCAAGGAGCAGTATTACCCATCACGCAAACTTCGGTGGTCATAGTAATAGGTTTTTTCCCTTTTTTCTGGTACAAAAACTGACACCTTTATACAAGGGATCATGTTTGCAATAACCACAACACAAGCAGTCAAAATGCAAACAAAAAGAAACAACTTTGATAATGATAATGCTATGCACTGTCATTGAAGTTGATTGGTCCACACCCGAGACAGCTTTTCTTAGAGCTGAGTCTCCACTGGTGTTGGACCAGATGGTCATCCTCGCAGCAGCAGAGGCTTTTGGCTGCGAGACATCAAACAAAGAGATGGTGGTCACCCCATCGCGCGGTGCTTTCAGACGCGCTTCTGCGGCCGTCTGGAGCGCTCTTCCTTCAGATATTAGGAAGCCGCTGGAGCTTTGTACTTTCAAATCATCATCTAGATTGGCAAACTCGTTTCTTTAGAACGGCTTTTTTGTGTTTAGTTTGTTGTTATTCTCCTCGCACCTCCAATTAGTACGGTGCGAAGTAGTTCAACCACATAAACACAACATAGCACTGGGCATTCGGGTTTGGCGCTGACCACCCACCCACCTCGTTGGCCGTGCCGGTTTTAATAGATGCTACTCGCCAACACCAACTCGATCCAGCAGTCTGTTAAGAGCTATGCGGGGGAACCTCTGTCATTGTTTGTGTGTGTGCGTGCGTGCCAGACGCGTGAGCCACGCGCGTTTGACGAGCAGCTTCCCGCGGTGACGCTCGAAGACCTTCACTTCCTGCAGAGCCACAGCCCCCCCGAGATGCAGCCCTACCTGCAGTGAGCACCCCGCACCCCCCCCCACAAATAACACTGCCAAGCGAGTCCCCCCCCACCCCCACCCCCCCACCCCCGTTTACACATTGGCCAATGAGACTCTCATACACACCTCGCGTGAAACGCTCTGTACGTATGTGTTGTGTCAACGATTCGGAGAGTTTCTCGGAGGCACTTTCTTGATTAGCAACTTTCACGCTCTCGTCCGCACACTCTCCACAGTAGCTCAGCCGAGCCTGTACACAACACTAGCCGTCCAACACTGACGGCGCTGACTGAGATAGCCAAACTGTCCTTCGTAGCGCAACATCTCGCGGAGATGTTCAGCGACGATGGTGACGATACGACAGCGACGATGGTGACGATACGACAGCGACGATGGCGACGATACGACAGCGACGATGGCGACGATACGACAGCGACGATGGCGACGATACGACAGCGACGATGGCGACGATACGACAGCGACGATGGCGACGATACGACAGCGACGATGGCGACGATACGACAGCGACGATGGCGACGATACGACAGCGACGATGGCGACGATACGACAGCGACGATGGCGACGATACGACAGCGACGATGGCGACGATACGACAGCGACGATGGCGACGATACGACAGCGACGATGGCGACGATACGACAGCGACGATGGCGACGATACGACAGCGACTATGGCGACGATACGACAGCGACGATGGCGACGATACGACAGCAACGATGGCGACGATACGACAGCGACGATGGCGACGATACGACAGCGACGATGGCGACGATACGACAGCGACGATGGCGACGATACGACAGCGACGATGGCGACGATACGACAGCGACGATGGTGACGATACGACAGCGACGATGGTGACGATACGACAGCGACGATGGTGACGATACGACAGCGACGATGGTGACGATACGACAGCGACGATGGTGACGATACGACAGCGACGATGGTGACGATACGACAGCGACGATGGTGACGATACGACAGCGACGATGGTGACGATACGACAGCGACGATGGTGACGATACAACAGCGACGATGGTGACGATACGACAGCGACGATGGTGACGATACGACAGCGACGATGGTGACGATACGACAGCGACGATGGTGACGATACGACAGCGACGATGGTGACGATACGACAGCGACGATGGTGACGATACGACAGCGACGATGGTGACGATACGACAGCGACGATGGTGACGATACGACAGCGACGACGAGACGAGTCCACTCCTAGAACCGGCAGCCTCGAGCCCCTCCTCGGCGTGTGCCGCAGAAACGCGAGGTGGACAGGGCAGACATTCACAGAGGAAACTGGCATCATCAGGCGATACTACTCTTTGGTTCTTTCGGTAAAGTCACGTATGAAGATGAAATAATAAATTAAATACGAGCATACGACGTTTCGATTGCAGCACAAGCAATCATCATCAGGTATAAATGAAATAGAAACACAAATCTAGTATACTGAGAAATGTAATGTAATACAACAGAGAGTCGGATAACATAACAGTCAACACCCTACCTGGTTGATTACGTTCTTCCTGAGAATGCTAAATTTCTCCAAATTAAGTTTTATCATCACTAAAGATTTAGCAGTCCCCCAGCTACCCTTTCATGGGCATGAGTAATAAGCTTTATCCAGGTACTCCGGTTTTTGGTATCCGTTATCTGGTTTCTGATTTCCAGGTTTTGGTTTCAGATTTCTGGTGTCTAGTGTCCGGTTTCTGGATTCCGGTTTCTAGTGTCAGGTTTCCGATTTCCAGGGTCTGGTTTCTGGTATCGGGTTTAAAGTATCCGGCTTCCGATTTCCAAGTTCTGGTCTCTGGTATCTGGTTTCTAGTATCCGGTTTCTGATTTCCAGGTTCTGGTATCTGGTATCGGGTTTCAAGTATCCAGCTTCCGATTTCAAAGGTCATGTCTCTGGTATCTGGTTTCTAGTATCCGGTTTCTGATTTCCAGGTTCTGGTATTTGGTATCCTGTTTCTGATTTACAGGTTCTGGTTTCTGGTATCGGTTTTCAAGTATCCGGCTTCCGATTTCCAAGTTCTGGTATCTGGTTTCTAGTATTCGGGTTCTGATTTCCAGGTTCTGGTTTCTGGTATCTGGTATCCTGTTTATGATTTCCAGGTTCTGGTATCTGGTTTCTAGTATCCGGTTTCCAATTTCCAGGTTCTGGTATCTGGTTTCTCGTATCCGATTTCCAATTTCCAGGTTATGGTATCTGGTTTCTCGTATCCGATTTCTAATTTCCAGGTTCTGGTATCTGGTTTCTCGTATCCGATTTCCAATTTCCAGGTTCTGGTATCTGGTTTCTCGTGTCCGATTTCCAATTTCCAGGTTCTGGTATCTGGTTTCTCGTATCCGATTTCCAATTTCCAGGTTCTGGTATCTGGTTTCTCGTATCCGATTTCCAATTTCCAGGTTCTGGTATCTGGTTTCTCGTATCCGGTTTCCAATTTCCAGGTTCTGGTATCTGATTTTTAGTGTCCAGTTTCCGGCTTTCTGCTTTCCTGCTCGACGACGCAAACTCAGCGTGGGCCGGGACATGCTGAGCTGGGTGGCGATGCCCTCCTGGGTAAAAACAAGGGTGAGAATAAAAACAACACTTAACAACAACAACAACGGGGTGAATCTCCGCGCAGGCTCCCGACGCTGTGCGACTTTGAGCTGCTGCGGGAGCACTCGGCACGCGGACGGAGGTTGGCGCGGGCCGTGCGCGGTGCCCAGGACGCGTCGCTCGCCCTCGCTCAGCTCCTCTCCACCAAAACGGTGCGGCCCGGCCACGCCACGCCACGCAGTCGCCTACACCGCCACCAAACTAAACTGACAACTAAAACTATTTTTTTATTGCACCAGGTAAGAGCCCACACACACTGAGCTACTTGGCTCTTTTTCAGACGCGACCTGGCCATCGCGAATGATAGCTCAGACGAAGGTGGCTTATCGTCGTGTGGAAATTCGTAGCAAGCCAAATGCTCTTAAACGCGTGACTTTGATTCTTAATGTGGAGGGGAAAAAGCAGAGGACCCGGAGACAAATCCACGCGACTACAGGGAAGAGAAAGAGAGAGACACGCAAACTCCAAATATAAGGCAGGCGTCAGGGTCGGGATCGAACCCACGACCTCCTGCATCCCAGGCGAGAGAGATGACATCTCGCCACTGTGGCACCCATATACTGGTGCCAGTTACCGGCGAGCACACGGTCATCTGCACCCACGTACTAAACCAGTACGGAGACAAAGATCCCCCGCTTTATAGTCTTGGACAAGACCGTAGGAGCAAGTGCTGTTAGTGAGCAGCACCTGTGAAGACTTCACCCGCACACGAGCAGGAGGTGGGTTGCCAACGTCACGCCCGGCCACTTTTGTCTCCCCGGTGGCGACGATTACGATGCACCGCACCAGGAACTTAATTTGAGGTGGAGTCGACCTAGGGGAGGTTCCAGGACCACTTCAGATAATCATCACTGGTTTTGGTTGGCCTTGAGCGGGGATCGGACTCGGGTCGCTGGGTTCATAGCGCAGCTCGCTAACTGCTGTGCCACAACTAAATAACAAATACAAAGATTCACCGTATAGTTTTAACAGACCAGCTATTGGGGCAAGTGCTCTTAGACAGCACCACGCCTGGCCTCCTTTGTCTTCCCAGTGACCACTAAATAACTACAAACACAGACACAAACATAACAAAATAAACTCGGCACGTTCGTCATGGGTCTATGGGTCTCTTTGTGAGTCTGTGGGTCTCTGTGTGAGTCTGTGGGTCTCTGTGTGAGTCTCTGGGTCTCTCAGAGTCTGTGGGTCTCTGTGTGAGTCTGTCAGTCTCTGTGTAAGTCTGTGTGTCTTTGTGTGTTTCTGTGTGTCTTTGTGTGAGTCTGTGGGTCTCTGTGAGAGTCTGTGGGTCTCTGTGTGAGTCTGTGAGTCTCTGTGTGAGTCTGTGGGTCTCTGTGAGAGTCTGTGGGTCTCTGTGTGAGTCTGTGGGTCTCTGTGTGGGTCTCTGTGAGAGTCTGTGGGTCTCTGTGAGAGTCTGTGGGTCTCTGTGAGAGTCTGTGGGTCTCTGTGAGAGTCTGTGGGTCTCTGTGAGAGTCTGTGGGTCTCTGTGAGAGTCTGTGGGTCTCTGTGAGAGTCTGTGGGTCTCTGTGAGAGTCTGTGGGTCTCTGTGAGAGTCTGTGGGTCTCTGTGAGAGTCTCTGGGTCTCTGTGTGAGTCTGTGGGTCTCTGTGAGAGTCTGTGGGTCTCTGTGAGAGTCTCTGGGTCTTTGTGAGAGTCTGTGGGTCTCTGTGAGAGTCTGTGGGTCTCTGTGAGAGTCTCTGGGTCTCTGTGTGAGTCTGTGGGTCTCTGTGTGGGTCTCTGTGTGGGTCTCTGCGTGGGTCTCTATGTGGGTCTCTGTGTGGGTCTGTGGGTCTCTGTGTGAGTCTGTGGGTCTCTGTGTGGGTCTCTGTGAGAGTCTGTGGGTCTCTGTGTGAGTCTGTGGGTCTCTGTGTGGGTCTCTGTGAGAGTCTGTGAGTCTCTGTGTGAGTCTGTGGGTCTCTGTGTGGGTCTGTGGGTCTCTGTGTGAGTCTGTGGGTCTCTGTGTGAGTCTGTGGGTCTCTGTGTGGGTCTGTGGGTCTCTGTGTGAGTCTGTGGGTCTCTGTGTGGGTCTGTGGGTCTCTGTGTGAGTCTGTGGGTCTCTGTGAGAGTCTGTGGGTCTCTGTGTGGGTCTGTGGGTCTCTGTGTGGGTCTGTGGGTCTCTGTGTGGGTCTCTGTGAGAGTCTGTGGGTCTCTGTGAGAGTCTGTGGGTCTCTGTGTGGGTCTGTGGGTCTCTGTGTGGGTCTGTGGGTCTCTGTGTGGGTCTCTGTGAGAGTCTGTGGGTCTCTGTGAGAGTCTGTGGGTCTCTGTGTGGGTCTCTGTGTGGGTCTCTGTGTGGGTCTCTGTGTGGGTCTGTGGGTCTCTGTGTGGGTCTCTGTGAGAGTCTGTGGGTCTCTGTGAGAGTCTGTGGGTCTCTGTGTGGGTCTGTGGGTCTCTGTGTGGGTCTGTGGGTCTCTGTGTGGGTCTCTGTGAGAGTCTGTGGGTCTCTGTGAGAGTCTGTGGGTCTCTGTGTGGGTCTCTGTGTGGGTCTCTGTGTGGGTCTCTGTGTGGGTCTGTGGGTCTCTGTGTGGGTCTCTGTGTGGGTCTGTGGGTCTCTGTGTGGGTCTCTGTGTGGGTCTCTGTGTGGGTCTCTGTGTGGGTCTCTGTGTGGGTCTGTGGGTCTCTGTGTGGGTCTCTGTGTGGGTCTGTGGGTCTCTGTGTGGGTCTCTGTGTGGGTCTCTGTGTGAGTCTCTGGGTCTCTGTGTGAGTCTCTGTGTGGGTCTCTGTGTGGGTCTCTGTGTGAGTCTCTGGGTCTCTGTGTGGGTCTCTGTGAGAGTCTCTGGGTCTCTGTGAGAGTCTGTGGGTCTCTGTGTGGGTCTCTGTGTGGGTCTCTGCGTGAGTCTGTGGGTCTCTGTGTGAGTCTGTGGGTCTCTGTGTGGGTCTCTGTGTGGGTCTCTGTGTGGGTCTCTGTGTGGGTCTGTGGGTCTCTGTGAGAGTCTGTGGGTCTCTGTGAGAGTCTGTGGGTCTCTGTGAGAGTCTGTGGGTCTCTGTGTGAGTCTCTGTGTGGGTCTGTGGGTCTCTGTGTGAGTCTGTGGGTCTCTGTGAGAGTCTGTGGGTCTCTGTGTGAGTCTCTGTGTGGGTCTGTGGGTCTCTGTGTGAGTCTGTGGGTCTCTGTGTGGGTCTGTGGGTCTCTGTGTGAGTCTCTGGGTCTCTGTGTGAGTCTGTGGGTCTCTGCGTGAATTATTGGTGACCAGGCTGAGACCACCAACATGCCACACTTGCGAAGGCGGTTTAATCGCGGCCAAGAGTCCAGACTCCAAAACCCAGGGACTCGGCGGTGCCGGCTCGGCATCTCCATCGCGAGCTTCGTCTCACCCAGGCCACCTGCAATCATTGCACCCTGTTGTTGTGCAACCTTTCCGCCGTGCTGCCCTCCCCCGCAGCTGGTGGGCAGGAGCGATGGCCGTGGGGAGGCCGGGAGCTGGGAGGGGGAGAGCCCCGCGTCTCCCGACCGCCCCGGCAGCCTCCTGCTCCTGTCGCCGCCGTCGCACGGGGATACGGGCGACCCGGGACGCGAGGACGCGGGGGCCCACGGGGGCCACGATGGGGACCCCCTCACGAGGGACAACAGGGATTTGTCCCCGGACAGCATCGACTCGCAGGTAGGCGCCTACCGGTGTCCTTCTGTCTTGTATCGATTGTCCCCTGCTGGTCTCCTGCCGGTCTTCTGCCTGTCTCCTTCTTATCTCTTTCTTGTCTCCTGTGTGTCTCTTGCTTGTCTCCTTCGTGTCTCGTCCGTGCCTCGTCCGTGTCTTCTGCCTTTCTCCTGCGCGTCTCCCCCATATCTCCTGCGCGTCTCCTCTGTGTCTCCTGCATGTCGAATGCCTGCCTCTTCCGTGTCTCCTCCGTGTCGACCGGCTGTATCCTGTATGTCTCCTCTCCCATGCGTTGACGGGTTGTGCCGCGGCTCGTTTGTTTGGCACGATGTGCGCGATCCCAACTGATGAAATTTTGGTGTAACTTTTTCACATTTTTTTCTATCTTGAAATTGACGACGCCGGCACGCAGTGGGCCCCACCTCTCCCCCGAGCGACGTTACAGCGTCGACTAACGAGCGCTCTTTGAGAGAAGTGGGTCCGGCTCGCGGCTGTCTCTACGGTGTTGCTAACCCGGATTGGGCCACCCGCTCACCCGCCCGCCCATCCGCCCGTCCGCCCGTGTCGTCGTCTCTCGCGGCAGGTGTTCGACTTCGAGACGATCAACCACCCAGCGGCGGAGACGCACCCACCGCTTTCCACCGCAGCGTCGACCGCAGCCGCGGCAAGCGCAGCGACGTCAATCGCGGCCGCCGCCGCCACCGCCCAGGCCATCAGCCCCCGGTCGGCGGGCCTCCTGCAGAGCCCGGACGCGGTGGTTGAATCCCTGTACGCGTCTGTCATCAACGCCATCGACAGCCAGCGACGGATGCGGAGGGAGGGCGGCGATGGCGATGGTGGCGATGGTGGTGGCGATGGAGCGATGAGCGATTCGCGTTTGTCCTCGCCTCACCCCGACTCTTGGTCGTCGCCGTCGAATCGGTCCGACGTTCGCTCGAGGAGCGGCGTTGCTCGAGGTGCGTCGACTCGTTCGTGTGTTTATCTTTTCTGATTATTATGGTCATCATCACACTTGATGCCAGAGTCATCAAGGGTTTTTTATCAAGAGGGTCTTGCCAAGTTTTTGGCAGTAGCGGGTGGGGGGATGTAGCCGCTCCTGCTGCTACTTCTGCTGATGTGCGATTACATTTGAGTGATTTTGCAGTGTAATTTTCCAGCATTGGCAGGTTTGGTCAAAATACCGTTTACATTTCATGGTTTATTTAGCTCTGGAGATGCTACTAGAAACTGAGGAAAACCCCACACAAAACAGGGGTAGAATGTACAATCTCCACGCGGAAAGTTGCCAGAGTTGGGAATCGAACTGAGTCCCATTCTCCCTTTTAGACACGAGCGGTTACCACTGTGCCAACCTGCTACCAGATAAACACAACAACAACACAACAACAACACAACAACAACACAACAACAACAGTCGCCATTCACCACTGAGTGGCGGTGACGTCACCACGGCGTTTGTGCCAGGCTAAGTGAACTCCGCATGAAGTGTCAGAGGCTCGCAGTCAAACTCATCCACACACATACACAGTCATGATAATGACGTCGGTTATAAAGATGATACAAAGACAAATATCCCCCACATAGCCTTAACAGACTGTTGGGGCAAGTGCTGTTAGCGAGCACCTATGAAAACCAGCATGGCACACGAGGGGCTGGGTGGACAGCACCACGCCCGGCCGCCTTTGTCTCCCTAGTGGCGATATTTACACACCGCACCAAAGGGGGGGCCCGTGACCGGTTCAGATAATTGTCACTGGTGTTGGCCGTGAGCGGGAATTGAACTCGGGTCGCCAGGTTCGTAGCACAGCAGCGCGCTAACCGCCACACTACTGCTCCCCACTGAAGATGATACCAATACCTGCCATTCGTCACTAAGTGACGGTGATGTCACCACAGCACCTGTGCCAGGCCTCGTGAAGTGTCAAAGGCTCACTAACAGGAGGTCACGGAACGGACCCAAGTACCATGGGTTGGCTGACTGAGATGACTTGCAGATGCACCAGCTGTACCCCCTACTGTGCCAACTTACTATATTTTAGTCGCCTGGCGCTCCGCTCGTTGTTGTGAGCGCCATTCCTCTGCCCTCCGTTGTTGTTGGAGGGAGACTGCCCAGTAGCATTCTTCATGAGCCTACTCCACAGAGGCTGGTACCAGTCTTCGGCAAGTCCACTCAGCTCCGCATACCCCCGCACCCCATCACTCCATCTCTCCTCCAGCCCATGTTGTGCCCATTTAGCCCCCTCTATCCAGCCAAATAGAAGCTGCTTGGGCATTTGTGGGTTTTCATCCGGGTGCTCTGGCTTCCTGCCACATGCATCAACAACTCATTCATTGTCTGAACTCACATTTATATATATTTATATCTTGAGGACCACAAGGGTCGGGCAATTGTTGGTTAGCGCCGGTTCTTCACGGCCGCTTGGCTCCCGCTGACCTCCAGCTTTTAAACTAAGCTAAGACTATTTTTTATTTTAGCAGCTAAGGCCCACTGAGCTGTATCACTCTTGACGAAGTGGCTCATCACTTGGAAATAATATAGCAGCCAAATACTCTAAACGTGTGACGTTGATTCTAAATGTGGAGGGAAAAACCGGAGGACCCGGTGAAAAATCCACGTGACCACGGAGAGAGAGCGAGAGACACGCAGACTCTAAATATACAGCAGGTGTCAGAGTTGAGATCGAACCCACAACCTCCTGTATACCAGGCGAGGTAGTTAACATCTCCTGGCCACCGTGATGATGATGATGAGAGAGAGACACGCAAACTCCAAATATACGGCAGGCGTCAGGGTCTGGATCAAACCCACGACTTCCAGTACACCAGGTGAGTTAGTTAACATCTTCCAGCCACTGATGATGATGATGAGAGAAAGACACCGGAAACTCAAAATATACGGCAGGCGTCAGGGTCGGGATCAAACCCACGACTTCCAGTACACCAGGTGAGGTCGTTAACATCTCGTGGCCACCGTGATGATGATGAGAGAGAGAGACACGCAAACTCCAAATATACAGCGGCAGGCGTCAGGGTCGGGATCGACGAGTCTCAGTCGGCGTGAGCGGCGACAAAGGCGGCGGCGGCGTTGAGCGGCGACGAATATCATTATTATAATTATTGTTATTGACGCGCTGGCGCCGTGCTCACCTCCACAGGCCGCGGGTGCGCGGCTGCGTTCACCGCGCTGCGGGCGTCGACGGCGGGAGTGCGCCGGGAGCTGGCCGGGCTCGGAGAGCAGGTGCGCAGCGACGGGCGCCAGCTCGCCGGCCTGCTCGCCGACGCCCGCCGGCACCTGGAGGAGGCTCTGCCGGCACACCGGGAGTCTAGCTCAGGTCCGCGCGAGCACGGTCGCCCGATGGATGCACCTTAAAAAAAAATGCCCGTCAAGTGTAAAAAAACTACAAATGGTTCGCCGCGTTCATTCTGGCTAAATGACAGCTCTTGAGAATTACAGATTTGATAATTGGTTTTTTACCCTTTTATCTGGCAACAAAACTGACACCTTTTTTACGAGGAGTCATGTTTGCATAGACCACAATACCTGCAGTCATAATGCAAACATACATTATCAGAGTTATGTTTTTTGTTTGCATTCTGACTGCAGGTATTGTGGTCTATGCAAAAAAGGTTTCAGTTTTGTTGCCAGATAAAAGGGTGAAAAACCAATTATCATATTTTTTACTGGCAAATGAGGTACCAATGGTGTAAATGCTTTCCCCGAGCTCTCATACTCTGATGGTGCATTGTCTTGGAGTTGTGCGCCTTTTGGCGTCATCTGGTCCAACCCATGTGAGACTAGGCTCTAAGGAAAGCTGTCTCGGGTGTGGACCAATCAACTTCAAGGACAGTGCATACATTATCAGAGTTATGTTTTTTGTTTGCATTACGACTGCAGGTATTGTGGTCTATGCAAACATGACTCCTCGTAAAAAAGGTGTCAGTTTTGTTGCCAGATAAAAGGGTAAAAACTATTAGCGTATTTTTTACTGGCAAATGAGGTACCAATGGTGTAAATTCCTCTCACATGCAGAGTGGGTAGATGGGAATGGGTTCCCCTTTGCTGCGTATGGACTTGAGGTCTTTTGAAGAAAGGATCTCAGAGGTATCTCTGTGATCTTATTTTGGAATTCATTAAACGCCTTAACTCAGGCACTTTACAAAGAATCAACAACGGTACACATGAATGTAATGGTGGAGATGAGGTGAACGAAGTAGATGGGAGGACGCAATGGGCAAGCCTGCGATGCGTGAATTCGATGAAAGCTAAATGGATGACAGTAAATGATGATGAATGGATTGAATGATTGGGATTTGAAGCTTTCGTGACTGCAAGGATTTATACTCTTAGTTCTTTCGGTAAAGTCACGTAGGTAAAAAAATTAAATTAAAATTAATAAAAGATAAAAATAATAAAATCACGACGTTTCGGAGGCAACACAAGCTTCCGTCTTCAGGTGAAACTGTCACAGATTTTTTGCTGTGACAGTTTTATTTTTTACCTACGTGACTTTACCGAAAGAACTAAGAGTATGAACGATTGGGGTTAATGAGCGATGTCCACGTAATGGGAATGGGAAGAGCGAACAGTAACGGTGGTCGTGGTTATGAGGGGAAGACCAAGGGGGGGGGGGGGGGGGTCGTGGGGTGAGCTGGGGGTAACAATAAGTGAGTTTGAGTGAGGAGCGGAAACTGGCGAGCGAAGGGAACCGCTTAAAGTGGAGGGGCAGTTCGTGCAGCTTCCGTGGGTTCTGTTATGTGACACCGAAAGGGGGTCGCACCCAGTGCCCGATTAAGGCACGGGGGCTTTAGGCGCTGGAGCCCAGAGGGTCTGCAGAGATGAAGTGAAAAGCGATTTCATTCGTGAATGCTGAATTTAATTTGTTGTTAGCCTTGTAAAAATAAAATGTATTATTCCTTCACTTTGTTTTGCTTTTTAAAATATTACTGGGGGCTCATCTTCTTGGTTCTTTCGGTAAAGTCACGTAGAAGAGAAATAAAAAAAATAATAAAAATAAAACACATAATAAATACAATTCTACAATTCTCACGACGTTTTGGCCACAACACAAGCAGACCTGTTCTTCACCTGAGGACGGCTGCTTGCGTTGTGGCCGAAACGTGAGAATTGTATATGTTTTATTTTTATTATTTCCCTTCTATGTGACTTTACCGAAAGAACCAAGAAGATGAATCCCTGCAGTCACGAAAGCTTTAAATCGAAAATTACTGGGGGCCTCACAGTACCTGTGTAGCCCCCAGGGGCCTACAAAATCTTAATCCGGCCCTGGTCGCGCCGCTTCTGAAAAACATTTTGACGCCGTTAGCGCAAGTCGGGATGAACGTCGGGGAGACTTTTAGAAGGAGAAAGAAGAGGGAAAAGGTTCTGTTGCATCTAGCGGTGGATTGATCATGGCTGCTGTTGCTTAATATGAAATGTGGCATCGCTTGCCGATTGGAGCCTTGGCCATTGCCCCTCCTCGCAATATGGGGGGGTGATAGTGATCGTGATGAAAGTGCAGCCCAGCAACGATTGCTCACTCGCATCCACTTCCGGCGGAACGGACTCCACTCCATGGCGCTTGGCAGAGTGCCGCCCCCATAGCTGGGTACGCACGCTTTCCACCGCCCCCACGCGGAGCTGCCGATCGAGTGACCGCAGTGTGTGCCCGTTTATACTGCCGGGCTGAGTTTAGAGACTCGCATCGTCAGTTCAGAGGCCGCGCCGGGAGATTGAATCGAACCGGCGATCTTTGGATTGAGGTCCAGTGCGTTCACCATCACACCGCGGCGACGTCCCCATCGTTATTTTCGCTCATTTAATACTGGGGGTGCCACGGTGGCTAGGAGATGTTAACTACCTCGCCTGGTGTACAGGAGGTCGTGGGTTCCATCCCGACCCTACCCACTCTGTATTTGGAGTTTGCATGTTCTCCCCGTAGTCGCGGGGATTTTACCCCGGATCCTCCGGTTTTCCACATTTAGGAAACGTGCGTTTAGATTATTAGGCTGCTACACATTTCCACATGATAAGCCACTTCGTTGAGCTATCTTTTTTGGCCAGATCGCTACTGAAAAAGAGCTATATAGCCCATTAGCACTTACATGGCATTCCTACGTATTTTGAAATTCTTTCGCACCATACGTAGCCAAACGTGCAAAACGGAGGGTGGCGGCGGGTGCGCGACACAGTTACGTTTACGCGATCCAACCCCAAAAACGCTTTATCGTGAACGATATTGGTCGTGAAAGCCTACGCGTCAAATGCCCTTGGGCGACGGACGATGGGGTGACACTGGTGACGGAATGACAGCGTAGAGGTCGCGTGTGAAAAAGAGCTACGTAGCTCAGTGGGCCTTACCTGGTAAAATAAAAAATAGTTTAGTTTAACTTCCGGGGGCAATTGAATCGCAGACTCCACGCGTGGGCATGACGATTCCCCCTCCTTGTTGTCGAATTGACATTTGCAGACAGCACGGGCGCAGCTAACGACGTGGAAAGGCGACCTCTCGCTGACCCCTCACATCACCTGGCTCAACTACAGCAGCAACAACGAGAGGAGGAGGAGGAGGTGAGGGTGCGTGGGTTGGATGCGGAGCTCACCTGTGAGGCCGAGAGGGTTCGAGGGCTAGAGGTGCAGCTCGCCCAGGAGGCCGAGAGGAGAAGCGACCTGGAGACGGAGCTCGCCGAGGAGGCCGAGAGGTGTCAAGGCCTGAGGGTGGAGCTCGCCCAGGAGGCACAGAGGAGGAACAGTCAGCAAGTGCTGCTCGCTCAGCAGGCCGAGAGGAAAATGAGCCTGGAGGTGGAGCTTACCCAGGAGGCCGAGAAGCACCGTGGGCTGGCGGCAGAGCTCACTCAGGAGACCGAGAGGAGAGTAGGCCTGGAGAAGGAGCTTGCTCGGGAGACCGAGAGGAGAATGAGCTTGGAGACTGACCTCGTCCAGGAGACCGGGAGAAGGGTGGGCTGGGAGACGGAGCTCACTCAGCAAGCTGAGAAGAGAGTGACCCTGGAGAAGGAGCTCGTGGTGGAGAGCGAAAGGAGGCATTTTCTGGAATCGGAGCTTGCCCAGGAAGCCGAGAGGCGAGTAGGCCTGGAGACGGAGCTTGCCGAGGAGGCCGAGAGGCGAGTAGGCCTGGAGACGGAGCTTGCCAAGGAGGCCGAGAGGCGAGTAGGCCTGGAGACGGAGCTTGCCGAGGATGCTGGGAAGAGAATGGGCCTGGAGAAGGAGCTCGCTCGGGAGGCCGAGAGGAGAGTTGGCCTGGAGACGGAGCTTGTCCAGGAGGCTGAGAGGCGAGTAGGCCTGGAGACGGAGCTTGCCCTAGAGGCTCAAAAGCGCCGAGCGCTTGAGACGAAGCTCTCTGATGAATCCAAGAAAACGGTGGGCCTGGAAGCGCAGCTTGCCGAGGAGACCGCCAGGAGCCAAGGCCTGACAGCAGAGCTCACCCAGGAGACCGAGAGAAGCCAGACCCTGGAAACGATGCTCAGTGAGGAGTCCGAGAGGCGAGAACGCCTGGAAATGGAGCTCATCCTGGAGGCCGAGAGTCACCAAGCTCTTGACACGAAGCTCGCTGAGGAAGCGCAGAAGAGGACGGGCCTCATGGTGGAGCTCGCCCGGGAGACCGAAAGAAGACGCAACCTGGAGGCGGAGCTCGTTCAGGAGGCCGAGACGAGAGTGAGCCTGGAGACGGAGCTCACCCAGGAGGCCGAGAGGTGGCGCGGCCTGGCGGCGGGCCTCGCCCAGGAGACCAACAGGAGGATTCTCTTGGAGGCAGACCTCGCTCACGAGGTCAAAGCGCACCGGGAGCTGGTGGCGGCGCTCGCCGACGAGACTGAGAGGCGGCACGAGCTGCAAGCAGAGCTCGCCGACAGGGCCGCGGAGCGGGAGGCGAGCCTGCACGGCCTGGCAGCGCTGCTGGAGCATGAGCGGGAGCTGGCCGTCGCCGAGCTGCTGAGCTGCCACGAGGCGGAGGTGGCGCGGCTCACCGCGGAGCTCCGCCAGGCAGAAACGAGGGCCCAGCGGCTGGAGGAGCAGGGGGAGGAGGCAGGAGGTCTCACCGTGGAGCTCCAGGAGGGGGTGCTGGACGTGGAGTGGAGGTCTCGCGAGGCTTCCAGGGGGAGGCGGAGGTGAGTGACCCTGCCTACTTGAAGCAATATGCCAAACCGCCCAGCATTGACAGCGAGGCCCTGAACGATAAAATATTTTATAAATAATATTTTGTTTCTGGGAATGGCCCTCTTCATAGCAGAGAGATGTGCTTGTGCACCAGTGGTTTACCGCATTGTGCAATGAATCCCGCTCACCTGAGTTCAATCCCCCGCTCTGGGTCAACATCCGTGACGAATGCCTGAACCAGTCCGGCGCTGGGCCTCCCCTAGGACGACTTGGGCCTGAAGTGAGTGCCATGTCAACGTTCACACCGGGGGCGGTGGCTGCTCACACGACCCCATCGTGCGCAGTGCCAGATCTAGCAGCCGGGTATGCGACGTTCCGCTTGAAGCTGCATTCGAGCATCCTCGGCATGCTCAGGGATATCTTGGGTTGTGAAGTGCCGTGCTCCAAAAATGTAACCAGCTCATTAACCCTGTCCCGTTCTGAAGCGTCTGCAAGTTGCAAGGGTGGGTCGGTGTCCCCGTTCACCGCTGCTGAATCTCGGAAAGCGCAAAGCGGTTTGGCGTAATTTTATTTAGGGAGGCGTAGTAGCGCCATTGTTTTCTAAAGACATTGTTACTCACCGCAGATAACTGTGGCGGCACGACCGCCGCACTCTACGATAGCCGGCGCCAAACCGTGCCCACACGTCCTCCCGCATGGCCTTGCGGGAGCCTCGGTACTGATAAGGTTACAGTAAAAGCTTGGATTACGAGTAACTTGGTTTGTGAGTGTTTTGCAAGACGAGCAAAATTTTTAAATAAATATTAATTCGATAAACGAGCGAGGTCTTGCAATACGAGTAGTACGTGCATACGCTTTGCCTGCCGAGCGTCACGTGATCATAACTGATGTACGAGTGCTTTGGATTACAAACACGTTTCCGGAACGAATTATGCTCGCAATCCAAGGTTTTACTGTATTTTACTTTAGTTTTTCTTCTGAGTCCATTCCAATGAAGTACGTCTACTCACTAACCAGCTCATTAACCTTTTCTTGAAACGCGAAAGGGTTAAAGAACTGATGACGTACACGTACGTCACCAGAACGGGTAAAGGGCTAAGATGCAAAACCAAATGGGCTCACTGTGTTTTTGTAGTGTTGGCTACGGAAACGGATATCCGTATATTTACACGGAACCTCTGCCGTATCCGTGTCTGTCCCTGGCCCCTTGTCACGTCTGCCGCTCGTGTAGAGAGAAGCCGGTCGGGGTGGCGCTCAAGACGGCGGGGAGCGAAGCGGGGCGTCATCAGCAGCAGCAGCATCAGCAGCATCAGCAGCAGCAGCAGCAGGGCCTGACGATTGCAGCCGAAAGGGGGCTCAAGACCGGGGCGTCTAGCGAGCCGCAGGTGATGCCCTCTGCTGTTTTCGTGGCCTTGCAAAGTCACTTCCATGCGCAGTCAACCCTCGATTATCCGCATGCGGTTCATCTGATTTGCGGAGTAACCGCGCACCTGAGATTTTGACATAAATGAACAACTCATGGACTTTCGCTTAAGCCCAAATTAATCATCTATAAAACAGTTATACATTGTTATACTTGGGAAATGTTTAACACAATTCACGTGCTTAAACTGAGCAAATCTATGCTCCGGTTAACCCGAAATGCACGTGATCGCCGCTACAGTACAGTAGTTGCCTGATGACGACCGCTTGTGTTGCGATCGAAACGTCGTGATTTGTTTTATTTTATTTTATTTCTAACTAGTACAGTAGTTGCATATCTGTACAACGGTGGGGGCGGAGTTTGATTGATTTTGATTGGCGTGGCTCTGCTATCCACTTAGTGGGCAGAGTCTTCTGCACAGGAGCAGAAACCTGTTATCATTGAGCACGCACATTAGATGATTTGCATTCGTTCTTAATTTATACCTATACTAGCTTTACTACGCGGCTTCGCCCGAGAGTTGGATTCTTGTCTTGGATTAACACACGGCCTATGCGGAGGGTGGGGATGCGTGACGTCAGCAGGCGCACTGCGTGACGTTACTTGGCACACTGCGTGACGCTGCTGCATGCAGGTGACATCACAGATGTGACCTCACCGCTCACTTGCCGTGCAAAATATATCCATTATTGCGCCTCCCCCCCCCCCCCCCCCAAAATACTAAAGTCTATTTTTATACTCATCCCATTGTGTCCAGTCTGGAAACTACCCACATGCAAAATTTAAAGTTTGTTGCATGTTGGGAAGTATGCTAAACATTTGGAACAGACACACATTCACAGATATCCCTTTCATATACATAGATTAGTGGTTTTTCGCATAGAGGTCTGCGGAAAATGGTTATATTTTTGGACTTTCCGCAATTTTAAATTATCTGCAGCCAATCCTCCCCGTTATTAGCACGGATAATCGACAGTCTACTCTATTTTCTAGAGATCGCCTAGCGGCTGGAGACCTGGTACTCACCTCCAGAGGGCACCCAGCACTCTCGATCAGGACTTTTTAGCGGGGAGGACTTTCGAGCAGGTGTTTATTTTTCTTTTCTCCTGATGGCGTTTCGACCCAGGACTCTCCACCAGGAGGGCCTGAGAGCCAGCCGCATGCGCCGTGTGACCGCCGCAGTGCAGCCTTGACGTGTCCTGCCCGAGCCCACTCACTTTTCTTAACATCGTTGCGCTCGCAACTAATTGCAATCGCAACTAATTGCAAGCGCAACTCCTGTCCACGCTTCTGGGCGCGCTCTTCAGTTTTTTTTTTTTTCGCGACCGGCTCCGTTTTCTTTGCGAACGTCCATTTCTCCGATCCGTACACCGCGAGACGGTTTCGTAAACGCTTTCACGAATGAACCTTCGAATACTCTCGACGCTCATCGTCGTCATCGTTGTGGGTGGCGGTGCGGATTGCGCAGGGCTCCGCCGGGGGGGAGAGGCTCATCAAGGGGAAGGTGATCACGGAGCTGGGCGAAAAGCTGCAGAGGCTCCTCGAGCAGCACGACCGCGACAAAGGTGACCCGAGCAGACGGCTGCCGTCGTGTGCCCCACCGTCGTCAAGGTCCGGGTGGGCCCCCGTATCCACGCGACCCCCCCCCCCCCCCCGTGCCACTTCCTCGCTCCGTATGCAAGAGGTCGTGGGGTCGATGACGACCCTGACGCCTGCTGCTGTATATTTGGAGTTTGCGTGTCTCGCTCTCTCCCCGTGGGCACTTGGATCTTTCTCTGGGTCCTCCGGTTTTTCCCTCCACATTAAAAATCAACAACACGCATTTAGTGTATTTGGCTGCTATAAATTTCCACGTGATAAGCAACTTCGTTGAGCTATCATTTGTGATAGCCAGGTCGCTTCTGAAAAAGAGCTACATAGAAGGAAAATAATAAAATAATGACGCTGTCTTTCCGACAGACCTGTTCTTCACCTGAGGACGGCTGCTTGCGTTGTGGCCGAAACGTCGTGAGAATAATTTTATTATGTTGTATTTTGATTCTTTTATTATTTCCATTCGATGTGACTTTACCGAAAGAACCAAGAAGATGAATCCCTGCAGTCACGAAAGCTTTAAATCGAAATTTAACAGCTACATAGCTCACTGGCGCCTCCAGCACCAGCGGGAAATCGGAGGCAGCGCAGAGCAAGACTGCAGAGGGCCCTGACCCTAACCAGATTTCGATTTTTTTATTTCTAGATTTACAAACTAATTTCTTTAGAACTGCTTTTTGAGTTTAGTTTGTTGCCCTTTTCTCCCCGCCACACCTCCGATGATCACGGTTGGCTATGTACGGTGGCAAAAAGATGTCCAACGTACGTCCGTACATGTTACCAACTAAGGCCCTCTGAGCTGTGTAGCTCTTATTCATTTCCTGGCAGCGATTTCAGCCGCACCACCTCTACATAACAAAAGGCTCAGTCCCATTTACACGCACCTTTACATCATCCGCACCTAGTTTACAAAACAAAGGCTCATTCCTAACAGCGTGCTTCAGCCGCACCGAACCTCACAAAAATAATATTCAGGGCCTACCTTGGCTCCTCCCACCCTCAACCGGTATATATACAAGGACTGTTTTCTTGGAATTTCTCTCACTTGATACAGCTATCGTGCTGTGACGGTTCCACCTGAAGATGGAAGCTTGTGTTGCCTCCGAAACGTCGTGATTTTTAATTTTTTTAAATTTTACTTTTACTTTTATTAATTTTAATTTTTTACCTACGTGACTTTACCAAAAAAACCTAAGAATATGAATCCTTGCAGTCACGAAAGCTTCAAATCTAGAATGTGTAGCTCTTATTCAGAACTGACTTGCCCACAAATGATCACCCAATGAAGTGGCTCACTGTGACCACGTGGGGAGAGAGACACACAAACTCCAAATTCACCGGAGAGAGAAAAGCGGCGGTGATTTTTCTGTTGTGGAGAGAAACACTGCAGACCCCGGATAAAGATGACAGCAGTCTCCTTTCAGTCCCAACAACGATCACCGCTGTGCAAAGCACAGATTCACCACACTTTGTTCAACCACCACACTGCAGATCACAGCAACACACTCACTCATCCACTCAAGCACCCACCCGCACATTCACCCACGTACTCACCCACTCACACTCACTACACTGCAGGTCACAACAACTCGCACACTTAACCGACCACTCACCCACTCACTCGCCCACTCCACCTACCCACACACCCACACACTCACCCACTCACACACGAACTCAACCTGTCACTTATCCATTCACCCACCCACCCACTCACCCACTCACTCGCTATACCGCAGGTCACAACAACACACTCAACCATCTACTCACCCACTCACTCACCCACTCACCACACCATAGGTCACAGCAAAACACTCAACCGCCCACTCACACACTCTCATCCACCACACTTTGTTCAACCACCACACTGCAGATCACAGCAACACACTCACCCATCCAGTCAAGCACCCACCCACACATTCACCCACGTACTCACCCACTCACACTCACTACACTGCAGGTCACAACAACTCACACACTTAACCAACCACTCACCCACTCAATCGCCCACTCCACCTACCCACACACTCACCCACTCGCACACGAATTCAACCTGTCACTCATCCATTCACCCATCCACTCACTTACCCACTCACTCGCTATACCGCAGGTCACAACAACACACTCAACCATCTACTCACCCACTCACTCACCCACCCACTCACCACACCGTAGGTCACAGCAACACACTCAACCGCCCACTCACACACTCACCCCCCCCCACTCACCCACCTACTCATCCCAACCCACTCACCACACTGTCTGTCACAACAACACACTCAACGATTTACTCACACACTCACCCACTCGCCACACCGTAGGTCACAGCAACACACTCACCCCCCCCCCCACTCACTCACCCACCTACTCATCCCAACCCACTCACCACATTGCAGGTCACAACAACACCCTTCTGCTTCTTCCCACTCACACTGCTCCACTTCGGAATTCCCTCCCATCGCCATCTTTCCCCAAGCTCTTATAATATAATCACACCAACAACAACATTACTCAACTCATGAAGCGTGTTAACAACCCTTAGCTTCACCAATGGAACCTCATTTGCCAGTAAAAATATGATAATTGGTTTTTTACCCTTCTATCTGGCAACAAAACTGACACCTTTTTTTACAAGGAGTCATGTTTACATAGACCACAATACCTGCGGTCATAATGCAAACAAAAAACATAACTCTCATAATGTATGTGCACTGTCATTGAAGTTGATTGGTCCACACCTGAGACAGCTTTCCTTAGAGCCTAGTCTCACATGGGTTGGACCAGATGACGCCAAAAGGCGCACAACCCTTAGCTTTCACAACCTTACCCGGTGCTGTTTGTCGCTGGCCTCCTCACGTTTTGAGGCTTAGGTGGTTTGGGTAGGGGGGCCCCTGGGGGGGGGAGGGGGGCCCTGACCTCAGCAACTGAGCGAGCGAGGCTAACAACCCCCCCCAACCACCCCACCGAACCCCTGCTGCGCTAAGCGGTGTCGGTGAGCTCTGCAGTCCCTGCCATTTGTGTTGGGCGGGAGCGGTTAATCCACGCGCTTGGTTCAATATTGACGGTGAGCGGCGCTCGTTAATGAGAGAATTAATGCCCCCACCAGGGGTGGGGTTGGGAGGGCGGCTCGCGGGGGTCGTGGCGAGGCTACATAATGCCGGTAACCGCTGAGAGTTTCCTTGTTCTTTGGGGTTCGGCCGCCACTGGGTATTCTTGTCGTACGGCCGACGTAGATGCAGAGCAAACAACCACAATTTCACACTCGGGTGGTCAAAGCCAGCAGACCACCACGTCAGGAGCAGCGAAGTAGCGTACCGCCGTGATGTCTCCTTCGTATGTGTGGATCGGCGACTGTGTATTTGTGTTTGGGGCACCGCGTCACTACATGTTGCATTGCTAATAATAATGATTGTTAATATGTATTATAATTAGTAATGAGATTTGGATTAGCATAGAGGACTTAGTACTATAACCTGCTGAAATGACGTACTCCCAGGAGGCCATGCGGGGTCCGCTGGGTTGTGGGTGCCACGGTGGCGAAATGTTAACTACCTCGCCTGGTATGCATGAGGTCGTGGGTTCGATTCCGACCCTGACACCTGTATATTTTGGAGTTTGCGTGTCTCTCTCCCCTTGGTCGCGGGATTTTTATCCATGTCGTCCGTTTTTTTTCCTCCACACTAAGAATCAACATCACATATTTTTTAGTATTTGGCTGCTATAAATTTCCACGTGATAAGCCACTTTGTTGAGTTATCATTTGTGGCCGGGTCGCTTCTGTAAAATAGCTTTACAGCTCAGTGGGCCTTACCTGGTGCCCTATGTATGTTGAACTTCTTTCGCGCCATACCTAGTCAACCGTGAGAATCGTAGGGTGGCGGTGGGTGCGCGACACAGTTACATTGAAGCGATCTAACCCCAAAAATGCTTTATCGTCAACTATATTGGTCGTCAAAGCCGACACGTCAAGTGCAATAATTATGCACTTTGGCGACGGACGTTGGGGTGACACTGGTGACGGAACGGAAGTCAGAGGAGGCGAGAGGACTACTGCCACGGAAGTGGAGCGCTGAAATCGCAGTTCGTGCGCGGGGACGGGGCGGGGTGATGGATCGTAGCAGCGCTTCACCGTGAGGGATGGCGACAGCGGAGGCCTACATCTAGCAGTTGATAGACAATGGCTGGTGATGGTGGTGATGATCATGATGATGACAGTTCGGCAAATCCCAACTCTTAAGGTCCGGAACCGGTTCTCAGAGAGTCATCCCTGATGCCTTTGACGTGAGCCGTGGCCAGGAATAGAACTCGTGCCAGCAGGTTCTTAGCGCAGTGCGCTAACCACTCAGCCACTGCTCTCCACTGCATAATACACACACGGGCACGTACGCACATGAACACACGCACATGAATACACGCACAGGTACACAAGTGCACATGCACGCACGAAGACAAAGATATCCCCATATAGCCTTTAACAGACTGTTGGGGCAAGTGCTGTTAGTGAGTAGCACTTATGAAGGTTGGCACGGTACACGAGGGGGTGGGTGGCCAGCACCACTCCCGACCGCCTTTGTCTCCCGAGTGGCGATGTTGGCTACACACCGCACCAGGTACTCATTTAAGGCTCAGTCGACCCAGGGGAGGCCCAGGATCGTTTAAAACAATCGTCATCGGTGTTCGACGTGAGCGCGCACACACACACACAGACACAAGCGCACACACGCACTCGGTCGCCCCCTCCTATCGACCGACCCATCTTGACGTCCACACGCTTACCTTACTGACCTCGGCCTTCCATCTTCCTCCCCCCTCGCCCCCCCACCTACTCCTCCCTCCCTTCCCCCCCCCCAACAAACCCCCCCGCCCCCCACGACAAACAGACGAATCCCTCCCACGCGCTTCCTCCACCCCTGCAACCTCAGGCGCGTCGCGGTTCAGCCGCGTCAATACGCGCTCGGCATTAATCTTTCAAGGTGGGGAGGTGGGGGCGGGGGGTTGAGGGGGGGGTGGCGTCGTTCAACCTCCTCCCTCCTTCTCGGCTGTCACGTCCCTCGCGAGTCGGTCCAGAGGTGGAAATAAATAAAAGAACGACGACAACAACAACAGCAGCAAAGGTTCCGTGAGAAGAGGAATATTAAATACATTGCGGAGCGTGTTTAGCTCCCAATGAACTAGCGGGGGCAATCATTGCCGGGGGTTTTCCAGTTTGATTTTTAAAAATACGTATTATTGATGTATTATTATTTTTTCACAGGGGGTCATGCTTTGTTCACACAGGAAAACCTCAACGGGTCCTTTTCAGGAGGGTCCTGCCAGGTTTATGCTGTAGGGCTGGGCGATGCTGCTGCTGCTGCTGATTTGTGTGTGATGCCTATCGAGTGATTTGCAGGTGATTTTGTCAGGATGGGAGATGCAACTTAGCCAATAGCAGTTCCACTTTGTGTGTGTGTGTGTGTTTGGCTATGGGAGGAAACCTATCCAGAACAAGGGGGAGGACAAAGTTCACACAAAACAAAGACCCCCGTGTAGCCTTAACAGACTGTTGGGGAAAGTGCTGTTTGCGAGCACCTATGAAGGCCAGAACGGCACACGAAAGTTAGTGGGTGGCCAGAACCATGTCCGGCAAATTGTATTTCCTTAGTGGCGATGTTTACTACACACTGCAACCAGGTAAATCATTTGAGGCTTAGTCGACCTGGGGGAGGCCCAGGACCGGTCAAGATAATTGTCGCTGGTGTTGGTCATGAGCGCGAATCGAACTCGGGTCTCCCGAGTTTATAGCGCAGCATGCGAATCACTACACACAGACTCGCACACATATACAATATTTTGGGGCAAGTGCTGTTCACGATCTACTGTGAAGGCTGGCACGGGACTCTGGGGGTTATCGTGGCCAGCCCCACGCTCGGCCGCCTTTGTCGGCACAGCACACGAGGGGGTGGGTGGCCACTGTTGATGTTTACACAGGTACGCAATTGAGGCAGAGTCGACCTAGGGGAGGCCCAGGACTGGCTTAGATAATCGTCACTGGATGTTGGCCGTGAGCACGAATCGAACTCAGGTCGCCAGGTTCCTAGCGCAGTGCGCTAACTGCTACACTACCCCTTCCCCATAGGTGCTGCTCTCCTACGCGCACACACTCACACTTGCTCTCAGGGTCACTCGCACTCTGACGCTCTCACAAAGTCAAAGGCAAAGATCCCTCGTATATCCTTAATAGACTGTTGGGGAAACGCTCTCGCACACACGCACACTCTCATAAACATACAATCGCACTCTGCAGAACAGGGAGAGGGGGGTGGGGTACTTACAATCTCCACTTAGAGAGGCGCCCGAGTCGGGGGGCCGAACCCAGGCCGCTCTTGCCGTGCGTCGCGAGCGTCGCCACTGCGCGCGGCCGCGCTCACCTCTCGCCCCTCCCCGCAGAGGCCATCGAGAAGCTGCTGTCAGAGAAGACGTTCCTGGAGGAGACGGTCGCCCGCTTGAAAGGAACTCACGACCTCGCTGCCGCGTCTCCGTCTTCCCCCAACGTCGCCGAAGCTCGGGCGCAACAACCGCCGCCGCCACCGACACAACCGACACAGCCGACACAGCCGCCGCCGCTGCAACCCAGAGGCTGGCTCCGGGCCCGCGGCTCCTCGGTGGGACACGGCACGAGTGCGGTCGCGGGGCAGCCGGGCCTGCTGCAGGCCGTGGCGTGGGGACTCACGTCCGGCGTGCTGGGTGCCGGGGAGGCGAGGGAAGGGAGGAAAGAGCCTTCTGGTGGTGGTGGCGGTGGTGGCGGTGCTGCTGGTGGTGGTGCTGGGGTGGTGTCGGCCGCAATGCCCCTTGAGAGAACTCGTACTCCTCTACTCTTCCTCCCTGTGGAGTGCGGTGACAGTGTTGGTGGTGATGGCGGCGGCGGCGGTGATGGGGCAGCGATGGCGATGGCCGGGGATGGGTTGGATGCGAGTGTCGTCGCGCTCAGGTGAGACGTTGGGGTCGCACGGAGGTCGCGCCGCGACGGATTTGCAACATCTCGTACAAACTTGCTGTACCGCCTTCTCCTGGCGAGCCAGGGCCGCAGCTTCTCCACAACGCCCACGGGAAGGGCGTTTCACAGCATCTGTGCTGCGGTGATTCACCAACCCCTCGCCGCTGCCTTCACAGTGCTGGATTGCAGGCGGCCAAGTGCGGCGGCGTAGGCACCACCACCGCCGCCCCACGTAACGCCGCCTCGCCCATGTTTGTCTTTCCGGCGTGGCTCTTGGGCGTCGATCGCGCGATGCCTGCGGGAGCTGCCCCGGCAGATGGAAGGAAGTGACGGCGTTTGTTCGTGTGTCTAACCCCGGCTGTGTCCCCTCGCTGCAGGGAGAACGCGCCGAGCGAAGACAAGCAGAGGGTGCTGATGCTGGAGAAGGTGAGCACGATGGTTTACTGCTTTAGCCCACCGGTGTGTTGAAGCCACAACATTTACAATTTGAGTACATGTTGTGGCTTCAACACACCGGTGGGCTAAAGCAGTGAACTATTTGTCTTTTGTCAACGTGACACTTTTTTACTGATTGGCCGTGTCGGGTGGCGGAGGGTTACGACACATTTATAAATGACGCGATCTAAACCCAAAAACGTTGATTATGAATAACATTGATCGCGAAAGCCTACGTGTTAAACGATGGTTTAATCGGCGTGCAGGCCGCACCCCTGCTGATGAGAGACCCAGGGTGGTCGACTTCAGTCCAGAGTTTACTGGGCGGACGAGGTCGCAGTTGACCCTCTCCCGTTACGAGAAGTCTGCAAGTTGCAGGGTGGGTGGGTGTGTGTCCCCGTTCACCGCTGAATCTCGGAACCTACAAGCGGCTCGGCATGAATTTTATTTAGCGGGGCGTAGTAGCGCCGTTGTTTTTAAAGACATTGTTACTCACCGCAGAGAACGGTGGCGACATGAACGTACTCTACGATCGCTGGCGCCAAGCTGTGCTATGCCTCGGCACCAACGAAGTTGTTCTTCTTGGTTCTTTCGGTAAAGTCACGTAGAAGGAAAATAATAAAACAATAAAAGTAAAACATAATAAAATAATTCTCACGACGTTTCGGCCACAACGCAAGCAGCCGTCTTCTGCTTGCGTTGTGGCCGAAACGTCGTGAGAATTATTTAATGTTTTATTTGTATTAATTTATTATTTTATTATTTTTCTTCTACATGACTTTACCGAAAGAACCAAGAAGATGAATCCCTGCAGTCACGAAAGCTTTAAATCGAAACCAATAAAGTTATTTTATTTTGGTAAGACTCAACGTCAACGCTCACGGGTGACGTTCCCGCGGACGTATTCCCCCGGCCAACGCGATTCGTCGTTGAGTTGTTGGGGAGATGGGCCACGTTTGAGTCGTAAAGAAGAACCCTCCACCACCGGCACGGCCAAAGGAATGTATCGCCGCGCTTATACAAGCGCTCCGTCATCTCTCTCTCTCTCGTTGGCCCTCAGCCAGCGCTTTGGTGGACATTCCACAATCTCACGGCAGGACCCATTACGTGCGCAGGACTGCCGCTTGTTGCCTCCCCGTCAAATTTGTCCCGATTTCATCGACCCGCGAGGGACGATGGGCCGGCGTTGTGCAACGTTTGTGTCGCGCGTGTTGCTCGCGTATGGGGAGTAGTGGCGCAGTGGGTAGCACTCTGCGCCACCGCCACGGGTTCCGGCGACCCGAGTTCGTTTCCCTCTCGCGACCAATAACAAATATTCGAACCGGTGCTAGACCTCCGCTAGATCGACTCGGCCTCAAATGAGTACCTGGCGCCGTGCATTTCCACATCGGCAACAAAGGCGGCAGGGGCGGGCTACAGCACCCCCTCGGGAACGCCGTGCCGGGCCTTCGTAGGTGCCGCTGCTCGCGAACAGCATATGCCCCAACAGTCTGTTAAGGCTACACGGGGGAACCTTTGTCTTTGCAGGCCCTGCACCAGAAGGAGAAGGAACATTCCCGGCTCGTCCAGAGGCTGGTGGGTGCGACGTGACGAAGTTCTTTCGCTCCGTAGCTGTGACTTTAATGGTTTAACTTTTGTCAGCTTGGGTGACCACCCAGGTTAATCGAGCAGCACTGTACGTTGAACTTCTTTCACACCACACGTGGCCAACCGTGCTAATCGGAGGTGCTGAGGGAAGGAAAAGAAACTAAACACAAAACGGGGTTGTAAAATAAATAGGTTTTCAATTTATAAATGCAAGTTAGGAAGTTAGGGTCGGAGTCTTCGTAGGCTCACTCCGCCCTGCCTCCGATTTCAATACAAACTCCACTCACTCTGTAGAACAGGGGGAGATCATACAAACTCCACTCACTCTGTAGACCAGGGGGAGATCACACAAACTCCACTCACTCTGTAGAACAGGGGGAGATCATACAAACTCCACTCACTCACTCACTAGAACAGGGGGAGATCATAAAACTCCACTCACTCTGTAGAACAGGGGGAGATCATACAAACTCCACTCACTCACTCTGTAGAACAGGGGGAGATCACACAAACTCCACTCACTCTGTAGAACAGGGGGAGATCATACAAACTCCACTCACTCACTCTGTAGAACAGGGGGAGATCACACAAACTCCACTCACTCACTCTGTAGAACAGGGGGAGATCATACAAACTCCACTCACTCTGCAGAACAGGGGGAGATCATACAAACTCCACTCACTCTACAGAACAGGGGGAGATCATATAAACTCCACTTACTCACTCTGCAGAACAGGGGGAGATCATACAAACTTCACTCACTCTGTAGAACAGGGGGAGATCATGCAAATTCCACTCACTCACTCTACAGAACAGGGGGATATCATACAAACTCCACTCACTCACTCTGTAGAACAGGGGGAGATCACACAAACGCCACTCACTCACTCTGTAGAACAGGGGGAGATCATACAAACTCCACTCACTCACTCTGTAGAACAGGGGGGGATCATACAAACTCCACTCACTCACTCTACAGAACAGGTGGAGATCATACAAACTCCACTCACTCACTCTGTAGTACAGGGGGAGATCACACAAACTCCACTCACTCACTCTGTAGAACATGGGAAGATCATACAAACTCCACTCACTCACTCTACAGAACAGGGGGAGATCATACAAACTCCACTCACTCACTCCGTAGAACAGGGGGAGATCATACAAACTTCACTCACTCTGTAGAACAGGGGGAGATCATGCAAACTCCACTCACTCACTCTACAGAACAGGGGGAGATCATACAAACTCCACTCACTCACTCTGTAGAACAGGGGGAGATCACACAAACTCCACTCACTCACTCTGTAGAACAGGGGGAGATCATACAAAGTCCACTCACTCACTCTGTAGAACAGGGGGGGATCATACAAACTCCACTCACTCACTCTACAGAACAGGGGGAGATCATACAAACTCCACTCACTCACTGTAGTACAGGGGGAGATCACACAAACTCCACTCACTCACTCTGTAGAACAGGGGGAGATCATACAAACTCCACTCACTCACTCTACAGAACAGGGGGAGATCATACAAACTCCACTCACTCACTCTGCAGAACAGGGGGAGATCATACAAACTCCACTCACTCACTCTGCAGAACAGGGGGAGATCATACAAACTCCACTCACTCACTCTACAGAACAGGGGGAGATTATACAAACTCCACTCATTCACTCAGCAGAACAGGGGGAGATCATATAAACTCCACTCACTCACTTTGCAGAACAGGGGGAGATCATACAAACTTCACTCACTGTACAGAACAGGGGAAGATCACACAAACTCCACTCACTCACTCTACAGAACAGGGGGAGATCATACAAACTCCATTCGTTCACTCTACAGAACAGGGGGAGATTATACAAACTCCACTCACTCACTCTGTAGAACAAGGGGAGATCATCCAAACTCCACTCACTCACTCTATACAACAGGGGGAGAACATCCAAACTCTGCACACTAGACAGAGCAATTGAGAGCACTCGGAAAAGCGATCTACTGTGTGCGAGAGCGATCAAGGGAGAGAGAGAGAGAGCGAGAGAAAGGAGGGAGGGGAGGAGGAGTAGAGGGGGGGGGTAGAGCTTGCGTGCGCACGCGGGAGTCAAAGTAGAAGCGAGATCGATGGGCCGCGCGTTATATTTTTGTCGGTAGCTTCCTTCAATAAAAACGTCACGAGTCGACGCCAAAATGAAAGATAAAATGAGACTCGCACACTCCGAGGCGTCAGGCTCGCCAGCGGCGGACACTTACGGCCGGAGGTCATGACCCCGGGATTATTGGTCTTGCCGTTCGGCCGACCGTTGGATCTTAGCCGCTCTCGTTTGGTGCAACCGCCACCCCCCCCCCCCCCCCCAATCTGCAGGACCCCCACGACCGCATGCTTGGTTGTGTTTTTGATAAATAAATTAAATGATATCCGATTAGCGCCAGTGGCTCGCAGCAGATGAAGACGTTTGTGGGCAGAACGCGACGCAGGTTTTGTCGGGCTGTGGAACATCGCACGGCAGTCGCTCGTTTCGTGAGTCCCGCACTGCTGATGAGGCCTTAAAGGTCGAGCTGGTGCAGAGTTAACTTATTTATTTTTACAAATGCAAATATTTAATTGTATTGATTCACGTGCGGTCATTAGTGATTGCGCTGAGATAGCCAGATACGCGCAAGACTATTAACGCAGACGCTTACTTACACACACACACACGCAAGCCGCAGAGACAAAGATCTCCCGCATAGCCTTCAATAGACTGTTGTGGCAAGTGCTATTAGCGAGTAACACCTATGAAGGCCGGCACGGCGCACGAAGCGGTGGGTGCTGCGGTGGCGAGATGTTAACTACCTTGCCTGGTATACAGGAGGTCGTAAGTTCGATCCTGATCCTGTATATTTGGAGTTTGCGTGATCTCCCCGTGGTCACGTGGATTTTTCTCTCGGTCCTCCGGTTTTTCCTTCCACATTTAGAAACATGCGTATCGAGTATTTGGCTGCTATAAATTTCCACATGATAAGCCACGTTATTGGGCTATCATTTGTGGCTTGATAACTTCTGAAAAACCACTATATAGCCTTGCGGGCCTTACCTGGTAAAATAAAAAAATTGTTTCGTTTTAATTTTTCATTTAAAGCTTTCGTGACTGCAGGGATTAATATTCTTGGTTCTTTCGGTAAAGTCACGTAGAAGGGAAATAATTAAATACAAATATAAACACAAGCAATCATCATCACCTGATGATGATTGCTTGTGTTGCAGTCGAAACGTCGTGAGACTTTTTACTGTTTTATATTTGTATTTTATTATTTCCCTTCTACGTGACTTTACCGAAAGAACCAAGAATATGTTTTCTTTTAGTTTAGGGTGGCCAGCACCACACCTGGCCGCCTTTGTCTCCCGAATGGCTTTGTTTTACACGCTGCACCAAGTAATCATTTAAGGCTGAGTCGACCTTAGGGAGTCCCAAGAATGATTCAGATAACCCCTGTCGTGGTGCTGGCCACCCAGCCCCTCGTGTTCCGTGCCGGCCTTCATAGGTACAACCCGCCAAACAGCACTTGCCCCTACAGTCTGTTAAATGCACGCGGACCCGAATGTTAACACCGCAGCGATGCCTCTCCCGTCTCTGTTACAGATGTCTCAGAGCGTGGCACCCGTGTCTCCTCGCCAGCCCGAGAAGCTGGCCATCAAAGAGTGAGTCGCCCCCTCTCCCCCCACGCACCCTGTTCCGTGCGATGATTTCCGGCCACCGCAAACTCGGTCCATCGCGGCGCCGTCACGCAGCACCGTTTCGTAGCGCGGTGCGCGTGACAACTGCCGGCGTGGATGACCGACCGGTGTGCTGGCCCCTGCCAGGATGGTGTGGATGGGTCGGTGTGACTGGGTTGGGGTGTTTGGGTCGGTGTGACTGGGTCAGGGTGTTTGGGTCGGTGCGACTGGGTCAGGGTGTTTGGGTCGGTGCGACTGGGTCGGGGTGTTTGGGTCGGTGCGACTGGGTCGGGGTGTTTGGGTCGGTGTGACCGGGTCAGGGTGTTTGGGTCGGTGCGACTGGGTCAGGGTGTTTGGGTCGGTGCGACTGGGTCGGGGTGTTTGGGTCGGTGTGACCGGGTCAGGGTGTTTGGGTCGGTGCGACCGGGTCAGGGTGTTTGGGTCGGTGCGGTTATCACCTGGGTGAGGTCAAACTGGACACCAGAGGGAAGCGTAAATGCAGCTAGATTGACCTTTGACATTGGCTTGGGATGGGTTCGTGACCTCTCTTCCTTCAATGTCTCGGTTAACGCCACAACTCGCTCGCTCGCTCGTTCGCTCGCTCGCTCGCTCCCGCCCTCGCTCCAGGTGTGGGCGGTAGGGGAGAGGTGCCAAAGAGATAGAGGAAATCGTTGCTTGTGTAGAAGCAGGGTGCATATTTTGACCATGCAATCCTCGCTTATCTTGGCCTGACAAAACCTCCACGGCCTCACCGTACCTCCCACGCATTCCCCCCGCGCCACCCCCCCTTCCCCCCCTTCTCCACCATCCCCCTATAACCTTAACCCCCCCCCAACCCCGTTCCATCTAACCTTCGACCTTTCTCACGTCACACATCCAAATCGCCGTGCACCTCTCTCCAGTGTTGGCAGCAGTGACGTGGAAAGTAGAGGCAGCCTCTGCTGATTAAGTGGTGGTGTAAGAGATGATTTGTATTCCAATAACAAGAACAACAACAATAATATGAAGGTAAAGGTGCCGCCCCGCAATTGCTCGCTCGCACTGCTGCTGGCAGAAGGGTGCCTCCTTTAACTCACTTATCCGCTTCTCTCCCCACTCTTGCTCAATCACCCGCTCAATCAGCCACTCAGCGGCTCGTTCACCCTTTTACACACTCAATCACACACTCACTCACCCACTCGCCAACTCACCCACTTACCAACTCATCCACTCTCTCAATCACCCGCTCAATCACCCACTCGTAAGCTAATTCGCCCTTTTATCCACTCACTCACCCACTCGCCAACTCACCCACTAACTCTCTCATTCAATCACCCACTTACTCATTAACTCATCCACTCCCTCACTCACCCACTCACTCACTCACCTACTCACTCAATCACTCACTCACTAAATCACCCACTCTCCCATTAACTCATCCCATCCTTCAATGACCCGCTCACTCACGCACCCACTCACTCACGCACTCACTCACTCACTAAATCACCCACTTTCCCGTTAACTCATATCCACTCCCTCACTCTCCCGCTCACCCACCCGCTCACCCTCCCACTCGCCACAGCGCTTCTTAACAAGTGCACGAAGCATTCGGCGCAACACGGAGGCCATCGATCTGCCGCCGACGTCACGACACCAGAGGCACGGCGGCATATCAAGTGTTTCCATTTTAAATCATCGATTCCCAATTAGCGGTGGGCGGGCGGGCGGGCGGGCGAGCGGGAGAGCAGACAGCTGGGGAGGGCAGGTAGGCTGTGGGGGCGGGTGAGCGAAAATTTATTTTTCCTTTTGGCAGACGGGACCCCCCCCCCCGCCCCTGCGGAGAGGTAGTACAGCAAGCAGGTTCCGCCGTTCCCGTCCGCGGCGACGGCCTCTTTTGTCGGCACGCCGTCCCCTCGAGTTTTCCCGCTGGTGGGCCTTCTCCACTGAGCGTCGCCGCCACCGCTGAGCAGATTGGCCGACGGGGCGGGGGAGGCTCTCGACGTAGAGCCTTGAGGCTGTTCGCCGTCGATGGCTCTAGCCCCCCTTTGGCCACGTCCCATCACTGCTTCCCCCACACCCCTGTCGAGTAGCGAGTAGCGGGTGGGGGGGGGACACCGACTCGTGGTGATGGGAGAGGTGAAATCCAGGTTGGGAGGGGGGGGGGTCAACTCAGCTGATGGTCGTCACCACCGTCGTGATCACCGCTGCCACTGTCATCGTCATTATATTCCTTATCACTGTGATCGTCGTGGGGGGGGGAGAGGATTAGCGGCAGGGTGGTGACGTTGCGGTGATGTTGCTCGTGGCCTACCATAAGAAAGAAGGGGCCTGGATTCAATTCCTAACCCGGGTGACTTCCGGAGTGGAGTTTAAACTAAACTGAAACTAAGCAGTTTTTTTATTTTACCAGGTAAGTGACCTGGCTATCACAAATGGTAGTTCAGCGAAGTGGCTTATCGTCATGTGGAAATGCATAGCACCTAAATAGTCCTAAACGCGTGATGTTGATTCTAATTGTGGGAGGGGGGGGGAACAAAGAACCCGGCGAAGAATCCACGCGAGCACGCGGAGAGTGAACACGCAAACTCCAAATATACAGCAGCAAGCGTCAGGGTCGGGATCGAATCCACGACGTCCTGTATACCAGGCGAGGTAGTTAACATCTCCTAGCCACCGTGATGATGATGAGATAGAGAGAAACACGCAAACTCCAAATATACAGCAGCAGGCGTCAGGGTCGGGATCGAATCCACGACGTCCTGTGTACCAGGCGAGGTAGTTAACATTTCCTAGCCACCGCGGCACCCGAGTCTGCGCATTCTCCCACCTGCTGTTGGGGGACAGTGGCAATCTCCCTCCCTCCCTAATACCCCCCCCCCACTACCCTCCACTTCTGCCTACCACCCCCCCACTACCCCCCACCACCCCCCCTACTTCCGCCCACCACCCCCCCCCACTACCCCACACCACCCCCCCACTTCTGCCCCCCCCCCACTTCCCCCCACCACCATCCCCCCCCCCTCCAATACAACAATCTAATTGGCCGTCTTGGCAATAAGAGAATGGGGGAGTAACCTGTGTGTGTGTGTGCGATGGAACGGGACGGGGTTGGGGGGGGGGGGCTCAGGAAGTCACGGGGCCCCCCCGAGGCGTCGCGGGGTGGAGGGTCGAGGGGGGGGGGAGCGAGCGAGGGAGGGAGAGGTCACGGGCGCAATATCAATATCTGTCTTGGCACGCGGCTCTCGGGCGAAGCTGGGGAGGGTTATTTATTTATTTTCGAGTGGGCAGAAACCAAATTAAGGGGCCCAGAGTGCCGCAGATTCTGGCCGGCGGCGTTTTGTGGGCCGGTTTGGGGGGGGGGGGGTGGGGGGGTGGTGGCGGGAAGTGGAGGGAAGTGAGAAAAAAAGTGGCTTCCACGAGATGAGTCGCTCAGCGCGCGCGCGCTACCCGACGCGCAGACCTGTTGCCCCCGCAACCTCGTCGCGCGCAACCGGTCGCCGTTGCCAACGTCGTCGTGACCTGCCGGCCGTGATCGATCCACTGCTGGGCTGATGACGGCCTCTTCCCCGCGTCGTCGTTGTTGTCGTCGTCGTCGTCATCGTCGCCACTCGCGACCCGGCGACATAGCGACCCGTCCGGCTGGCGCACGCGAGCCGATCCCCTCGCTCCGCCTCCGCGGAGGACGTTGTTGGCGCTCGTCGTTTGCACTTGCTGCTGTTGCCGCTCGTTGTTGCCACTCGGCGTTGCCGCTTGTTGTTGCCGCTCGGCGTTGCCGCTCGTTGTTGCCGCTCGGCGTTGCCGCTCTCCGTTGGCGAGTTGGGAGAAAGTGACGGGCGGTATTTTTATTTGCGCGCCGGGCCCAGTGAGCGTGATGAATGGCCAGAGCGCGCTCTGTAAATTAATCCCATCGATTGGGAGGGAGGGAGGGAGGGATGTGGAGAGAGAGAAGTCGGTCCTTGAGACATTGACCGGTAACCACCGAGGGTGCCAAAAGCTAACGAGGATTTTCCCGGAGCGTAGTCGTAGAAAGTTTGATGGAGAACATTGTTCTGAAAACCACCAATCTACTGTGTCGATGTATGCGCTGTACATTAGGGCCGTTGCCACTAAACGGCGCCTGTTTTATATATTTATTTTTTTGCACTGTGCACTGGCACGGCTCGCGGATGTGTCGGTGGATTGAGGCCTGGGTGGCAGACCTGTTGAAATGCCCCGGTTTAAGACGGAGCCGTTCGTTTGCGTGCTCTTGAAAACTGGAGGGAAATATTTGACGCGAGGAACGTAAGGAGGGCTGTTATCTCTAAATTTGAAGCTTTCGTGACTGCAATGATTCATATTCTTAGGTTTTTTTCGGTAAAGTCACGTAGGTAAAAAAAAAAGACGGAAGCTTGCGTTGCCTCCGAAACGTCGTGATTTTTATTTTATTTTACTTTTTTGTGTTTTTTTACCTACGTGACTTTACCGAAAAAACCTAAGAATAGGGCTGTTATCGCCAGGCTGGGAGGCGTCGACCCGCTGCACTTGATTGTCCACGTTTAATTAACGGGCGGCTGAAATCCAAATAAATAGCTGTACACGGGGAGAAGAGAGACGTTCTGACACACCACCACCAACACCCGCCATTCGCCACTAAGTGACGGTGACGTCACCACGGCGCCTGTGCCAGGCCAGGTGCACTTTGAGGCCACGTGAAGTGTCGAAGGCTCGCTGGCAGGAGGTCTCGGGACAGACCCAGGTGCCTTGGGGTTGGCTGACTGAGATGACCGGTAGATGTACACCCTACTGTACTAACTTTGCTGAATTTTAGCCACCCGGCCCTCCGCTCGTTATTGTGAGCCTTGCTCCTCTGCCCTCAGTTGTTGTTGGAGGGCGACTGCCTCCAACCGCCCAGTAGCGTCCTTCACGAGCCTCCTCCATAGAGGCCGAACCTGACACCGTTGCTACCAGTCTTCAGCAAGTCCACTCAGCTCCACATCCTCCCGTACCACATCTGACACACACACACGTCATCAAGGATGGTTATATCGGTGTGTATGTGTCTGTGGCGGTGCGACGGTCAGTGTGTCGTTGCGCTATGAACCCCGCGACCGGAGTTTGATTCCCGCTCGCGGCCAACAGCCAACGTTGGTGAGGAACATCTGGACCGGTCGTGGGCCTCCCATCTAGGTCGACTTCGCCTCGAGCGAATACCTTCTGCGGTGTGTCAACATTGTGACTCGGGGGACAAAGGCGGCCGGGCGTGGTGCTGTCCACCCACCCACCCCCTCCCGTGTGACCTTCATAGGTGCTCGCTGAACAGCACTTGCCCAAACAGTCCGTTAAGGCTGTATGGGGGAGCTTTGTATGTATGTATGTTGAACTTTTTTTGCACCGTACGTAGCCAACCGTGCTAATCGGAGGTGCGGTTGAAGGACAACAAACTAAACTCAAAAAGTAGTTAGAAAGAAATTCGTTTTCAATCTAGATTTCAAAGTGCATATCTCCTGTTGGTTTCCTAATATCGAAAGGAAGAGCGTTCCAGACGGCCGCTGAAACGCATCTGAAAGCGCTCGATGGATTGACCGTGTATGTTTTTAGCGTGCACGTGTGTGTGTGTGTGTCTACGCAAGTCTGTGCGTGTACGAATATGTGTACATGGCGACGGCCAGCAGCCAAAAGCCGCCACTGCTGCGAGGATGACCGGACGGAGCTCGCGTGATGATGATGATGGTTTACCCTCCATGACGAGATCAGCGACGACGTGCAGCAGCGGTCCATCCGTGGCAAGCGCTCTGTGCGCGCGCGTTTAACGCGTCGCGTGTCGCCGCAGCTTCCAGGTGGGAGACCTGGTGCTCATCATCCTGGACGAGCGGCACGACAACTACGTCGTCTTCACGGTGGGGCCCACCCTCTACTTCCTGCACGCCGAGTCGCTGCCGCCGCTGGAGCTGCGCCCCGGTCAGTGCGGGCCCGGGCCTCGCCGCACTCCGCACCGCACCGCACCGCGAGCCACCGCTGACTCCGGTGGGAATCTAGTGGCGTGATCCTGGTCGTTGCGCGGCGCGCTCGGGGACAGCGAGATTTGGACCTCGCAGCTTCGCGGTTCCCATCGGTTCCTGGAACTCGCCCACGCGCTCGCTCACCTACTCACCCACCCACTCACCTACTCACCCATCCACACGCCTACTCACCCACCCACTCACCTATTCACCCACCCACTCACCTACTCACCCATTAACCTACTCACCCAATTACCTACTCACCCATCCACACGCCTACTCACCCACCCACTCACCTATTCACCCACCCACTCACCTACTCACCCATTCACCTACTTACCCACTCATCTACTCAGCGGTCCCATTGCCCTGGAACTCGCCCACCCGCTCTGCTCACCTACTCACCCACCCACTCACCTACTCACCCACACCACTCACCTACTCACCCACCCATTCACCCACCTACTCAGCGGTCCCATCGGTCCTGGAACTCGCCCAAGCGCTCGCTCACCTACTCACCCACTCGCTCACCTACTCACCCACCCACTCACCTACTCATCCACCCACTCACCTACTCACCCACCCACTCACCTACTCACCCACCCACTCACCTACTCAGCGGTTCCATCGGCCCTGCAACTCGCCTACCCGCTCTGCTCACCTGCTCATCCCCCCACTCACCTACTCATCCCCCCACTCGCCTACTCACCCACCCACTCACCTACTCATCCCCCCACTCGCCTACTCACCCACCCACTCACCTACTCACCCCCTCACTAACCTACTCACCCACCCACTCACTCGGCTAGATAATCGTCGCTGGTGTTCACCGTGACCAGGAATTGAACTCGGGTCGCCGGGTTCATAGCGTGGCGCGCTCACCGCTGCATTACCACTCCCCACCCCAGCCAAACAACACACGCACGCATCATCACAAGTGATGTGGAATAGCGGTGGTGGTGGGTGTTACGGATAGCAGTCATCTTCTCACTTGGCCCTCGCCTGATAACATCTACGTCAGCGAGCTGGATTGCCAGCTCACGCTCTCCCCACCGTCGCACTCTCTCCACCCTGCCTCTCTCCTGCTCTCTATCTCCCACTTATATAATCCCCCTCTCTTGACACACACAAACCTCTCTTTACACACACACCTCTCTTTACACACACACACAACTCTCTTTACACACACAACTCTCTTTACACACACACACAACTCTCTTTACACACACACCTCTCTTTACACACACACACAACTCTCTTTACACACACAACTCTCTTTACACACACACACACACAAACCTCTCTTTACACACACAACTCTCTTTACACACACACCTCTCTTTACACACACACACAACTCTCTTTACACACACAACTCTCTTTACACACACACACACACAAACCTCTCTTTACACACACACACAACTCTCTTTGCACACACACAAACAACTTTTTGCACACACACACACACACCTCTTTTTACACACACACACAAACCTCTCTTTCCACACACACACACAACTCTCTTTACACACACAACTCTCTTTACACACACACACAACTCTCTTTGCACACACACACAACTCTCTTTACACACACACACAAACCTCTCTTTCCACACACACACACACACAACTCTCTTTACACACACAACTCTCTTTACACACACACACAACTCTCTTTGCACACACACACAACTCTCTTTAAACACACACACAAACCTCTCTTTCCACACACACACACACAACTCTCATTCCACACACACGCACACAGCTCTCTTTGCACACACACACAGCTCTATTTCCACACACACACAACTCTCTTTGCACACACACACAGCTCTCTTTGCACGCGCACGCACACACTTAACTCTCTTTCCCCACACATTTCTCTTCCCTCTTTCACAATTTCGCCCCACTCTCCCCTCTCTCTTCTTTCTCTCTCGCTACATCTTCTCTCTTTGTCTATGTCCATCTGTCACCACTCTCCTCTCTCTACCCTCTCAGCCTCTCTGTCTCTCGGTCTCTCGGTCTCTCGGTCTATCTGTCTCTCTGTCTCCATTAGCTTCTCTCTCTTGACTCTTTCCCCCTGTCACTCTCTCTCTCTCTTCTGTCTCACACTCCACTCTCTCTCTTCCCTATGTTTCTACTCTGCCCCCCCTCTCCTTCCTATCTGCCCCCCCCCCGTGTTCCTCTCTTGTCCACTCTCTCCCCTGCCTCTCTCTCATCGCCCCCCCCCCCCCTCTCTTTCCCATCTGCCCCCCTCTCTCTCCACTAATCGTCCACTCTGCCGCTGGCACACGAACTCGCGACCAAGGGGGGTGTCCGTGCGTCACTTTCCCTGCGGGAAGGGGGGGCAGGGGGGGGGGGGAGGAGGTGTTGGTTGTTGTTGGTTGAGGGGGGCAGCATTAGGAGTGTGTGAGCAGAGAAGAGAGAGAAAGAGAGAGCGGGAGGGATTGAGATGGAGCGAGATGGAAGGATGGAGGGAAATGGAGGGAGGAGAGAGATTGAGAGAGTGGACGGAGACGGAGGGAGTATAGAGACGGAGGGATGGAGGGGATGGAGGGGGGATAGATGGAGCAAGATGGAGGGAGGAGAGCGGTGGAGGGAGATGGAGGGAGGAGAGAGATGCGAATGGCGGGGATGGAGGGACATGTGAGGTTTGAATACATTTACCTGATGCAAGCAAAGCCTTCCGAACTCATGACTACACACGCACCTGTGTGCGTGCCCGGCTTGTCTGCGTGTGGAGAGCAGTAGTGCAGCGATTGGCGCGCTGTGCTACGAACCTGATGACCACGAGTTTGATTATCGCCTCCCCTCGGGTCGATTCAACCTCAAATGCATACCCTGGTACCGAGGCGTAGACATCGCCACGAGAGAGGCAAAGGTGGCCTGGCATGGACCGTTCTTGGTCAGTGGAGGAAATGTTTTAATTCCAGCAGCATGGATGATGATGACGGCGACCATGAAAATTTCATTGAGTGTCAGCGATTGAGTAGTCAGTGGGGAGCGGTGGCACAGAGTGGTTAGCGCACTGCACGAGTTCGATTTTCGCTCACGATTAACACCGGCGACAATTGTCTGAACTTGCACGTGCACTCCCCCTGGGGCACCACGGTGGCTAGGAGATGTTAACTACCTCGCCTGGTATACAGGAGGTCTTTGGTTCAATCCCAACCCTGATGCCTGTATATTTGGAATTTCCATGTTCTCCCCGTGTGCATGTGGATTTTTCTCCGGGCCCTCCGGTTGTTCTCTCCACATTTAGAGAGTATTTGGCTGCTGTTCATTTCCGCATGGTAAGCCACTTCATCGAGCGAACATCTGTGATGACCCGGTCGCTTCTGAAACGTGAGCTATACAGCTCAGTGGGCCTCACCTGCGAAAATAAAAATAGTTTATAGACTCGGTGGTAAATAATCAAGTACCTGGTGTGGTGTGTAAACGTCGCCACTGGGAGAGACAAAGGCGGACGGGCGTTGCGCTGGCCGCAGCACCGCCCATCCTGCGCCAGCGCTGACCTTCATGGGCGCTCGCTACCAGCACTTGCCCCAACATTCTGCGAAGCCTATCTCGTGTGTACGTGTATTATTGTGTGGGTCATCAGGCCGGTGCGTGGTGCGTGGTGCGTGGGGACGTAGCGGTTTGCGTGCTGCACCACGAACCTGGCGACCCGAGTTCGATTGCCTCTAACGGCCACCGAAACCAGAATGTGTGAGAATGTGAATTTGTGTGAGCGTGCGTCTGTGCGTTTGTGAGTGTTTGTCTTTTTGTTGTCTGGGTGTGGGAGCGGCGGTGTAGCGGTGAGCGCACTGCGCTCCAAACCCGGCGACCTGAGTTCGATTCCCGCTCACGGCCAACGCCAGTGACGAATATATGAGCCGGTTCTGGGAGCTCCCCTAGGTCGACTCAGCCTCAAATCAAGTACCTAGTGCCGATGCGTAAACATCGGCACAAGGGAGACAAAGCAGCCGGGCGTTATGCTGCCCACCCACCTCATGTACCGTGCCGGCCTTCATAGGTACTCGCTAACAGCACTTGCCCCAAAAGTCATGTTGAGGCTATGGTGGGGGCTGGGGGGGGGGGGTCTTTATCTTTGTAATGTCCTTATCATAGCGTGAGCTTACTTTGAAAGCAGAGCAGCCGCCCTCGCCATTGAGATGTTACAGAATCCCACTCTCTCTCTGTCACTGCCGGGCATCGTGTCTGCGCGAGCCCTGTGCCGGATCGATGCCGGGGACCCCGTGCCGGTGCAATTGCCGAAACGCTGACATTAGTTAAGACGAAATACAACCACACACACCCCCCTCTCCTCTTCGACCCAACCACCCCCGCACCAACCAACATCCCTACCCCGACACCCATACCCCAACATCCCTACCCCAACATCCCTACCCCAACACCCCTACCCCAACACCCCTACCCCAACACCCCTACCCCCACACCCCTACCCCAACACTCCTACCCCAACACTCCTACCCCAACATCCCTACCCCAACACTCCTACCCCAACACTCCTACCCCAACACCCCTACCCCAACACCCCTACCCCAACACCCCTACCCCAACACCCCTACCCCAACACCCCTGCCCCAACACCCCTACCCCAACACCCCTACCCCAACACCCCTACCCCAACACTCCTACCCCAATACTCCTACCCCGACACCCATACCCCAACATCCCTACCCCAACACCCCTGCCCCAACACCCCTACCTCAATACCCTTAAGCTATACCCGTACCCCAATACCCCTACCCCAACCAACATCCCTGCCCCAACACCCCTACCCCAATATCGCTACCCCAATAACCCAATCCCACAACCCCTACTTCAACACGCTTCTCCAGCCCCCTATCATCTGTCAAATATACGCTCACCACTCGCACAACACCTACCATAGACCCATACACACTCAACAGACTTATTATCACCCATACTCAATGTACTCACCACA